GGGAATTTTTTTCTCAATCCTTGTTAGACACCCTGAAAAATTTTAAAATCCATACTTTTGATTATTCAGAATCATGAAAAAAGTTTATAAAAGAAATCAGCAATGAAAAATAATAGAAATTGTGAAAGAAGTTGAAATTTTTAATTTTTTCGAAAACTTCGAGTTTTATTTTAAAAACTAGGATTAATAAATTATTTGTTTTCTAAAAAATTAAAAAGAAAATTAATTCACACGAAACAATATTAATTTTCTTTGGGTTGAAATTTCGCCGAACCTTCTTAATAATTATATAGTGAAAATGATTTTATTAATTAATTACGCAAGATTTGAAAATTAATTTTGAGTGATTAATTAAAATTTAAATGCAATAATAATTTTTTTACTTATAGTATGTACTTGCGATAGTTTTTTTTTTCTTTCTTTCTTTCACTAAATAGGCATTATTGAATTTTCGAATTATGAGGAACGGAAACTTCGTTATAAATATTCATTTTTTATTTGTCTTCGTAATTGTGTACTCTTGAATTTTTTTAATTTTGATCGACAATCGCTCGTAATTAGTTACGATTTAATTGTGCACTTATTAAAATGATCATATTTTCAGTATTTCTACTGAATAGGGATGATGATTTCAAATATTTTTCACATTTTTCATTATAGAGAGAAAAAGATATTTTTTTCAAGCTCATAACGCAAAAAGGTTGTAATAATTTACCATTTATTATATTTTTTTTTTTGTTTTTATCTTTTTAGAATTAATATTCATTTCGTTATTTATTTTTGACGTAATTGTGATAAATTATTCATTAATACAAATTTAGGCGCATATTATTTTTTTTTGATAAATTGAAAAATTCGTTTTTTTTCGTTTAGAAAATTTTCCATCATCTTACAAATTTATTATTTTTTTTTTACTATTGCACATTTTTTTAAGTTGTAAAAATTTCTTTCATAATGTAAATTAAAAAAAAAAAAAGAAAAAAAAAGTTTGTGTTTTATATTTCAAATTGAAAATTTACGTTGAGCTTGAAATGGGGTTTTTTTTTTTAATTTAAAAATGAAATGACCATAAATTTAATAATTAATTGTAAAGATTTTTCTTCTTTTTTTCAATAATATTTAAATAATATATATATATTATAACAGTTTAGATTTAAGCTATAAAATATTGAACCAATTTAAATGAAAGGCCGTAAAAAGTTATGAAACCTATTGTAATATCATTGAATAAACATCTATCTATTGAACCAATTAATGACTGCGACGTATATGAATTATTAAGGAGTCCAGACTATTTGTAAAAAAAATAATTGATATTTAAACTAAATATTTTTTTTTTTTTGTTAAATTTGTATTGTTTTTGATATATAATATCAATGCCAAAAATAATTGCAAATTTATCAAAATTATTCGTTGAAAGAAGTAAGTTAATTAATTTTTTTTTATTACACTTACTCTTTCACGTTCAAACTGCTTTTAAATGCAAATGCAGTTTTTTATTTTTAAATTCCTTTCAAAAAATTTTTTTATTATTTTTTCAATTTTTTGAATTGTAGGAAATTATTGCTAAAATTGTATTTTTTCCGGATGTTGTATTAGAGAATTTTTTTTTTATTTTTTATATTTTGTAATTGTTTTTGCATTTTACATATTTCCAATTTCTACGAATTGGTGAAAATTTTGTCGATTATCTAATTCTATGATATAGTTGAAAAATTTATTTTTCAAAATTCTCCATACAAATTTAATCGTTCTTATAATTAATTCTCGTATTTTTTAATCGTCATAGTTTGTTTCCAGGTTCAAGGGTCAGCCTTTTGGCTATAAGTGAACTAAAATTGAATTATTTTATATAATAAATCTTTGCGTTTTATTTAAGTGAAAAAAAAAATGAAATTGTCTAAATAGTCATTGACATTAAAGACAAGTTCATAATATAGACAATCTTTAAATGGGTAAAAGCAGGGGAAATTAATTATTATTAGATTGAATTTTTCCATAAGAGAACAAAAAAAAAATTATTAAACAAAATAAATTATAATTATGCTATAAACTTTTTTTTTATATTTAATTTATGTACTTAAGAAAAGAGATAAACAGAGTGTTTTTTTAGTGCGATTAGAAAACTTGCAAAATTTGTTAAGTTACCTTTTTAAACTCCGTTGTGTCTTTGTGAATCTAAATTTGTTTTTACGTGTTGAATTTTACTAAAATAATCTTCTTTGAATAGATTTTGTAAATTTGATAAGAAGTAAATTATATATAAAATAATTTTTTTTAAATTTTATTTTAAATTAGAAATATTTTTATAAGCATGGATTTTATTATAAAATTTTTGAACCATAAAATTGACTGTATTTCAAAAATTGCATGTAAAATATATTTTCAAAAATATTTTAATTATATTATAATATTAAAATACTGTAATATAATTATAATATTATAATTATTAAAAAAAGAAATTCTTTTCACAATAATAACTGGTAACAATTATTTTTATTACTTTTACAAGCCTCAGATTATACATACGTCGTTTTCGACTTTTTTTTACATTTAAAAAAAAAAAAAAAAATTTTAATACGTTTTTTAGTATACAGTGCAGATCTTCTTTATTTCAATTATTAACAAAGTTTGTACTAAAATTCTTCACTAAATTAATTATTTTTTTTATAATTTTAATGAAATTCTTCACAAATTCAATTATCTTAAACTTAAACTTAATAATTGTTTATAATTTTTAAAAAATTAGCAAATAAAATTACCAAAAAATTTTAATTCAAAATCAATTGAAATTTTAATTATTTGCAAAAATTTGTATTTTTGTCTATAATTTCTAATAAATTTTTTATTAACAGAAATCATGAAAAATTTTAAATTAAAAATCACTTGAAATTAATTTCAAAAATCTAAATTGTAAATCTTTGAAAATTCAATTACTTTTAAAAAATTTTACCCCAAAATTATTTGAAAAATTATTTGATAAATTATTTTTAATTCTGTAAAATTTAATTATTTTCTGAAAATTAACAATATCTTTTGAAATTCAATTATTTCTAAAAATTTCAACTTTGACTCTTTTAAAATTATTATTATTTAAAAAAAAAAAAAAATACTAATAAGAAAATCAAATTGACTTTTAAAAATAATTGTTAAGAAATTATGATATTTAAATGTCAAAATATTGTAAACCGTGATAGATTTTATTTTAATTATTTATAATTGTGTTTCTTATACAAATTTTTCAAATTCTTCTTTATTATAAATTTATTTTAGATCTGAATTTTGTTTGCTAAAATTTAGATTTTATTTGTAGGTAGTTATTTTTTTTTTTTTGTACATTTTTATTTGTATATTATTTCATTATTTGTATTAATATTTGTTTTTATTTAGTATTTCTCTTTTATTTTTTATTTATATTTTTGGAAATTTGTAGATTGAAATTTTATTACTTTTTATTACTTTTGTTTTTTACATTTTTTCAAATTAATATTATTTTATTTATTTCAAAAAAATTTTAACTAACAGAAAATGTTTGAAATTTTTCTGTATGTCAAAAAAAATCGAAACAATATAGGAATCTTTGTGATTTATAACACAAGAGAGTGAGAGAGATACCAATAATTGTAATGAAAAAAAAAAAAAATTATTTTTAACATTTCTCACTCTATGCTTTTGATCGACATTGAATCTTTTAATGGAGAAGAAATCAGCAATCACATAGGCTAACTTTCTTGAAACCAGTAGAAAAAAGAAATGCTGCACTAAGGTGAGTAAACTTTGTGAAAATGTTATTAAACATTATATATATTATATATATATATAATTTTTTTTATATTAATTATGGGTGTGCGGGCTCTGAGAAATCAAGAGAATTAGAACATTTAAAAATTACTTTGTGAGGAAATTATATATTACAAAGATATATTAATTGTATATATATAAATTTAATTTAATACAATAATTAAATGCACAAAAATAATTAAACATTATTGAAATTAAAATATGAAAATAGGACATTAATTAATCTTCTACAATTGGAATCGTATAAATTTCAATGTGTGAAGGAAATTTGGGAATTTGTGGGAATTTTTTTTTTTTAAAGTTTAACTTGACATAATTTAAAAAAGAAAAAAAAATATTAATCCTGAGCCAGTCCAGAGTTTATTTAAAATACCCACGACAACCAAATTTTCTGCTAATAAATTTTTTAAAAAAAAGGTTGTCAGGGATTAATTTATTTTTCTGGGCTGCTTAAATTATATTTTCTTTTATAAAAAAAAAAAACAACTCTACATCTTTGTATGAAGGCATTTTTTTTTCAGACATAAAACTTCTTGACAAGGGAAAAAAATCATTTGATTATTAATTTATATAGGGAATATTAAACTTTTAAAATTTGCTTCATTTTGAGAAGTACAAATAAAATAACAAATTTACATTTTTTTGCCCCTTTAATTTTAGCCGAAAATTTCTCATTCGTTCTACAAAAATTGATTGTGAACATTCTACATCAATTAAATTGATTATTCCGAAATATAAGACACAATATTTACAAAGAGAGATATTTTTAAAACATTTAAAATATCATTTTTGTAAAATTCATTTATTTGGTTAATTTTTTTTTGTCTTTTTTTTAATTTACTGGAAAAACATTAAGTATAAATGTTAAAACGTAGGTATATAAATAAAAACAAAAAAAGGTTTGAATTGAACGAGAAAAAAAATTAATTTTTTTTTTAACTTTTTTTTAAATATGTTTATATATGATCATTGAGTGAAGGGGTTATCAATTTTTTTAAATGGGGTAAATGTCAAAAGATGCGATTTTTCAGAAAAATACTATAAACAATTAATTAAATTTCAATGGATGTCTAATCTTTAAATTCTAATCGAAAATCTCTACATTGACGATTTCTCCTTTAAAAAAAATAAATAAACCATCTTATAAATTTTTTATTGTTTTTTTTATGGTAATATAATGGAATATTTTTGATTTCTAGGATAAATCCATCATTTTCAAGAAGAAATATGATGAAGATGATAGTGACAATGAAGAAATAGAGGAAGAAGAAGATGAAGATGCTGATGAGATGCAAAAGGGATTCACTGTCAATGTTCGTTTAGATTCTTTATCATATGGAACTGTTGATCTAAAACTTGAAAATGTTTTTCTTCATAAAATTCAAATATTTTAATGAATAATGAAGATGAGATGAAAATAAGTGAAAGAAATCATGAAAAAATCATCAGAATGAATGAACATTCATTTGACTGATTTTATCAACAGTTTTTGGATTCCTGATGATGATAATGATGATTCAAAAGAGGCGAATTGTGAAAATTTCTTCAATTTTTTCAAGGTAAATATTTCTTCTTCAGATATATTGGAGAATATTTTATTATTAAAATAATTATCGATAAAAGTTATATTAATTTCATTGAAATTTAAGTTATTAATGACAACAATTTTGTGTATTAATGATGAAAATTATTTTAGATTTTTTCGAAGTTTAGAATTTTTATTTTTTAAAAAAAGACAATTTTTTAAAATCCAATACGATTCCATTGTTTGAAAAAGAAGGATATTTTTTTCTCTATTTTACTTAAATTATTTTGTAATAATGACAGTTTAAGATTCATTAAATCACTTTAAATTAAAAAAATAATAAAAAATAAACAATTTAAAATTATATTGTTGATGAAAAATAATAAAAATTGTGGAAGAAGTTGAGAATTTAAAAGAATTACCAATTAAATATCAACAAATTATTCCTATCAAAAAATAATAATTCTTAAATTATTTTTTTATTTCTCAAAATTTCTATTTTAGTTTTAAAAAATTGTCAAAATGTTTTATTTTAAAAATTACTTTTTGAATTTAATAATTCAATCAGAAAAACTTTCTGAACTTTCGAATAACTTTTTATCTGGGAATTAGTTTATTATTCTTTGTAAGTGTTTATTATTATTATTATTATTATTATTATTATTAATTTTTTAATTATTATCTTTACAGTTATAAAAATTCAACTTGAGCAGATTTTCGAGAACGAATATTTTGAATATTTTTTTTACTAAGTTTATTGTACCTGGCAAGAGAGAAAAAAATGTCAAGTGATATTGAAAATAAAATGAAATATATATTTTCTTATATAATAATAATCATTTAATTGTTTTTTTTGTCTATACACTATATGAAAAACGCCTTTATTTATTAAAATTTTACACTAACTATACAATTATCTAGATTAAAATGAAAAATAATGACTATTATAATTGAAAATTTAAACTAATACTGTAGATTCAGTTGTGCTTGTTGTTTCATTTGTTGAACTTGGTATTTGAATAGATGATGTCGTCGCTTGAATGGTTGAAATTAATGTTTGAATGGTTGATGAAGCTGGTTGAAATGGTTGAAAAGATGTTGTTTCATTTTTTTCTTCATCTGGCACAACTTTTGTATATTTATCAACAGCTTCCTGAACGAGAACTGTCGCTGCATTAAGACTCTCTGGTGTTATATAATTTCTTGCTAATTCGGCAACTTGTTCCTTTATCTAGAAATAGAATGTTAACCAATGAATTATCATTATTATTTTTATTTATTGTTCAATTTTTGTTTTTATTAATTAATTAATTTATTTATTATTAATAGAAAAGTAGAAAAAAAATTTCCTTTAAATAAAGAATAAAAATATAAATTTTTACTGTGCATTTTGTCATTTTATATTTTCAATATTGTCAGAAAATAAATTAACAAATATAATTAATTGTCACTTACTTGATTTCTTGTGAGTGCAAGACCAGGAAATGAAATCATACAAAGTGGCGTGAATGTGCAAACTGTTGTGGTAAAAATAACTCCCAAAATAAGAATTAATAGTAAGCTAAAAATGAAAATTCCCGCTTTTGCACCATATAATAATGCAAAACTTGAAATTGGAATTAATTTTGTCCACGCCGATGTCCAACTTGAAATTGGCTGTTCCGCTGGTATTGCCAATTTTGCCACAGGTGCATTATAATTATTTTGATATCTGTAATCCGTATATTCTGGATATGTTGGATAAAAATATCGTGCCGGAAATGATAAATCTTCTTGACTAAATATTCTTCCATTTTCCAATGGAATTCTATTATTTGACATTTGTTCATAGTTTTGTGAAATTTCTGAATTACCATCTCTTTTTATTTTGACACCAAAAACACAATTGACAAGGGCCAAACTCATAAGAAGAAAATATTTCATTGTGAAATTGTTTTTCTGTAATGGAAATTTTTGTTTAAAAATTTTTTTTAACAAAAAAAAATTGTTTTTGAATTTTGCATTTAAAAATTTGAAAATAAATAATTATAAATAAATATTAGAAACAGAAATAAAAAAAAATGATAATAGAAATAAATTGTTTTTTTTTTTGAAAATTTATTAATTTTTATTTTACTGAACTAAATTGAAAATAAAAAAATATTTGAAAAATTAAATATAAATTTTAATAAATAGGAAAATGAAAATAATAATTTAATATATTTACCTGAGAATTGGAGAAAAAAATTTTTTTTTTTCGATTTTGAAACTAAAGATCACTGATCTCACGTCTAATGCAAAAGTTGAACTGAAGACTTCGTTTGTCGTTTGCCACAACTACCTGAGAAAAATTTAGTTCCTTTATAATATAGAAACAGAAGATGAAAAAATTTCTTCTTTTTTTTTGCGTACCATTGATTTTCCGCAGGAATTTCTATCCCTTTTAATGTCTTAAGCTTTTAGACCCTTTTCATTTTGAGAGACAAGTTTCTTAATGGTCATTGTTATTTTTTACCTGAATTCCCAAGTTTCAAAAAAAAATTTTTGCCTACTCACTGTAATTAAAAATGGTTTGATCATCAATCTAAAAAAATATGAAAAATATTTTTAAATATTCTGTTTAATAATTTAAGAAAATAAAATATTTTTTTCAAATTAAATTAAAAATTTAAAATAAAAATTATTAAATAATTTAAATTTATTGTTGACAAATTAAAATGGTTATCAAAAATGTATCTTAATTTTTACGTTGTTAAAGTTCGAAAATTTGAATTTTTTTTTTGTTTTTGCTAGAAAAATAAAGTGATTTTATTTTATCCAATTCTTTAATTTCTTTTTTAGAATCTAAAAAAAGGAGAAATGAATTCTTTTTTTTTACAAAGATATTAATAATTTATTATACAATAATTTTTTTTTACACGAAATCTTATTGTCAATAAGAATTTGTTTTGCAATAATTAACATTAATGGACAACATATTAAACAATATATATATATTTATCACAGATAATTTTTAATGATTTGAATTCAAATCTATATTTATAATATAATCACAGAATACATTGTATACATTTTCTTTTTTTCTTTTTACAATTTACATTTTATTTTTGTTTGTGCAAAACAATATAGAAAAAAAAATAATTCAATTTTTACAGTTTTTTTAGTAAAATAGAATCATTTTGAATTTGTTTTCTCATTTGTTCAGTTTCATCATCACTACTGCTACTATTGACCATATTTTGAATGCGACCTTTTCGTTTTTTTCTCTTATTACTCTTGAAAACAGGCGATTTTTCTCGTTTTCGTTTACTTCGATTTTGCGTTGCTTCCGTTAAATTTTCAAAAGTAACTTCTAAATCATCATCACTAGTTTCATCGTTATATTCAACTTCATCTTCGTTAACGCAAAATGAATCCTGAAAAAAAGTAAGATGATATTTGATTTTAATAATTTTTTATTTTTAATTTTTTGAATATAATTTTCTCAACAAAGGTATTTTTTTTAATATTTTGATTATCTTTAGCTTATTTTATTGCAATAAATTAAAAAACAAAAAATTTTCATCACTTATAAAAAAATTTAAAAATAACAGAAAAAACTCAATTATCTTTTATTGAAATAATTCTTTTTTTCAAACTAATTTTTAATAAATTTTGTATTTTAAGAAAATTTAAAAAATCATTTTTTTGAATTTTTTTTCTTCAAAATAAAACGGGACAACAATATTCAACACTAAGTATAGTCAGGTCTCGGATTATACGATTTTTTTTTTTTTTTTCTCAAAAATACGACTTTTTTCGACTTATTTTACTAAGATGCGACTTTTTCGAGTTTTTTTTACTTTTTTTTTTACAAAATTTTTAAACAAAATACGTCTTTTTTATTTCAATTATTTACCAAATTTTCAACTAAAATTATTCTTTAAATTAATTATATTACATAATTTAAATGAATTTATTTACAAATTCAATTATCTTTAACTATTTTCAATTCATTTATTTTTTAAAAAAGTTATCTAAAATTATTTGATAAATTATTTTCAATTCTATAAACTTTTACCAAAGCTTTTGAAATTCAATTATGTCTAAAAATTTTAATTCTAACAAAATTCAATTATTATTTTTAACAATTTCAATATTTCTTTAAAAATCCAATTATTTACCAATTATTTTACCAAAGCTTTTGAAATTCAATTATTTCTAAAAATTTTAACTCTAACAAAATTCAATTATTATTTTTAACAATTTCAATATTTCTTTAAAAATCCAATTATTTAAAAAAAACTTCAACTTAATTATTTTCCGAAATTTTTTTTCGATTATTAAAACTAAAAACTATACAAAAATTTTAAAATCGAATTATTTGCATAAATGAGAGTTTAAAAAAAATTTAAATGATACTTTAAAATTTTTAAAAATTTCTCTTAGTTCGGTTTTGAAATATTATTAACTAAAATTTTTAATTTATTAACTAATTAAATTTAATTAAGTTTACTTTAAATATCTGATGTTATTGTATATTATTTAATTTATTTTTTCATTCCTTAATAAAAAAAATTCTACAAGAATATTATCAAGAAATTTATATCGTATATTTCAAAACCAAACTAAGACAAATTTTCAAAATTTTAAAAGTTCCATTTACAAATTTTTTTTAAAATTTGATTTATGCAAATATTTTGAATTAAAAATTTTTGCATAGTTTTTAGTTTTAATGGTCAAAAAAAATTTTCGAAAATAATTATTAAGTTGAAGCTTTTTTAAATAATTGAATTTGTAAAGAAATATTCAAATTATTAAAAATAATAATTGAATTTTAGAAGAGTTACAGTTGAAATTTTTAGAAATAATTGAATTTCAAAAGATTTTGTAAAATTTTACAAAATTGAAAATAATTTATCAAATAATTTTAGATAACCTTTTTTAAAACAAATTTAATTGAAAATAATTAAAGATAATTGAATTTGTAAAGAATTTCATTTAAATTATTTAAAATAATTCATTTAGAGAATAATTTTAGTTAAAAATTTAGTAAATAATTGAAATAAAAAAGAACTGAAGAAGATCTTTATTGTATAATAAAAAAGACGTATTTTGTTAAAAATTTTGTAAAAAAGAAGTAAAAAAAAAAGTCGAAAAAGTCGTATAATCGTATTTACTCACCTGTAAATAGGTATCATCGTATTGCGAAGCAGGTTGAGAGTAGACATTTTCATGAAAATGAGACGATTTTTTAATTAAAAAAGCACCAGGTCGTCGAATGGGACTTTTCACTGAATTCAAATAATGAGCTCGCATATCAACTTGTTCATTATTAATTTGTGTATAACTAACAAAATCTTCAAGATCCTCATCATCGCCAGAACTACCTTCTGAAGTTGCAATCTCATCACTCGAAACATCCGCTTCATTATCAATAAATTCACAATTACGACGACGTTTTTTAATTTTTCTTCTCTTTCTTTCAGGACTCTCATTATTTAATGTTGAATTGAAATTAATTTTTCGATTAATTTTCCTTTTATCCATTATACTTGTACTTGCATCATTATTGTTTCTATTCACTTTATCATTTGATGTTGATGGTGAATTTAAATGTCGTTTTAATAAATTAATTTGTAAATTTGGTTTCTTAAATATTTCCACATTATTTTTTGAACTATTATTATTATTAGTGGTCTGTTGATTATTGTCATCTTGAATAAGCGAAAATGGTTTATCACGTTTAAAGAGTGAAAATTTTTTTCTCGTTTCACTAATATTTTCAGTATTATTTGTTTCTTGTGTTAATTTTGTGATTGTTAATGTTGATTTTGGAATTTCGGTTGGTTTAAAATAATTTGTATTATTTACATCAGTTGTTGGTATTTCGAAATCACTGTCCCAAATATCATCGTCGATAATTGTTATGGAATTTTCCTTTTCATTGATTGTTAATGATTTTTTTTTATTTTCCCCTTCGTTCGTTGATTTTGAATTTTCATTGAGAGAAAATTTTTTTAAATTAGAATTCATTGTTGTAATTTCTAAATTTCCAATTGTTAATTTTCTCTCTGTGGAAATGTTGCTTTCGTTTAGAGAAAATTTCTTAAAATTTCCCCTTTCATTTAATATTGATTTACTAGGATTCATTGTTGTAATTTCTAAATTTCCAATTGTTAATTTTTTTCCTTCGGAAATATTTGTTTTTGAATTTTCACTTTCGTTGAGGGAAAATTTTTTAAAATTTCCCCTTTCATTAGAATTACAAGTACTTATTTCTAAATTTCCAATTGTTAATTTTCTCCCCTCGTTAATATTTTTATTTTCTTTTTCATTAATTGATTTATTTTCCTCTGTTGTAATTGTTGTACTGGAATTTTCGTTGAGAGAAAATTTCTTTAAATTCCCAAATGTCCCCAATTTATTGGGATTTAATTTTGTAATTTCTAAATTTCCAACAGTTAACGTTGTTTCTTGAACAATATTTTTGTATATATTTCCATCGATTTGTTTTTTACTTGATGCGGAAATAATAGAGATATCATCATCATCATCATCATCATTATTAACAAATAATTCTTCATCCGAATCGAGAATAACTATTTCTTTATTATTTGAATTACTTTTCTCTAAAGTTAATGGATTATTTTTTACAATTCCCGATAGTGGAGTACTTTTTTCTCTAAATAAACTATAATAATTATTAAATGATTTATCACCATTAATTTTGCCAATTTCTTCAACTGCTTGCGTAACTGTAATTCCAGTGCTATTTGTTGATAAAGTAATAATACTATTGTTTTGAGTGATATTTTCTTGTCTTAAGGAATTATTTTCTTCATTATTCGAAATCATGGAATTTAATAAATCTTGACTATTTATACAATCTAATGTTGTTCCACCCAATAATTGATTTGCAAATTCATTTTCGACTAAATTTTTCCCCTTAATATTTGGTGTTGAATTTTTTATTGACGAAATTTCATGAGAAAATTTTGCATTTTGGGATTTCATTAAATCTTGACTATTTATTGAATCTAAAGTTGTACCTCCCAAAAGATTACTAAAATTAAATTCACTTTCTCTATTTTCTGTTATTACATTTTTTGAATTTTCATTGACAATTGCTTCATTTCCTTCATTTCCTACTGAATCAAGACTTGAATCTTCCAAAACATCAGTAAAATTAAATATTGTTTCTTTGTTTTCTTGATTATTTCCAATTGACGATATTTCATTGCAAAAATTTTGATCATCTGTTTCAGTTTTTATTTCCATTTTTATATTTTCCATTTGCATTTCCATTTCAACTTCCATTTCACTTTCATCAGTTGTTTGTAATAGTAAATCATCAAAATTATTTGTTACTTCTAATTGATTTGGCAAATAATTATTATCTTCTTCCGATGATGATGATGTATCATAGAGTAAATCAACAAAACTCCCATGAATTGTAACTTCACTGGTTTCGAAAAATGTATTGGAAAAATTAATTTCATTATTATTAAAACAAGATGATGGAAAATCTTGTTCATAAATTTGTGAACGAGAATTTAAAAAATCATGATTTATCGTTTCCTCTGTATTTTCTATTATTTCAGGAATTAATTTCACATAATCCTTGTCATTTAAATTTGGTATTACTAAATTACGTAGGAAATTTAAATCATCTGTTAATGTATTTAAATCATTTGGATATGTATTTAATTGAACGTATCTTTCATTTATTTGAAAATTCAAAATATGAAAATCGTTTCTTGTTTTTCTCATTGTGCATAAAGTTAAAAATTCCTCACTTTCTTTGTCCGAGAAATAAAGATTAACATCTTTAATATTTATATCTTGTTGTAATTGTGAACAACCATAATTACTGTAATTGGCAATTTTTTCACCTGGTTTTATTGTTCGAAAAAAATTTTGTATTGACGATTGACCAACATTTTTTGCACCTGTAAATAATTTAAATTAAAATATAAATTAATATAATTATAAATCAAATTAAAATAAAAGTATATTTTTTACCAGGTTCTTTTTCAATTAGTCTTGATTCATTGTTTTTCTTTTTAATTCTTGGATTTTCTTTTTTTTTCACTGCACCTTTTACTTTTGGAGTTTTTGTTAATACTTTCATGTGCATCTTACGACACTCGGGATTTAAATTATTTGGAATCATTCGAGGAGTTTCTTCATAAAGAGCAGTATTAATGGCACTTGACTGTAAAACTTTGTTATTTAGACTATCTTTTTTTGACATTGTAGCCCTTAAAGACTGAAAAAAAAGAAAATAATCTTTAAACACAGAAATTAATAATTAAATTTATCCTTAAATTGAACAAAAATTAATTAATTGATAATATTTACAAATTACAATAAAACAATTACCTCGTGTTCTTTTCCATCTGTCACTAAGGCAATAATATGTCCATCTCGTTTGCGACCAGTTCGACCCATTCTTTGCACTAATCTTATTGGCGAACTTTGAGAAATGTCAAAGCAAACAATTAAATCTACCTCACCCACATCCAAACCTTCTTCGCCTGAAAATTACAATTAAAAATTTTAATTAAACTAAAAAACTTGAAATATTAAGAATAGAAATAAATTTTTTTTAATGTTTTATTCAAATTACAGGCCTCGGATCGATCTTTAAGGCGCAAAAAAAAGGTCAATTAATTAATTTGTTCTAAAAACTTACCTACTGACGTTGATATCAGAACGTTTACTTTATTGCTTCGAAAATTTTCTAATGCCTCTATTTGTTGTTTTCGCTTTTGACCCGCTTGACCAACAAACATTTGCGGACGTATTAATGGCCTACTTTGCAAAAGTAAAACATAAACCTCATTCACAATGTCTCGATACTAAAAGTAAAAAAAAAAAAAATTAATGAAAATTTTATATACATTTTCATTATCAAAAAATGAATTTGTAAGAAAAATAAATAAATATTTTACCTCTACAAATACAATTGCTCGCGTTTCTTGATTTTTCTTTTGAAACAAATCAAAATGTTTTTGCAGAACTTCTTTTAATTTATAGAATTTATTGTGACCAAATAGAAGATCATTGGGAATCTGAAAATTTGCAAATTATTTTTATTGAAAATAAATAAAGAAAACTCGGCATGATGAAAACTACATAATTTTTAAAATAAAAAATTTGTCCACATAAAGAATTTTGAATTAAAATTTTTTTTTTTGAAAAATTCATGTTTTTTTCTTACAAAATTTGTTTCAATTAATCTAATTAAATTTTTGTCATTAAATTATAGTATACTTACTTAAATAGATAAAATTATAATTTCATATAATTTAAAAATCCAATAGTCTAAGAAATATATGAAAATAATAAATTGTTTATGAAATAATGATAAACAAAAAAAATAAAAATAATAATTAAAAAAATTATCAAAACTTACGTCTGGTATAGTTCCATCCGATAATGGTTCGATAATGGGAAATGGACCAAGATAATTTTTTATATCCTCCAACATTTGATGTAAACTAACTTCCTGTCCCAACCAAGATTTGTCATTATGATCTGTTAAAGAAAGTAAATACTTTTTTTTAAACCTTATATTTTCTCGTTACATTTAATATTAATTACAATTTTTTCTAAATTAATCCAATTTTATTAAATACAATTTTATTCAACTTACTTTCGTAAAAATGAAGAAATGCTCTTAGACCATGTCGAATCATTAATTCATATGCATGAGACATTGTTAACAATATATTCAATGTTTTCATTATTTGTCCATAATTTCCACTTTTATTTTGCCTCGATTGAAATTCCTTCACTAAGTGGAATATCTAATTGAAAAAATTGAGAAAATAGATAATAAATTCTATTTCAGGATTAATAAACTTCATATAATTACGATATTTAATTAAATGAATTAGTATTTATTAAATTATTATTTTATTATTTAAGTAAATGAAAATTTAAACTATTTTTTATTTTATTTGAAACTTGGCAACGTTGATAAAAAAAAAATGTATATTTTGAATCAAATCTTTTTTTTTTTTAAGAAAAATAACTCACCCTTCCTTTGCTAATGTTTCCAGTGTCACCTTTAAGAATGTTACACCGAACCAAATATCTGACATGAGGATCCATCACTGATATGTAACGTTCTTTAAATCTTGCCAATTCATCGCTTAAGCGAACTAAAATAATTTCCAATTTTCTCTCATTAATGTAAGGAATTATATCCGACGACATATCATCTCTCAATTCTAAATTCGAAATATGAAGATTCGTTATGACCTACAAAGGAAATAATTGCAAAAAAAAAAAAAAAATAAAGATATTTTGATATTAAAATAAAATTATATTACAATAAAATATAGTAAAATTAAATAAAGGCAAATTTTACCTCAACTACTTTGGTTATTTTATCTCCAGGTGTTGCAGAAAGAGCCAAAACACGAAAAAATTTATTTTGCTCACTTAATAAACGAACACTCTAAAATAAATGGAAAGAAAAAAAAAATTTTTTTATTTCATTTATTTACCCAAAAACAATTTTTGTTTCGCTGCTTATTTTTCTAAATAAATAATAAGTGAAAAATTATTAATTAAAGTAATTTAAATAGAGAAGATAAAAAATAAATATAAAAAATTGTAGATTTCAACTAATTAGAAAATTATTTACCTCACAATAAGAATGTTTTCCCAATGCTTTGTGCGCCTCATCGATGACTAAACATTTGACCAAATTTAATGAAAAAATATTTTTTTCCAAATCTTTATGAAATGTTTGTGGAGTAGCAAATATTACTCTTTTCTTTGACCAGGCTATTTCACGAAGTTTTTGACTTGTATTTCCTTAAATTAAAAAAAAAAATTATTAGGTATAATTAGAATTTTATTACCAAACAATATTCTAATATTTATTAACAAAAAAAAAAAAAAAAAAACAAAAAATTCTATTATTCGAAAGTAAATATTTTAAAAATTAAAAAAAAATAGTACCAGTGAGTTCAATAGTTTCTTCACTGGGAATTCCCATGATTTCATGACAGGCATTTATTTGTTGTGCCACAAGTGGTTTTGTCGGAGCTAAAAAGACAACTTTTCCCTTTGGATACCATCGCCAAAAATTGTACATCAAAACTGCAGCTATAAATGTTTTTCCTAAACCTACAAATATATATATTTTTTTTTTATAAATTTATATTAAATATATTTTTTACATTTATTTATTTATATAACAATAGGATGTTCCTGCGGTTTAAATGAATTCAAATTTTGTAGATTCTAAGGTTCAAAATTCATCTTTTAACCTTTGGCGAATATTATATTGATTTTTTTATCGAAAATTAAGTATAATTATCATTTGAAAAAATTTTGAATACAGTACTTTTTAAAATCAGGATTGCCATAAAAATTTAATTTATTTTTTCTCTAATTTTTCTCTAATTTACAGAAAAAATTTTATCTTTCACTGAATCCGATAAAATATTTTTTTTTGTTTAAATCATAGAAATTTTTATTAAATTTCTCTATTTTATTCCAAAAGTCTGAAATTTTTTTTTAACAAATCATTTACCTGTCTATTATCCACTAATTTCATATTTATTTGAATCAAATAAATAATATTTCGTAAAAAATAAAAAAAATAAAAAATTTTTTTTTAATACAATTGTTATTTTAGTAAATTTCGATTTATCAAAATATTTACTTAACAGAATTGTCATTGAATAAATCCACAATTAACAGAATTTCTATTTAACAAAATTCTTAATTAACAAAGTTTTTATTAAAGAAAATTTTAATTCGAACTAATTCTTATTTAACAGAATTCTAATTTAAGGAAAATTATTCTGCTTAGTTCTTTTTTTTGTCAATTTTTATAGACATTAATTTCGTTAAATTGAAATTATATTAATTTAAAATTTTAAAAAAGTATTAGAAAAAATGTTTTATAAAAGTTCTGCTAAATAGAAATTCTTTTAAATCGAATTTTAGTTAAATGTAAATTTAAAATAATACAATTTTGCTAAATAGAAATTCGATAATTTAATATTCAACGCCGTAAAAATTTTTATAAGTTAAATGTGTGGGTATTTGCATTAAATAATAAATTATTCGTATTATTAATTAATTCGTATTAATTAATTAAATTAAATTAACAAATAATTTTTAATAAAATATTAAAAAACCAAATATTTCACTGAAAAAAATTAATTAAATCCAAGTTAAAAAATCATTTATTAGATTTATTTAACGGATTTTTTTTTTGTTGAAAAAAAATTAATTGTAAAGTTCTTACCCGTTGGCAGACATACGAGAGTATTTTGAAAAAGTGCTTTTTTAACAATGGTAAATTGATATTCTCTTATGGGATAATTCTCTGGATATATCCAAACATTGCCAGCAGACAAGTCGAATCCTAATGTTCCAGGATCATCCGAAAATAAAGGATGTTGAGATGATATATCATCCATTTTGTTTAATTCTAAAAAATTATTAAATTAAAATTATTGGAGCAATTATTCATCAAATCATTAAATATAATTATAATTCAACAAAATTATGTATTGCGCACTTTAAAGAAAAATAAAACGTTTACAATAAATCTAAATATTAAATTTCAATCACTTTTCAGATAAAATAAAGAATAAAAGTTCAAATATTTTCTTAAATTTAAAATTTTTGTTTTTAAACAAACAAAACATTTGAGAATAAAATGTTTGACAAAATAGAACTATTTTTTATAACGATATTAATTTTATTTTAAATTTATACTTAAATTTTGAATAAAATAGAAAATAAGGCTTTAAAATTTTACATTGTATTGAATTTAAAATTATATTAATTATTATAATTAAATAAATGTCATAAAACTTACTTTTGACACATATAACCTAAAAATAATGTAAATACACTAAAAATTTTCGGCTTTCATTGAAAAAAAAAACTTTCACTAAAGAATCACATTTATTAGAATAGATTGTGCTTAAAAAATTATTAGAAATTAAAGACAAAGTGTTATAAATGATAAAAAATCATAATACAACACAACGATATACCACATATACATACACAATAGTATTTGACAGTGTGTTCTTTTTATGTATACACACATTACAAATACATTGATAAGTATTAAGGAATGAACACACCCCCACAGTGTTGCATATTCTGTCAAAATACTCAAAAATCTGTCAAAACTTGAAATTGATAAATAAATATTACTTTAATTTCATTGTTATTTAATGAATTTAATTCTTTTTGACATTTTATTAGTTGAATAGAAAATAATTTAAAAAAATATATTATTAAGAAAATATTATGTCAAGTGTTATAAGTGTCGTGAAGTCGTGATGATTTAACCACCAAATGATTACATCAATTTTTTAGAAATAAAATTACAAATTCTATATATTTTCAAGAATGGCACCTCCACCTGTAGTTACTGGAATATCACCCAAGGAAGGTCCACCAGGAACTCGTGTCACTGTTCGAGGAGAATTTTTAGGAAATAAAAGTCAAGATCTTATAGGTTAGAATATGAATATAAATCTTTTTTTACTTTTAATTTACACAAAAATTTACACATATTTTATGTATTTGCTTTTAATAATATAAAATACTATAATTATCTAAAATATAATAATACAATTATTTAGTTTTATTTACTTTATAGGTTATGTTACCATTTTTTTTTAATTTTTGTTTTAAACAACGAATTTTTATTTTCTATAAATATAAATAATAATAATAGAAAGAGTACCTACTTTTTCTCTTAAACAATATTTGTGAATTATATTTTGTTTTATTTCGAATTTTTAAAGGTCTAACAATTTGCGGCTGCGACTGTCTTCTCTCGGCAGAATGGAAATCGTCAAACAAAATAATAGCAAGATCGGGACCATGCAAAGGTCGTGGGGATATAATAGTAACAACACGAAGTGGAGGTCAAGGCACGTCAACAGTGCAATTTCGTGGATATCATGAAACAATTGGTCCAATGAAAGAATCTGCAGTTTGGGTTGAAGAAGCTCCTGTTCAAAGTTTTGTTTGGGGAAGACGAGCTCTTTCTCCCACAAATTATCAACAGGAAGATCCACTGGGATTGAGTGTCGAAGGAAATGAGTAAGAATAATAAAAGACAAATAATTATAATTTTAAATAATTTTAAAATTTATTAAATACAAAATAATATTAGTTATTAAAAATAAAAAATAATATTAATTATTCAATGCAATATTATAAATTGATTAAAAAGAATATAAATTAATAGTGTAACAAAAATTGTAAATTAAAAAAAATTGTATTACAGGAAAAAATTCCCGGAAGACGAACTTATTGAATTATTTGGAGATAGAACTGGTGAGTTAACTAGTGAAAAATTTCATCCCGGATGGTTTCTTTTGCAATATCATCATGCAACAACGTTGGATGATTTAAAAGCCGGTTTAGCTTATTTACGTCGCAAAGTTCATTCACAAAAAGAAGGTCAATTATCTTTTCTAAAGGTGAGAGAATTTTTTTTTTTAATAATGAACAAATTTCGATAATTATTAATTTATTAATTCCAATTAATTTTTTACATTTTTAAACAAAATATGTTTTTTTTTAAATATACAATGCAGATTTTCTTCAGATTTTCTTTATTTCAATTATTTAACAAATTTTTAACTAAAATTCTTCACTAAATTAATTATTTTTAATAATTTTAATAAAATTCTTCACAAATTCAATTATTATCTTTAAATAATTTTAAATTAAAATTTTTATGAAATTTAATAAAGGTTTATATAATTTTAAAAAAATTAGCAAATAAAATTACCAAAAAAGTTTTAATTCAAAATCACTTGAAATTTAATTATTTGCGAAAATTTCAATTATTTTTAATGATTTTTTTAATATTCTTCGAAAATTCAATTAACTGAAAGCATTTTTCAATTAAAAACTTTTGGAATTCAATTTTTTTATGTGATTTCTAATAAATTCTTCATCAACAGAAATCACTGTTTTCACTTAAAAAGTGAAATTATCAAAAATAAAAATTGCCAATCTTTGAAAATTCAATTACTTTTAAAAAATGTTATCCAAAATTATTAGACGAATTATTTTTTGATCTGTAAAATTTAATTATCGTCTGAAAATTAACAAAAACTTTGAAATTAAATGATTTCTAAAAAAATTTCAACTTTAACTCTTCCAAAATTATTATCATTATTTAAAAAAAGAAAAAAATTATTTAAAAATCTGTAAAACTTAATTAAGTATTGCCTGAAATTTTTTTACCCATTAAAACTAAAAACTGTGACAAAATTGTTAATTTGAATAAATAGCTTAAATAAGACTTGAAAAAATTATAAAAATGGAACTTTAAGAATTTTTTTTAAAGAAATTTGTCCTTTATACTTAAATAAAATTTTGAAAATTTGTCTTACAATTAGTTCGATTCTGAAATATTCGAAATAAATTTTCTTGATAATGTTTTTATAAAATTATTCTCGTTACAGAATTAATAAAATTAATTTAATATCTAATAACATTAGTTATTTAAAGTAAAATATCCATTAAATTTTTTTTAACCAATTTTGTTAAAATAAAAAAATTGACTTTTTCGACTTTTTTTTAAAATATAAATCGACTAAAACGACTTTTTTTTGTGTCTTAAAGTCGACCCCGAGGCCTGTATTTTATTATCTTTTAATATAAAAAGTCAATTTCAATTTTATTTTCAATTTAAAAAAAAAAAAAAAAAACAATTTTCTTTTAGGCAAATGTTCGTTCTGTAATGGAACAACTCGATACAATAATGTTTCTTAAGGAACAATTTGAGACTGATGTGAAAAAATATGGTGAAAATCCAATGGAAAAATTGGAAAATGCAATAAAAGAATCAATGTCCGAGGCAAATAAATTGTTTGATGATGTTCTTGCACGAAGAGATAGAGCGGATTCAACACGTAATGCATTGGCACTAATGCAACGTTATCGTTTTCTTTTTTGTATGCCAGTTAATATTGAAAAAAATATTAAACAAGGCAACTATGATCTTGTGATAAATGATTATGCGAGAGTGAAAAATCTCTTTAAAAATACTGAGGTTGAAGTTTTTAAAAAAGTATTAGCCGAAATTGAAAGTAGAATTGAAACATTAAGGGATATTTTGAGAAAAAAACTCGATGAAGTACCATTCACATTGGAGGAGCAAAAGAAAATTATTCGAAATCTTGTTAGTCTTGAGGCTGAAGGTGATCCTGCTTGGGACGCAATAGGTGAGTAACAAAATAAAAAATATTAATAAAAATAATAATAATAATGATAATAATTAGAGGAATAAAATTTTCAAAGTAATCAATCTTGCAAAGAAAAAAAAATTCACATTCGTGCAGAGAATATAATTCTCAATTTTCTGTGCTAATTCTTTTTTTTTTATTTTCTGAACTTCTATATAATAAATTATTTGTTATTTAAAAATTTTCAAATTACTGAATTTAATTTATAATTATGAAAATTTATAGTATCGCATGCATCCTATTTGGAGAAGAGCGTAAAATTGTGTGTTGAAGAATGTTTTGAGGCAGAAAGTGAAGAATTAAAACAATTGAAATCCAATGCAACAACACCAATGTCAATGAAGCAATTATTGAGAACAAATAAAAATGATAAAAATAGTATTTCATTGAGAGTTCAATGCATTGAAGCAATTTGTGAAATTATTACCGAACAACTTCCCGATCTTTGGCGTTTAGGACAAAGTTATTTTACCGGACAACTTCATGTTAGTGTTAATGCTGAAAAACAAGGACCATTTAAAGTAAGAAAAAATATTAAATTTATTATTTTTCATTAATTAAGTAATTAATAATAATTAATAATAATTATTTTATAGAAAAATTAATTAAAAAAGAAAAAAAAATACATTAAAAAAAAAAATATTTTCAAAATTTTTCCAAAGTTTTTAAAATCTTTTTCAAATATTTTAATTAAATTAATTTATCCGGATAATTGAAATAATGAATTATATTTTATATCAACATTTATTTAGCAATATTAAAAATGAAGAATTATTTATAATAATTTAATTTAAAAAATGAATGTAAATAAAGGAATGTGTTGATTAATTTTTAATTTCATATTTATAATAATTTTGATTTTGTTTTTGTAGAATTTAGTTTTATCGAGTATTCAACATGCTGTAAATGCAATGAAAACTGCGTACAGTACGAAAGTTGATGCTCCTTGGCTTTTGCACAGTCTTCGATGTATACGTCAAATGTACGCTTCTTTAATTCATTTAGATTTGCCGAGCGATGCTCTCGATATTTTTGGAAATTTCATATTTGATTTGAGGTAGAGTATAATTATATAATAATAGTTAATTTGATTTTGTTAAAAATTTAATTTTTAGACGAAATTTAAACTTGTTTCATTTAACGCAAAAATTAGTATAAATTTTTTTTATTTTCTTTTATTAAAATGTTTAATATTATAAAAATAATAAGAAGAAAAGGTCTTTTTATAATAATATAACAACAATCATAAAAATAAAATAATATAATATATAAATAATAATATAAAGAATAATAAAATTATTTTACAGAATGCTGTGTTTAGCATCTTTATTTAGACAAACGGCGGAAAATATTTTAGCTTTACAGCGCAAAGAAATTTGGCAAGTTGAATATTTAAATGAAGACGGTGGAATAACAAAATTGGTATGCTATATATATATTGTAAAATTTTTGATAATATATAGAAATTATTTTCGTTATTTTATTTTTAAGAAATTAAAAATAAAAAAATATTTCACATTTTATATAAATCAAATGAAAATATAAGATAAAATTAAAAATATTTTAATTAATTTTGAATTAAACATTAAATTTTAATAGCCGTCATTATTTGAAAAAATGGTAATGGAAGTTTCTAAATTGGCACGAGAAACTGCAGTTGCTTGTGGACCAAGAGAAGCGCTTCTATTGGCAAATTTATCGCAACAAGAATTATATTACAATTTTATAAAATCACTCTTCACGACATTTACACGATGTCTTCGACAATTGGCTTTTAGTGGCAGTGAAGAAGCATTGGAAGAAGAAATTTCATCAGTTTCACAACTTGTTAGCTCGCCCATTGCTTATAGAATCAGGGATAGTAAGCAACACGGTCCGGTATGTTAATTAATCACAACTATTTATTTGTTTTTCTAATTTTTTGTTACAAAACATTTATTTTTAATTTTAAAGTTCAAGTATCCAGAAAAAAGGAAATTTTTTTTAATTTTAATACAATTAGAATAGCCACACAAATCAAGAAAGGAAAAAAAATTTTTTTTTTGCAATTTTTCTGATAAGAAATGAATTTCTCAATTTTCTAATTAAAAAAAATTTGACTAGAAATTGTGAAAAATAAATATATAATTTTTTTTTTAGACTTGGGAGCAGTGTTTGTTAATATCATTGAGTAATATTCGCTATACGTTGAAAACAATATTGCCACGCGTTGAGGAAAATTTGAAAACACTAGGATATCCTGATTTATCAATGGCCACTGGTTGGAATTCTGATTGGACACAATTAGAGACACTTGATACTGCTGTTTTGGAAGCGTATTTAGAACGACGTTGCGATCCACTTGTTGGTACAATAGAGCCAAGTATGTATTTAGGTGATTTAGAATGGGATTCATTTTTGGAGCCAACGCATGCTCGACCCTATGCACAGGAGGCGCTTGCTAATTTAATTGCAGTTCATGCGGAGGTATGTAATAAATAATTTATTACGTAGAGTTACAAATTTTTTTTCTTTATTGTATAATAGTGAAAAAATCAATTTCAACAATTGGGGTACAAAAGTTTCAATGTCTAAGGGCCCAAAGTATTATTTTTCCAAACGTTGCTTTCTTTTATTTTTCCAATTTCGAAGTGCAAATTCTTTTTTTGTTACTACTTTTTATTTTTTTTTTCTTTTTTGATTAATTTAATTTGTAAACACAGGTTCGACGTGTCTCTCCAGGATTATTAAATAGAGTTTTATCGCACATTGTCGAGACAATTGCCGAAGAATTAAATCGATTGATGTCTTGTGTAACTCGTTTTAGTCCATCGGGAATTATTCAAGCTCGTACAGATATTTATATGCTTTCAAAGGCTTTTGAACCATATATAACTCCAAAGGCAAAGTAAGAACAAAAATAAATAAATTTACTTTCAAAAATTAATTTTTATTAACATTAAATTAATAAACCCAATGAGTTTCAATTTTGAATTTAGTTATTTATTTTGTTTGTTTTATTCAAAAGAGTTTTCTTGGAAGAGGCATTAGAAGCAATTCCACAACCAGCCAATCAGGAGGATTTGTTGCGAATAAAATCATTATCATCAAAAATTTCAACGTCAATGAAACTTCAACTTTATTGTCTTGCCGATCCAACGTTTACGAAAAAAAATTTAGAAGAAAAAATCACAGAATCAATAACAACAATTGTGTAAATATATAAATAAAATTGTACAAATTTAACAATATATATATATATATATAGTTATAAATAAAGAGAAAAATTATTTTCATTTCTTTTTGTTTTGTAAATTTTTTTCTTACAGACACAAAAGTTGTAAAAATAATTTTTTCTTTCATTAATTGTTAATAATATAATTAATTATTTTTAAAATATTTTTTTATTTTAATTAGTAAATAAAATTTGTTAAACATTATGATTGGGTAAAATAAAACGTAAATTTTTTTTTGTTTACAATAATTAATAAATAAGATGCATCAATAATTTATTTTTTGAATCACTTATAATTTTCCATTTTTTTTTTTTTAAGTTAGTTTATACAATAGTAATGAGGTATCATTTTTTTAACGGCATTATACATTAGTAAAAATTCTTATGCATAAAAAAAATTCATTTTACACTTTTAACTGTAAAACAATTTTGGTAGATATTGAGTATTTGTGTTTTGAAAAAATGTATAATTTAAAAAATGTAATATACAATAGACCTTTTCGAATTTCTTTTGTTGTTATATTATTAAACATATTTTTAAAAAATAGTTTCGCTAGGTACTTAAAATTCTAATAATTATTTTTGTCTCTATAAAAGAAAATTTTTCTAATTTAAAAAAAGAAAAGAAAAAGTCTAAAGTAATGAACAGTATTGTAAAACTTTGGTGTTTATTCCTGAGTGTTTTTTCAAAAAGAAATGAAAAAAATGAAATAATTTTCTAATTAAACATTTTCAACACTCTTGACTTTTATAAAAATGCTTTCATTTTGGGGAAGATTAAAAAAGTTTGCTTTACAAAAAAGAAAATTTATTCCTCTTTACTCTTCCCCTGACAGTAAATAAATAAATAAAAAAAAAGAAATTTTAAATTATTACAATCTATGACAAAAAAGTCAATTGGAAATATTTTATGGAACATGATTTTTTTTTATTATATTATGACAATAATGATCTAATTAAAATTTCCTTTTTTTTATTTTTTTTAGCATTTAATGCTAAAAATAAATTAGATATTGTAAAATGTATTTAATGAGAAACTACAAAAATGAAATATACAAAAATGTAAATTTATATAATGATTAACGATTAAAAAAAAGTGAAAAACTTCCTAAATAAGATATAAATATTATCTCTCTTTTCAAAATAAGACGAAAAGATAAACGCTAATTTAAAATTTTAAATGCTCAGTAAAAAGCTTTGTACATATTCTTAAATAAAATTTATTATCTATAACAAACAAGCAATCTTCATGGAAGAAGCTTGAAAGTATAATATTATATAGAAACTAATTTTTTTGTACATATATAGCTTTACAAAATACAATTTGCACTTAAGTCTTTTTGAACAAATTGCTTATAGATGCCTCATTTTTATTCAGTCAATTAAATTATTCTTTCATTCAGTTTCAAAATAAACTGAATTATTTAAAATAGAAATTACAAAAATTCACTTTCATTATTCTTTTTTGCTAAATATATAATATTAAACTATATATTCTAATAAATTTTTTTTTGTATTTCCTTGAGATTAAATTTAATTAATTTAACTTAATTAAATTTTATAATTAATTTGCGACTAAATTAAATTTAATAATGTTGACTAAATTTGATAAAATTTCAATTTTAATCAATATTTTTTGACTAAATTAAATTTAATTAAAATTAAATTAAATTAATATTGCATTAAATTCATTTAAATAATTAAATTAACTAAATTTCTATAAATATTAAAAGCAAATCACTGAGGTCAATATAAAGTTGAGAGATTACCTTTCCAATAATTTCTTCTTTATACTTACAGCATCATTTCTTTTTTTTTTTTCTTTTTTTTTGTATTAAATGGAACCTGCTGATGATTAAATGGCAAATCGTATAATGCGCAGCTCCGAGATCATTTTTAGAATTAAAAAAAAAATGATACCCTCCAAATTTGCTTGCCTAGAGGTGGGTCTGAAAAGGGTGTAATGAAAAAAAGAACTGAATGATTAAATGAAATCAAATTTTGTGTAAATGAATGAAAAATAAATATTTGCCAATTTAATAAAAATTTCACCCACATGCATATATTTTAGTCTATACTTAATTATAATCGTCAATTTATTAGTGGTTAAAATAATAATACTCGAATTTTTATTTTTAGTAAAAAGATTTATATATAGTATTTTTATATATTGCCAACAATTTCAATTATTGCAATTAGCGTTCAAATACAACTATGAAATACGTCTTCATTTTTTTAAATAATTATTATTTTTATATTTGTTCGTAATTAACTACTTATTTTTTTATAATTCAGACATTTAAAAATATATACAATAGTCTCTTTTTGGGGGGGAATTTTTTATAATATTTATATTTTCATGAAAAAGACTTCTTTGGATCAAATATTGCATTCAATTTACATTTATAAAAAAAAAATTAATGTAATTAAAACTTTTTTTAAAATTAAAAAGGATTTTTCTACTATTTAGGGATTTTTCTCTTCTTTTTCATTTTAAAGTTAATTATTGTTAAAAATATATTTTCTTTACAAAAAAAAAAATAAAATAAAATTTGTAAAGAATAGAAAAAATTCGCAGTTTTCTTTCGAATAAAAAAAAGTAAATCGAAATGAAAGTATTTTTTTTCGCTTTGTTATATTAGAAAAAATACTTTCTATTCGATTCAAAGAAGACTTTTTCTCAATATTAGAAACAAATTCATAATATAGAAAAAATACTGTTTATCAAATAAGTACAATACTTAGTAATAAAAATGTATACATTTCATTTTTTCATATTAATACAACGCAAATTTCTTTTATTATAAAAATCTAAATATAAAATATCATTTTTTTTTTGAATTATTTAAATTATTGAAAATCTCTCTCTATAATTTAAATCAGTGAAAATTTATAAATTATTGTTTTTGAATAATTTAAATAATTTCAAATCATTTTCAGTTTTTTTTTTTTTTTTTTAATGACTTTTTTAAAGAACCGTTTCTTATATTTTACTATATAACTTCATTTCATTCAATATTTTCTATCTATAATATAATAATACATAATAATAATAATAATAATAATAATAATATAATAATAATATAAATAATATATAATAATTTCTAAATAAAATTATAAAGTCAGTTTTTGCTAAATTATAATTTAAAAAAAAACGCCTTTTCCCCACGATCGATCAATAATTAATTTTTCTAGACATTGAAATTGTTTCTAAATAAATTATTTTAAATTTTCATCCTTCAGAGAGATTCAAAAAAAAATTCAATCGTAGTCTTATTTAATTTTTTTCAGTGGATTCTTGTAGTCATGGTCTTCGATGCCGTAGATTTAGTGCACGTTGTACTGCAGTCACAATTGCAACATGTTTAAAACTTGATCGCTCCGACATTCTTCTTCTTAAACGTTGTGACAGTCGATTGGATATTCTATCGAAGTAATCTATCTGTTCGAAACTATAGGTGTCCCGTCTCTAGATCATTCGATATAAATCGTTAAAAAAAAAACAAATTTTAAGTTTTCTATTTATTTACTCATTTTTTTTTCTATATTTCAATTTTCTTCTAAGAATTCTCAATTTCTTGCTCTAATTTTACTATGTAAGCCAAAAAAAAAAAAATCACATAGAATTTTAAGCGATATTTATTTTCAATTGATTCTCAATTTTTTTTCCTTCATAACATAATTTTTTTTTATATTTATAAATTAATAAATATAAAAATTAAAATAAATATATAAAATTTCAATTTCAACAAATATATGCATGTAAATATAAAAGAAATAAATCGAAAATCATATCTGAAAAGCAATATCGAAGAGCATCAAGCTTGGAAAATATTTGCATGCTCCTATAATCTATTATAATAAGAAAAAGCGAAGTGACATTTTTCAAGACTGTAAAAATAATAATAATAAAAAAAAAAACTCGCAAGCGACGGATCTTCGAGCTTTGGTACATTTTTCACATCAATTAAAATGGTTAAAACAGACAAATTTTTCTACAGACATATATAAAAAATTATTGTGAAACAAATGAAACACGAATCACTGTGCACTAAACATTATAATAAATAGGAAAACAAAAAAAAATATATATATCAACTATATAATGTGATGAAGAAAATTAATATTAATAATATTTTTTACAGTTGATAACTTTAAAAAACATTTTGGTACAATAAAAATATAAGATTTTTGAAAAATAAATTTCTTTCAATTTATTTTGACATCGGTGAAAATTGAAATTTACATTTACGATCAACGATTATGAAATTATATAATTATATATAATAATTTTTGTCCTAAAAAAAATTTTACAAAATTTCTTTATCAATAATTTAAAAAAAAAATATGAAGGCAAATAATTAATTTCTATATTAATTAAATTTCTCAGAATTAATTCTAGACAAATATTGATTGTGGAAAATTATCATTTATAAATTAATTATTTTCTAAATGAAAAATATATTTTTTTCCAATCGTTGATCATAAATTTCACTGAATTTCACTGACGTTTATCTCGAAAGTTCGAGATAAATATAATATTAAATTTGACAAAGAATACTTGTACAAAAACGTTTTCGTCGTCCCAACACCAAATTAAAGAAATGAATATTTTTTTTTTATATAATTCAACTTTAGTTACAATTTGAATTAAAATTGTCCTTCAAGCGCTAGTATTAAAAAAAAAACAATTAAGTCACATTTTAATTAGTAAATTAAATATTCGCAGTTTATCATCAAAATCGTATTTGGAATGAAGTATATAAAAATCAAGTTTTAGTAAAATCATTTACCTAATTAATCATTAATAATTACGAATAATTCAATTACTAATTAATTAAATTAATTTTGTAATCTTTACAAATTTTAATTTCATTTAATTTGTAAAAATTAATTAATTTAATTTAATTAAAATTAATACGACAAAATACGATTCTGATGAACAAAATATTCAATCATGTAAAGTAAATGTTAATTTATTCGAACTATTATATATTTTTATTTTATGGTACACGCACACCGATGTATCAGAAAAATTGTTAAAGTTTAAAATAAATAAATAAATATTTTATTTATTTATTTATATAATAATTCGAGGAGAACAATAACAAGTTTCTTTATTTTATGCGTAGACGCTTTTTAAAATGGGAGCACTGGTACTGTTTTAAAAATTCAAAATATTTTTATGCAGCGTAAAAAAGCCTTGTAAATATAAAACATATTATCATTCATCTTCAATATTACTTTACATTTTTTTTTTTCTATAGTCAAATCTTTTCTATCAAATTTTCTATCCTTGGAAAAGAAAAAAGTAAAAAACTTTTTTTCACATTTCTTAAAATTATATTACATTAGAACAAAATCTTATTTTTTTTCCGCAAATATCTCTTTTTCTCTATTCAACTAATATTTATAAATATTTTATTTTTTCGAAATTTCTTTCAAACTATCTTACTAAAGAAAATCTCATATTTATTTGTTCGAAATAATATCCTGACTGTTTCATTTTTTTTTTTTTAAAGCTTTCGTTGTACCTTATTAGTTTTGCACATAAATTATATTTAAAAAAAAATGTTTACTTTAAAAAGTTAAAATTATTTTTAAAAATCGGTATAAAAAATTATTATTGCGCTTTACTTAGAATTTAAAGGAATGCAATTATTTTTGGAAATATGCAGCGTCTAGCGTTAAACAATTTTAAGAAAACATGTAAGCTTATTATTTATTTAATTTAAACATAAACCCTTTTAGAGTAAAATAAAAAAAAAATTTTTTAATTAAATTTAGAAATAAAATATTTATATAGAATTAAGAAAAAAATTTTTATTAATAAACCAAAATCTATTTACTTAAAATAATATCAAAATTGTTAATGACTAGATAAATTACAAAAAAAATTTTAAAAAAACATATTTATAATACACATTTTGAGAAAATAATTTCAAAACTAAATTAACTATTATTTTTCATCAAATATTGCTTACATGATTTCTTTTTCGTGTTTTGGATTGATTTCGCACAACATCCACAAGCGTTAAACATTAAATAACATTTTTTCATTAATTGAACAACATTTTGGCCTCTTCAAAAATTTCTCTAAGTTTCCTTGCCTTTTTCTTAATGACAAACTGTCATCTAAAAACTGGTTTCCTATACACAGACGCACGCAAGTTTTACAATTTTTTTTTTTTCTCGTACACAGAAAAGAAGTTGAAAAAGATTTTTTTTTAACGTTAAAATTTTAATTTCTAAAAGTTACAAAAATAAGTCGAATTCAAATTAAAAAAATTCACCTAAAATTAAAAAAAATTTTTTTTTTTAAATGCTGAATTATTTCTCTAAAGCGGCCAAAATAATAGCTAAATTTTAACGAATGTGACAGGTGAATATTATTTTTTTTTTTGTCTCAATTAATTTAAGGGCATATAATAAATAATTAATATTATAGTAATAAAATTATTATGTAGTTAATAATAAAAAAATGAAATAATAGTAAAATAGCACATTTTTTTTAATAAAAAAATTTAAAAAGCTTTTAATAAATATTCATTTTAATATTTAATTAATATAAAAATATAAATTTTTATCAAAAATTAACTAAAAAAAAAAAAAAAATAAAATATAATTCTTTTCGAATAATTGTCAAATGTTTTTTTTCAATTTTATATATCACACGCCCTTAATTAAAATTGATGAATTATACTTCATAATATTTGATATATAAACAACCATATATGAATAAAAGTTGACTATTTTTGATGAGGAATTTTCAATTTTTTTTTCTGTGCACCTATATAACATTATTGTGATTGACTCTCACTTTTTTTTTGATAATATAATACAATACTTGGTAAGTCATATACAGAGGGATATGATTAAAAATATTACTTTTACTATACAATTGCACAATAACGACAGACATAAAGAACGCGATAAATATTTTTTTTTTTTGTTTTGTTTACACGTATGCATAATATGTATAATAATTATAATATTAAGTCTTGCGATTTTTCTCTTTAATTAAAATTAAAATTATTTACAACGCCATTAGATTTTCTTTTTTTTTTTTTTTATAGATACGTAACATCTAAAAATGAGAGCCTTAATAATAAGCAAATATTGCCAACGGATTCAATATTCTGTAAGACAATTCCTTTTTCTTTTGTTATTTTAATTATATATTTATATATATATTTCTGATTTATATAATCACGATATTTTATATTTCCTTTTCTTTTCGGAAAAAAAATAACTTTTTTTTCAACATAAGCTTTGTAGGTACATAATTCTTATGGAAAAACAAATTTTTTTTTTAAATTTCAAGTCACAAAGTATATTATTTTTATATTCTAATAAAATTCGAAAATTTTGGAATTTATTTACATAAAATGAAAATAAAAATATTTTTAAATTGCGACAATTTGAATCTTGTTTGCGTTTTTTTTTTTTTTTTTTTAATTTTGTAATCTTTGATTAAAATTTTATATTTAAATATTTTTTGAATATTGTTTTTTTTTTCAAAATTCAGTTCAATTTTTAATTTAGCTTCTAATAATTTTAAAAAGACAAAATTTTAAATTATACTTATTAAAAAGAAATTTTTGTAACTTGAAAAATTCCATGCTTTATTGTTACGTTGAATGGCATATAGGCCATAATTTTTATACACTTAAAAATAAATAAATATTTAAAAAAAAAATGAATATTATTTTACAAAATTAAATTTTAAATTAAAAACTTTTATATATTCTATAATATTGTTTTTGTTCTGAATAAAAGAACGTGCCTCATCATCAAGCTGTGTTTACTTAAATCGTCTAAGATATTTTTGTCATGTATTTCTCTAAATCACTAATCTCCCCTCACACACTAGTCAATCTTTTTCTCAATGATTTTAAGTACCAGGTATTTTTGAGGTAATGAAGGTGTCGATTTTAATTCATTAAAAAATATGCGAAATTACAAAAAAAAAAAAATTCTCTTCAGAATTTTTTAATTGAAAAATTTCAAAAATTACTATTTTTAAATTCTGAAAAGAATTTGAGAAAAAAAAATTTAATACTCGAATAATAAGAATGGAAAGTGAATAAAATAATAAAAGAAAAAAAAAGAGTGAAATTAATAATGTTTAATTTATAAAAACTGACTTCCAGATGGAATTTGATTTAGCGTCATATTTCAGTGATTTTTTTTTTCTTTCGTATACTTTAATAATATTATAATAAGATATTTCTCGAATCCTATAATGAATCCTTTCCCACTCTTACGTCACTTTCGAAGATTCGTCGCTGCGACGAAGCACACCATTTTTTCTCGATGGTCGAAGAGGACAAGACGTTCAATCTCGTTGTAGTATTTCCTAATTTAGGCAAATAGACAAGCTTTCAGACCATGACGCCAGCTGTAGAGCGTTTCGAAATAATAACGACATAAAAAAAAAAAACTACTGACAATTAAATCCCAAAATGAATTTCAAATTTATCAATTTTCCTTATAAACCATTCATAGAAAAAACAAAACAAAAAAATGGAACTTCTAAAAAAAAACACTATTTACGAATAATTACAATCAATTTAAATATTTCACATAAATAAATTTGTTTTTAATTTAAAATTTATTGTGAATGAATAATAAAATTTTATTTTCTACATAAATAACAGAATATTATTAATTGAACATTAGGAAATTTATATTATTTTTTCAAATTCAAAACGTAAAACATTTTTTAATTTATCAATTTATGTCCAACAACTGTTGGATTTATTTCAATAAAATAAAATAAAATAATTTTCTAAATTAAATTATATTTAAAATTTAATTGTTTTTAAATTAAATTATTATTGCTCGATTAAAAAAAAAAAATAAAAAAAAACTTCAGTACCGCGATTTTTATATCGCGAAACGCAAAAATTGTTTAAAAATTTTATTTAAAACTAAAAAATGTCCAGAAATTGTTTTTCTAAAATAAATCTTTCCTATGTAGGAAAATAAAAAAAAGTAGAAAATTGAAGTTAAAATTTAGAGAAATAGAGAAAATAATCGAAAAATACTATTCATAACAGACGAAAAATCTCTAAATCAATGTAATTGAATTTACAAAGATATTCAAATATTATTTTCATACGATATGAAAATAATTGAATTTAAAGAAATATTAGACAAAAAAAATAATAAATTTTTATCTAAAATAAATGAATTGTACAATAGATAGATAATTTAAAAAGAATTGATATTTTTACAAAACAAATAAAATTTTAATAAAATTAAATTTTTTAAATATATTTAAACAAAAAAAAAATTTTAATTTTGCATACAATTAAAAATATGTTTTTCAATTTAAAAGAATAATATAAATATTGCTTACATTAAATTTATAATTTATTTTATTAATTATGAGTTGAAAAAATAAAATTGTACTGTAATTTTTGAAAATTTTCATTTATAAATTTTTTGTTAAAATTAGTATCAAGAAAAATTTTTCAAAAATTTAATTAATACTTCGAAACGCTCAACGTACTTTTCACTAATTTTTTTTTTGTGCTTTTAGCATTTTAGACTGTTACACAATATATTAGCAACAAAAGCGGCGAGGAGGAAAAGGTCAAAGGAAAGCAAACTATATAATAATTATTATATATAATAATACATGAAATAATGAATATGAAAAATTAAAAATACTTAACAAAGGGACATTCACAAATGTTTTTTTGTTAAACAATGAACCTTTTCGATACCATTAGCCGATTTCGTTACTAACTTCAACGAAAAAAAAAAACAAAAAAACAAAACAATTTTCAAATATAAATAAGACGACACAAAATTTGCTAACATTAACGCAGACTTCATTATTCTTTAATTTTAGTTTTGTTATTTCTACAGAAATGATGCAATATTTTTTATAATAAAAAAATTATTGCATTTTTTTTCTACAATAATGATTAAATTATAGCGCAGTGACATTTTGATATATATATGCAAAATTAGTATTTGTGTCAATATTTTCGTTTGCTGGATGAATTTGGTGTGCAATATTATTAATATTGAATGCAATTTTGATATTTGTTATTTTCATGAAAAAAAAAAAAAAAAAAAAAAAATTCCCAGGCTCGATATAAAATCGACTAGTTATAATAAATTGATTTAGTTAGAAATTGTAAAAATAATTATCGAGAATGTGAATATTAAATTTGTGGCTTTTTTTTAATATATTAGAAAATAAAGAATTATGTAAAAAAAAAAAAAAAGAAAATTTAACTTACCATTTCAGTAGTGAGACTGGCAAGGGCCTCTTCCATGGTTGCGGTAATTCTTCCACTTTTATCTCCACTTCTTTGACTGCTTCTAATCGGTGTTGTCGGGCAACCTAAAATTATCGTCAATAATGATCATGAAAAATGCTTTGATATAAATACACAAAAAAAAAAAAGAAAAAAGTGAAATAATAATTTTTTGATGATAAAATGTACAAAAATTTATCAGTCCACGAAATTCTAGCGGATTGACTTCTAAAAATATGAATTGGCTTGAAATAATTATGAATTCAAGCAAAATTGAATTTTTATTTTGAAAAAAAAAAAAATTATATTTTAATTTAAATAATCGACTATTATCAAAATAAATATTTATTTAAAGAAAATAATTTTTATTTGAAGCAAATAATTTATTTCAATCAAATAAATTGTATTTCTAATAAAATATAATTTCAAATAAATATACCACTTGAATAATAATTATTTGTTGTAAAATATTTTTCTCGCAATTTAAATTAATTCTATTTCTAATTATCGAACAAAATGTAAAATTATTAAAAAATTTGTTTATGCAAAATTTTTACAAAAATTGAGAAGCATTAATAAGCTCTAAAATTAATTTGTTAGAATTTTCATTTGACAAATATTAAAAAAAAAATTTTTCTAATATCCTTTCTGTAAAATAAAAATTAATGAAAATTAGAGAAAATAGTAAATTCAAATTCGATGATATAAAAAGTTTGTAAAATAAAAAAAATTACATTTAAATAAACAATTCGAAAATAATTCGAAGAAATGGAAATTTTGCTAAAAATAAATTTAGGATAATAAAAATTCAAATTCTAACAAATTAATTTTTAAAGCTTATTCATGTGTCACAAAAATATTTGCAAAATAAAATAGAACAATATTGTTAAAACTTATTATTATTATTATTTTATTTTTTGGAAGAAAACGAAGATATTTTAACAGAAAAATAAAAATAATTCAGAGACCTTGGGAGAATTTTGGAAGATAAAAAATAAAAAGCTATGAAATACATTAGTGATGAAGAGGGAAAAACATTGAAAATAAATAATTCAATGTTTCTACGAATGTTTCAATTATTATTAATGAAGCTCGTGATTTCGAAGCTTGAAATGGGGGGGCGAAAAGGACGCGGATCGATGATATTAAAAAAAAAAAAAAAAAAAAAAAACGAATGGAATCATGCCTACGTGAAAAACAATAGCATGAAGCAATAATAATGTGAGAAATAGAGACAGAGAGAAAATACAATAGTGACTAATAAAAAAGAAGAAAATCGAAACTTATCTCCACGTCGCTCCTAAAAATGATTGTCAAAGCTTAAAAAATAAGAGTGTGAAACACAAGGATTGATTGAGCGAAGACTGAGACTAAAGATTTTCATATTTATATTCATTTATATATATACTTCTGCTTTATTGTCATTTTCAAAACGTAGGGCAGCTTGACATAACTTTCTTAATTTGCTAAACAGGACTAGACTAGACTAGACTAATTCTAGTTAATTTCTATAATACATTTATGTAATCTCACATTAAATTTTTGGAAGAATCTGCCGACAAACATTTATTTTATTTCTAACTATATAGAGATTTCGCCTCCGCAAATATTTTTTATTTCTTTAATCTCTTTTTTTCTCATTAATTTTTTTAATAACTTTAAAAATATTTTTTTTTTTTCTAAATATTCCCTTTAACTCTTTAAATTCTTTTATTTCTTCCGAAACAGATTATTATATTCTCTATATATATTTTATATTTTTTCTAAATTAAAATTCTCTAAATTTTTTTCTATGAAATTTCACGACTTTTCATTAAATTTTGTTTACTTTTTTTTTAAATATTTATTTATTTTTTTTTTTTAAAAAGACTTTTTTAGGAAAATATTAAACTGAAGCGAATTATTTAAAATAAAATCAAGCAGATACTTCCAATTTGCAATTAAATATCATCGATTCGCAACGCACTCACAAATGACAACCTTGAATAACAATCTAAATTTTAATACATAATCTAGATAACGAGATTATTGAGGCACTGGTCTCATTGAGACGGAATTACACTTAAAATTTGGACAATAATTTCAAATATATCAAGATCCCTGTAAAAATGATAGATCAAAATGATCGTTTTTGATTCACAAACGAATCTCTAATAAAGTCTTTTCAAATTTAACGTAGTTTTTCTTGTTTTTTTTTTTTTTTTTAACTATAATTACAAATTACGTTGTTACTGTACTATTGCTAACATTTCTTTAATATTTTAAACTGATTTTTTTGGAGATATGATTTTTAAATGTACAGATCAAGAAAATTAGTAAACCTTTTTGCTAATTAATTTAAAAATTTTCAAATAAAAATTGAAAATTTTTCAAAAATTTTTAAATTACATTCGAATTTAAACGTTAATTTCATTAAAGAATAATTATTATTGATTATTATAAACATTTAAAGATAATTTAGAAAAAAAGCACATTCAAAGAAAAATAATTATGTTAATTCGCAATTAATTATAAAAAGTAAAATTATAATTTTGAGTAAAAATAAAAATTAAATTACAAAAATTAAAACGTGCGAGTTTTTCATAATTTTCAAATTGATTTTTTCTTTATTGCAAATTTTTTTCTATATTATATTTTTTTAATCAACAATAATGTTAGTGTGGACTATTCTCATTTATATTCGAATTAAAATATTTTACTTTAAATATCATTAAAAATTTAAATAAAATATTTAATAACTTTAAATTTAATAATATAATAAAAAAGATAATTAAAAAAAAAAGTTTTTTAATTAAAAATCTCTTGTCTTAACTATTAAAATTAAAAATGTTGGAAGATTTCATATAAGATTAAAAGCAATCTTTGGTCCCATATTAATATGTAGTTCATTTCAACTATATACAAAATTAAATTAAAATCTCTTGTTTTTTTTTTTACTAGGAAATATACAAATATTTTTTCAATATGATCGAACGTATATTTTCAATGTAGAAAAAATAATTTCAAAATATAAAAATTTAACTAGATAAAATTTATATTAATATTAAGTAAATAAAATATTTTATTCTATTTGTATTCTTTTTCTTTCAAGAATATTAGATATTTATAAATATATATATATTTTTTTAAATATTCGTTACCTTATCTTTTTTCTCTTTAACGTAAAATAATTGCTTTAATTATTATAAAACCTAATTATATAAATTTAATTGCACTATTAAATTACTATCTAGTAATAATTACTATAAAGAATTAAAATAAAAAGTAAAAATCTAAAAGCTTTTTAGACTCAAAGAGAAGGTATTAGCACCAATTAAATATTTTATGAATACTTAAGTGCACATTCTTTGAAGAGAAAGACGTGAAGTTTCAGGCAGAATTATTTTCAATTGTTAATAACAAAATCAGATGTTTTTGAATTTTAATTATTTTTTTCCCCCAAGAATTAAGAAGAACATAAATTTAATAATTTAAAAACTTTTATACGTTATATACAATAATTCTTTGTGTGATAAAGAAGGGAACAAAATCTGTTACTTAAAAATTGGTTTAACATTTTATTTTTTTCTATCAAGGCAAAAGTTACTTTTCTCCTCTTTGAAGGATAAGTTTTTTTTTCCTTCTTAGGAAAGTTTTACTTTTTCAAAGACTTTTTTTTCCATTCTATCGAAAAAAAAATGGTTTTTTCTTTTTCTTTTTAAGGGTTTTTTTTATTTTTATTTTTTAACGATATGTTTTACTTTCTTTTTTATTTGAAGAAGATTTTTTTCTGTTTTTCTTTTTCAGGAACAGAAGAGAAAAAAAAAATCCATAGCTACAATTTTTCTTTAAAAAATAGAATCTACTACAAAATTCAAGAATTGTAGTAGATGTGAAGCGCAAAAAAACACTTACCTATATCTCCACTACTGGAGCTTTCGGTAAAAGACGGCGTGCCTTCCGTCCAGGTAGGCGTTGATCCTTCAGCACTTCCGGCAGGAGGCGTCCAAGTTAGACCGCCACCACCACGACTACTTCCTCCGCTTTCAACGCTTAAAGATGATTTTGTTTCCCTGCCTCCACTTCCGCTTCCACTACCGCTATTTTCTAGATGAACGTCTGATATACTACAAAATTATATCATTATTATTATTATTTAATAATTTAATGGGACGCATGATTATTCCATAAAATCATTAGTTACAACTTTTATTTTAAAGAATTTATTCTATTACATATAATTATTTTTTTTTTTTGACAAATTTTCATTTTTCGAATTAGCATTTAAAAAAATTCATTTTAAAGCGAATTTTTTACTTTACAGAATTTTTACCAAATTTTTGTATGGTAGAATTTTTATTTTACAGAATTTCTTATTACACAACTTTTTATTTTATTCTCATTTAATTGAATTTAAAGTGCTTCCAATTTTTAAATGCTATAATTTCCAATTCATCGAATCTTAATTTTTCCAAATTTCTTATTTGTAAGAATTGTTATTTGATAGAATTCTAAAAATGTCCAATTTTCATTTATTTGAAATTCCAAAATGGCTAAACAAAAATAATCGACTGAAAGATTATGATTTTAAAATTTATCATTCACGATTTTCTTTTGCTAATTTTTGATTGGTCAATTTTAAAAATCACGCCGAAATATTTCTGTTGATTGTATATTCAACCATTTGCAATTTCGGACATATGAAGATTCGTCGTTTTAAAAATTATATGTATCAAAAATAGGAATTTGTGTAAATTAAAATTTGAACAAATGAAAATTTGGTGAATTAGAAATTTTTATATTTAAAAATTCGTATTACTTAAAATTTTGTTGAATGAGAATTATGCTAAATTAAAATTCGGTTAAAATAAAATTATTGTAAATAAAAATTTAGGTAAGTGGAAATTATGCCAAAATAAAAGTTCGGTACCTAAAAATTCAAAATAAATTCTGTTAAAGACTAAAAAAATCGAGAAACAACCAAAAACATGATAATCAAAAAATTTTAAAAAGCAAGAAGTCAAAGATATTAAAACAAAATTTTAGAGAATTTAAGAATTTGCAAAAAAAAAAAGAAACATTTTTGGGAATAATTAAGACTTTCTTTCAGTTTGTATAAGTAAATGAATAAATTTTAGGAATTCAGAAAATGAGAATTTTAGGGAAAATTCGTTTTGAAAAACGAAAATTTTTGAAAATAGGAAGAAAATAAAAACTTTTATGAAAATAGAGAATTGCAGAAAAAAAGAAATTGAAATTTTAGGAAGTCAAAAAAAAAAAAAAAAAGTATGAAGGAATAATCGAGAATTTTTTTCCGTTTATAAACATAAATAAATTTTTATAATAAGTTTTTCTAAAACAATAAAAGAAGTATTTGAATGATATTTAGAAAAAAAAAGAAAACGTTTGAGGAAAAAATCTAGAAAGAAAGAAAACTAGAGAATTTTAAAATCGGTAGTGAAAGTAGGTAAATAAAAAATTTAAGAAAATAAAAATTCGAAGAAATTGAAAAAAAAACTAGAATTTTATAAATTTAAAACAGAAAGAGAATTTGTAGGAAAAATGGAAATAAAAAAAAAAACACAAAAATTCTAGAAAAAATGTGAAATTCAAGGAAATACAATGTTAAAGAAAAAAAAATCGACAATTTTTGAAATTTAAAAAAATTAAAGATAAATTTTTGGGACAAAATCGTTATAAAAATTTTTTAATTTATATATGGGGGATCCCAGGTGAAGTGATCAGGGTACAAAAATAAATTTCACTTTTTCGCGGTGAAAGGTGTGATATTTTTTTTTCTTTTTGTTTCATCGAAAACTGAAGTTTTTTCCTACAAAAATATATAGTTGAATGTTATTAAACATTAATATGTTTAAATATTGATAATTAATATTTTTGGCTTTTTTGACAATTTTTGGATATTTTTAATCATTTTTTACTATTTTTCAATATTTAAACATTCCTATCCCATTTTTTCAACTATATATATATATATATATATCGTACCTTTCACTCCGAAAAAGTCAAATTTATTTTTGAGTTACATTTTTTTTGGTCAAAATTTTTTTTTTTCAAAAATGCATATTACTAATCGAAAGAGCATTAAAAAAGCTTTTGAAACTGATATTGATGAAAAAATTTTATTTTGATATTTAAGAGAAATAAAAGAATTACAAGAAAAAACCATTTTTTCCCATTTGATCACTTCACTATATATAAAAAATACAAATTAAAATTATTTAAAAATAAAAACATGTTTTAAAAATAAATTTTTTGAATTAACCCATATCGGATATCAGTTCTACTGGTAGAACACTAGAATTCTATTATTCTAAACATACTTAAAAATGTAAATGGAATAATTAAGGGCGTCCAATTGTTTTAAAGACAGTTTTCCAGACATTTTTTTTTTAGAATTTTTTTTGAAAGGAAACTACTGGAGATTTTTTTTTTTTCAAATCTTTCACCTATTTATTTTTGTTTATTTTTTAATATTGTGTAGAGTAATATTTTTAAAAACAATTTTTTAAAATTCTCAATCGATGCCGTGTGAATTTTGCACACAATTTGAAATTCAAAAAAATTAAAAACTCTTTTAAAAAAATTTACGTTGAATGAAAAATATTGATAAAGTAGGGAAAAAAATTCAATTTTTCGGAAAAACAAAAAAAAAAAATTTTTTTTCTCAAAAAAAGACCACCTTTTTTTTGTTCCAAATTTTCAAGATTTATTTGTTATTACTACTTACCAAATTTTAAAGGGTTTTTGTTGACTCTTGATCAAACTAAAATTGTAAACTAGTGTTCGACTAATCGAATAGTCCGATATGGGTTATTAAAAAAAAAAAAAAAAAAAAAAAATGACGAAAAAAAAAATACGAAAAAATGTAAATTTACTCACCTAACTGTGTCATGGTATGTTTTGCTAAGAGTAACATGATGGACGACTTTATTTTGTTTGGAATGAGAACTGCTGAGATTGCTTGTGAGAATGGAGGCACCTGGAGTGCTTTCTTGAACATGATGATGACCACCGGAAGCCAAGGTTTGATCGTTCGAATGTACTGCGTCGTCAAAAGGCGGGGGCGGGGTGGAACAGGCGGAAGGAAGGGTGCCACCTACAAAAAGCGTGCTACAATTAGCCCTAAGAACAATGGATTTAAAAAAAAAAACAACAACAAAGACAACAATTAAAACTAAAAGAAACAGGTCAATCCTAGAAGCACAGGATTTAAATCGTAAAACTTTTTACCTTTTTTTTTATTTTTTTATTTTTTTGAAATCAAAAATTCAATGATTATTTGCAGTTTTCAATTAAAAAAAAAAAAAAAGAAATATTGTCACTTTTTAGATTTTACACAAAATTACAAACAGGAAATTCACAACAAAATATCTAAAATTAATATAGTAATTAATAAAATAGAAAAATTTAACATCAACGATTTAGATTGTTCTTTTTTTTTTAAATATTCAGAGAATAGAATTTTTTAAATGCATATTGTCCCTGAATATTTAAAATATTTTTAATATGATTAAACAAATATTCATACAGGAATTTTAGGTGTGAACGAATAGTGCAATAAATTGGAGAAACAAATGAAGTGCAATTACAAAACAAATTCAATCTAGAGAAATAATTAATTTATTGAATTTTTATTCTATTCTATAAAAGGGACATAATAAGCTAACTACTTAGGAAATTACACTCAGATAATATAAATTTTTGTGAATCAAAAAAAATTTCCCATGTATCAAAAAAAAAAAAAAAAAAAAAAAAAAAAAAAAAAAAAAAAAAAAAAAAATGTTTTTTCATTTAATGAAATCTTCAAAAACAAAGAAATATTTTTCAATTTCTAGAAATGTGTTCTTTGAATTAGAAGAAAAAGTTTTTTTTCACTACAATTTTGTATTTCAAGAAAAAAAAACTCACTTTTTGCATTAATCAATTTTTCAATTTATAAAAATATGTTTTTTATAATAATTAATATTTTTATTTTAACAATATAATAATTATTTATCAAATTTTTTTTTTTCTTCAAAGTCAGTTATAAAAAAAATTAATAACATCATATTTTTAAAATATTAATTATCTAAAAAAAACAAACTTATAAGTTTTTTAAATGACATGAATTTTTCGTTTGCAGCAATTCAAAAATGCAGAGAAACCATTATTTTAATTCAAAAGAATTTTTTTCCGAGTGTAAATTTACCTATATATTATAGAATAATTTCAAATTGAACATTATTATAAGTTGACTAATAAATTCTAAAATATTTGTTTATTATTTTTATTTGTTTTGTATTCATTCACAAATTTTAATTACAAATTATTTAAAACTGAAAATTCACGAAACATAGATCTACATGCAAAAAAAAAAAAAAAAATGGGAGTTTCGAGAAAATGCAATTTTTTTTTCTGTGTTAAAAACTGAATAAATTTTCAAATTAAATGATTTTGTGAGATATTTTTTCAATTTCTTACTTTTATTTTCTTTTTATCTTTTAATATTTAAGACATGTCACAATTTTTCAATTTTTAAAATATTTTATAATTTATTTATATAAATATTTATTTAAAATATAATATATATTAAAAAATTATCAACGGATAATTTAATTCATTCATTAATTATAATTTATTATTATTATTTGTTTGCAATTCTCACTTGGTCGTTAAATAGTCTTATTAATAATCTCAGTTAATTCTGTTTAAAAAATCAAAAATTTTTTTTATAAAAAATAATACACACAAATTATTTAAAAAAAAAAAACATTAACTTTTGCAAAATTTCTTTTTGAAATGAAAATGATTTTTTAAAAATTCATGTATTATTGTGCTGGAAAAATTATTGAAAAAAAAATCAAAATTTGCACCAAAATATTTATAGAAAAAAACGATTTTAATTTTCTACTTAAAAAAAATAATTAAATAAAATCATAAATTACAATATTTTATACAGAATTAACTCAGATTGATTTACAATTACTAAATTTACTATTATTATTATTATTATTATTATTATTATTATTATTATTATTATTATTAATTAATAATAATATTATATGATTAATTAATATCATTACTGATCACAAATTTAAACCTAGTGATTAAAAAGTTAATATTTTTTATGTGAAATCCTCTGTCTCTATCCTTTTAATATTTCATGTTTTTAAAAAGTTTATATCAAAATGATTATTATTTATAATTATCTAGAATTAGTTGTTAGATAAATTTGATTCTTTTTTTTATGAAAATCTTTTTCTAGATTAATATTAATAATTAATAATATTTTATACCTATGTATTTTTATTTCAGTCATCGACTTATTATTTGGACACTTGTGACACATTCTGACTTTATTGGTTCGAGATAATAAAATTTATCGAATTAGAAATTTTCTTTTTCTTTTTTCAGGTTAAAAAAATTTCAAAAAAAAAAAAAAAATGATGAAACATCTCAATCCTTATATTGTATAATAAAATCTACCCTTAAAGAAAATTCAGGCCTCGGATTGACTTTAAGGCACAAAAAAAGTCGCTTTAGTCGATTTATATTTCCCAAAAAAAGTCGAAAAAGTCGATTTTTTAATTTTAACAAAATTTAATTGATTAATAAAATATTTTACTTTAAATAACTGATGTTATTAGATATTAAATTCATTTTATTAATTCTGTAACGATAATAATTCTATAAAAATATTATCAAGAACATTTATTTCTAATATTTTAGAATCGAACTAATTGTAAGACAAATTTTCAAAATTTTATTTAAGTATAGGACAAATTTCTTTAAAAAAAAATTTTTGAAGAGTTAAAGTTGAAATTTTTAGAAATAATTGAATTTCAAAAGATTTTGTTAATTTTCAGATAATAATTAAATTTTAAAAAACTAAAAATAATTTATCAAATAATTTTAGATCATATTTTTTAAAAGTAAATGAATTTTCAAAGATGTACAATTTTGATTTTTGAAATTAATTGAAGTTAAAGTGATTTTAAAATTTTTAATTTTTGACGATTTCACTTAAAAATTTATTAGAAATTTGCAGACAAAAATACAATAATTTGAAAACTTTTTAAGCGAAAAAAAGTTTTAGATAGATGAATTTTCGAAGAATATTATAAAAATCATTTAAAAATAATTAAATTTTAGGAGATTTATAATTGAAATTATTAAATATGAAAAAATTTTAAATGAAAAATTTTAGAAATAATTAAATTTTAGAAGATTTTAAATTGAAATTTTTGAAAATAATTGAATTTCAAAAAGAAATTGTGTTAAATTTCAGACAATAATTATAATAATAGAAATTTCTAGTAATTTCTGTTGAAGAAGAATTTATTAGAAATCACATAAAAAAAATTGTATTCCAAAAGTTTTTAATTGAAAATTACTTTCAGATAATTGAATTTTCGAAGAATATTATATAAATCATTAAAAATAATTGAAATTTTTGCAAATAATTAAATTTCAAGTGATTTTGAATTAAAATTTTTTAATAATTTTATTTGCTAAAAATTTTAATTGAAAAATAGTTTAAGATCATTGAATTTGTGAAGAATTTTATTAAAATTATTAAAAATAATTAATTTAGTTAAGAATTTTTCTTAAAAATTTGTTAAATAATTGAAATAAAGATGATTTGAAGAAGATCTGCATTGTATACTAAAAAAATGTATTTTGTTTAAAAATTTTGTAAAAAAAAAAAGTCGGAAAAAGTCGTATAATCCAAGGCCTGAAAATTATATACTCGATTATAAATTTTCTTTAAAATCGAAAATTCAAAATTTTTTTTCATCAATTTAATAAATAATATATTAAAATTTATAAATACGAGTATTGGAATGACCATGCAGAAAAGAAAAATTCGGCAGTCGCATGCTATCAATATCAATATTTTTTCTTTGTCGATTAATTATTGTATCGGATTTTTTTAAATCCATTAAATTTTCACGTTGACGCGAATAATTCTCATTTTCACCATTGTCACGAAATTTTAATGCATTATTGTCACAAATTTGAAAAACTGGTCGATGACGCCCTAAACGATTGCCAAATTGTATTTCAATTTTTTCCCGTTCACTTGTAGCAGTTCCTTGAATATTGTCTTTACATTCATTTAATTCGACACGTGACAATTTTTTTTCATTCGTTGGAATGGGAGCTAATTTTTTTTTCTTTCTACTCATACGTTTTTCAATTATTTTATGTTTCAATAAACTTTGTCGTCTTAATGATACACTCCAATTTTTTTGCATTGTTTCATTTTGTTTTAAATAAGAATTATCTTCAATTTTGTCAGAATTTTCGAAATTAATTTTATTTTCAATTTTCTTATTTCCATAGTCGACATTTTTTTCTTTAATTTTCAATTTTTGTCTTTTAAATTCAAATTTTTTTCTTCCAAATTTTAAATCTTTTTCTCGAAATTTTGGAATTATTTCTCTAATTTCAAGATTCATTGCTCCTTCGCTCTCTTCTTTTTTCTTCTCATTTTCTTTTCGACGAATTTTCTCATAATAAGTCTCGGAGAGTTTTTTGTCCTTTCGCGACAATTTGATATTCCTAAGATCGGAATTTTGGCCAGGATTGATGAAATTGGTGAATTTTTGAAATTTACTCGGTTGTGATAGTTCCTCGTCATTGAGACATTTTTTCACTTCTCTATGAAAATGATTAATCGATGAATCACTCTCGTTTTTATGATGATGTCGTCTCGCCGGTCTAAATGGACATGGACTACTGCGTAAATAATAAAAATTATCAATTTTTTCAACACTGACAAATTCATCATTATCAATATAAGGATTTGATTTTTGGACAATATTCTTTTGTGCAGACATATTCATTTGGAACTGCGACAAGTGAACATTATCGTAAAATGAAAAACGAGAATCATTAAATTCGGCCCATTGGGCTTTTGATATTGTTGGCGGGGAATTTTTTTGGAATTTTTGGATTTCATGCAAAGGTCCCTGATTATTGGAGACGAATGAATTGAGAGATTTTATTGTTGTTGCATGCAACAAGACGGAATTTGCTTCACCTCGGCCGGATATTGTTGTTGATGATGACGATGCAGCATTTGTAGTGCGTTGATCATCGGTTCTTGGACGACCACTTCCACGAGGAGGCACTGGAGGTGGTACTTTACCGGAGGGCACGATGTTAGGATTTGGGGGACTTGCGGCTGTTCTACCCTTAAGAACCGCCGGATAACTGGCCTTTATTGTTGACGATGATTCGATGACTGACGTCAATGGTGGAGGACTTATTGGACCCGAGGAGACATTCACGGGTGTCGAGGTGGCAATTGGGACTGAGTTGTTTGTTATTGCAGGCCCACCACCACAAGTAACCACCGGCTCCGTGGGACTTGTTACTTTTTTTTTTTTTTTGACAATATGATTGACGAGAGGACACACGTGAGACAGAGAGAAAAAAAAGAGAGAAACAAAAGCCATGAGAATGCGATTAGTGAATTTTTATATAATATGGATTTTAATTCGTTGGAACAAGAATAATAATTATTATTTTTATTTCTATTATTATTATTATTATTATTATTATTATTATTATTATTATTGTTTTTAACAGAGAACTAAAAATAAATTTAAAATTTATTTCACCCAAATTCGAAAAAATCCAGTTGTTCAATTTTCGAAAAAAATTATTTTTATGTTAAAATTTTTTTTCAAATAATAATTAGGTAATAAACATTTTGTGTTTTTTTTTTTTTTTTAGAAGTTAGTGAACAATATTCTAATTTTTATCCAATTTTTATAAATAATTACTCAATTTTTTCTTTGAAAGATTCTCTAAATTTTATAATTTTGTACTTTTGTTAAATAATGGTTTGTTTAAAAAATATAAAAAAATTTTCTTTGCTTATAGTATTAGCTTTTGAACAAAATATTGTTTATAAAATTCAACGAACAGAATATTGTTAAAAATCTTTCAAAAAATAAATAAATAAAATGAACTATTGTTGATAAAAATTACAATTGTTCGCGCACCAACTTTAAATAAAAAAGAACATAAAAAATGAAATAACAATAATTATTTAACAACAAATTATTAAAGTTCAAAATAATTTATATTGAAAATCATACATATAACTGAATCTTTCAAAATTTGATAAAATTAATTTTATTTATAATTTTTTTTTTTGTTTTTAGAGAAGAAAAGAAAAATTTTTTTCAAAAAAAAAAATCCAGAATTTTGAATTCTGAAAAATGAAAAGGGATAAAAAAAAAGTTTAAGAGAAAATAAAAAAAAAATCGATATGAAATTTAAAAAAAAAACAGAAAATTTTTTAAATTACAAAAGGAGAATTTGAAGGAAAATATTTTGAAAATGAATAAAAAATAAAAAAACAAAAAAAAACAGATAGGTATTTAGAAAATGAAGAGACAAGAGATCTCAGAGAAAAAATATATAAAAAAAAAATACAAAATTTCTGAAGAAAAGAAAAGTTCAAAAAAAAATCGAAAATTTTTCATACTGAAATTAAACAAATTTAGAATTTGAAGGAAAAATTGATAAAGAATTTAAAAAACTCGAGAATTTTAGAAATTCTCATAAAATAAAAAGAGAATCGCATGGAAAATTGAAAAAAAAAAATTAAAATTTGAGGAAAAATTGAATGAAAAATTTATCTCATTTTAAAATCAAAGTTTTGGAGCCTATAATATTTCGGTTTTCTATTATTTTTGTTCCAACGAATTAATTTCCTTTTTTTATGTTAATAGTAATTTTTATAAAAAATTTATTTATCTCGTTCAATAATAAGTGAAGATTTTTAATTTCTCAATTAAAATATTTTATTTAAAAAAAGCAATGAAATGATGTTTTACTAAATAAAATATTCCTAAAAAAAATAAATATTGTTATTGTATTTAACAAAACTCATTGATTATGTACTGTAATTGTATTTAAAAAATCGGAATATTCAAATGAAAAAATTAAATTATTTTAGTAATAAAATTATAATTTAAATATAATTATTTTTTTTTTAACTTTTTGAAATATAAATCATGTAAAGGAAAATAATTTTTTTTTTCATTAAAGTTTAAATATTAGTGAAACAAAAATTACAAATTTTGAAAAATCAAAGTGCAAAAAAAAATTTATTTGTTATTATTGTTAATAGTATTAGAATATAGAGAAATTAGAAAAGATTTTCGTGCAGCATCCGCATTAATTATTATGAAAAAAAAATGAATGAATATGAATTTAGGTTATTTTAAATGAAGTAAATGTAAATGAATTTTTTTTTTAGCAGGAAACTCACCAGGCTTTGTGGGTGATGTAGCATGCATAGTTGAACTTCCAGTTGCCGCCACCACTAAACCACCATGTAATATCAAACCATTACCGCCAAATTTTGTTTTTATTTTTTAAATTTTTAATTCCACACAACAAGCAAATAAAAAAAAAATTAATTAAATTAAATATTATGTATTTCGAATTTTTCAAATTAATTTTGAAATTCGACAATATATCTCAAAAGATAATTATCGTAAAGAGATTTTAATGTGAATCTTTTCAAAATATAAAAAAAAACATTTCCTTTTTTAAAATTAATAATATTGATAAAATTAAAGAGTCGTTAACATTTTTCAATTAACTGACAAAAATGAAATGATTAACAATTTTTTCCGGTGCAATACAATGACAACGAAAATTAAATTTCTTTTTAAGAAATTGATAAAATAATTAAATATATAAATATTTTTTTTTTTTGAAGGATTTTAAATAAGTGGATTTTATGGTGGCGAGGACGTCACAGGAAAATTCACACAGACAGTATTTACATGATCATTGATATCGGGAAGAACGATGAAGGTGTTTGACAATGGAATTGCATTATTTGATATTTTTTCATTGCAGCATTTTTCAGTTTCTTTATCTTCATCGTAAATGATAAATAAATTTAATTTTTAAAATAAAGTGATCAAATATTTTGAAATTGAGAGTATAATATGTACAATTAAAATAACATCTCATGAGAATGTATTAAAAAATTAAAAATTAAATTAAAAATTTAAATTATAATATTTCAATTTCAATATAATTTAAATTTTAAATTTTGCTGTTTCTAAAATTTTTAATTTCTTACAGTCTCATATAATTTAGATAATAATTTTTAATTCATTGAAATTTGAATTTACGAAAGTTTATACGATTTCTAAAATAGAAATACGATTTTAATTTTAATATCAAAAAAATAAAAAAAAAAATATTTAGTTTTTAATTGATAAGAATTTCACTTACCCGTCGAATCAAAATCGACTTCCAATGGCCTCAGAGGTCTTGAAATGCTTTTCCTTTTTGACGGAGAATGTTTCAAAGCTGTAACAAAAAATTAATCAGTGTTTTACATTTTGTACATTATTTTTTAAAATTTCTTTTGCAGTTTCATAAATAACGTGTTCTGCAAATTAATTTTTTTAATTTTTATTATATTTCTTAATCAACATATAAGTTTAAGATTATATTTATATATATGTATATAATTCAAACGTATCTGAAACACTGAAAAAAATATTTAAATCATTAATTATAAATATATTTTAAAAAAATTATTTACCATTGATGACAATACCTATATTTATTGCAAATGTAAAAATTAATAATGCTATATTATGAAATGCATAGTATATAAAAAAAATTGTAAACACCTCAAACAAGAAAAAATTCATGATTCCTAATCGTATTAAATATTGTAAATTGATAATATTTACAGAACTTAAACAATTGAAATAAATTAAATACACAAAAAAAAAATAATTTTAAAAACTTATTTAGTGTAATAAAAATTGATTGATTAAAAAATAAATAAAAATAAAATTACAAAAATTATTATCATCAATAAATCCATTCTAATATTCAAATTACTAATAATTAAAATTTTACTAACTTTTTCTATTTAATTTTCAAAGAAAAATTCACGCCAAATAATTTTTGATGATAATAATATACACACAATGTTTTATCTTATTTATAATTAACAATACATTCGTACACAATCATGCGTATATTTCACATTTATTTATTAAAAAAAAGACAAAAAAATAAAATTTATATTCAACTATAAATACAGATAAAATTTTACAGTACTATAACAATTTGAAATAAAAATATTTTAAGGCAGTTCACCAATGACAATCTTTACAAGACAAAATTAAAAAAAAAAAATTTGAAATAAATTTCGACAAAGAATGTCACCACCTTAGAAAATTTTCTCAACTGAATATATAAAACCTGCTAAACTAACATCTATACAATATTTACATATTCAATATTTATCAAAAAAAAAAAATAATAATAATAATAATAATAATTCGCAAAAAAAAAATTTACTTTTATCCTTAATATCTTTATCACTATTTACAATTTAATAAGGGTAGAAGAACGAATTTTCCATTTTTTATCAGATTTTATTGTCACAAAAGGATTCAAAACTTAAAAGTCATTCAACTAAAAATGTCCCTATAATATGCGTAACTATAAAAGCTAAATGAAAATAAAAGCTGCAATTGGCAAAAAGCAGAGCTTTTCAAAAAGACCAAACAGCACAAATTTTTCTAATTATTGAGAAATTTTTTTTTTTTTTTTTGACAAACAGTTGTTAAATTTAAAAATATTAAAAAGTATTAAAATTATTAACAAACAATTTACAATACATAACAAAATTATGAATACAAAAAAAATATAATCACAAGTTTATATAAATATATATAATTCATATTATTCCACGAGAAATTTATCAATTTTCAACATCTTGACATTATCTCAAACTAAAAATTGATTTTATCATCAAATAAAACTAAAATCATCAAAATAACCAAAATTAAAATTAATTTTATCTAAATTTTGAAAGTTGCAGTTGTACAATTTAAAAAAAAATTATTTTTAACCAAAATTTGTTGTCAAATAATAATTATTTAACATTTTGTATTTCTTGTTTAAAGTTAGTAAACAAGGGTAATTTTTTTTCAATAATTATGAACAATAGCTTTATTATTTTTTTTTTTTTGTAACTACAATTCTATTTGTTATTTTGTTTTTTAATAATATTTGGTTTATAAAATATAAAAAAACAAATATTTTACGGAACAATAATTTTTAAACAAAAAATTTTTAAAAACATTTTACAACTAATATAGAGAATTTTTCAAAGAGAAAAATCAGTTATTGTTTGTAAAAATTATAATTGTTTACTAACTATAAACAAAAAATTAAATAATAATTATTATAATAACAAATTTTAAATCATAATAATTTTTTTTTTTAAATTGTTCAATTTGAATTTTTCAAAATTTGTTGAAATCAATTTTCATTATAATTTTATTTGTTGTTAATATTGTTTATTAACTTTAGACAAAACATTAAATAATTACTATTTAACAAAATTTTAACTCATAATTTTTTTTTTAAATTGTACAATTGAATCTTTAAAAATTTGTTAACATCAATTTTATTAATTATACAGTTTTATTTGTTGTTAATTGTTTACTAACTTTAAACAAAAAATTAAATAATATTATTTAACAAAATTTTAACTCATAATTTTTTTTTTAAAATTGTACAATTGAATCTTTAAAAATTTGTTAAAATCAATTTTATTAAGTATATAGTTTTATTTGTTGTTAAAAACAACTCTTTAGTATGAGCTTATGTAATTAGAAAATTACAGAAAATCAACTTTTTGACTGTCAACAATTTTTGAACAATTGTTTCTTATAAATAACAGGCTTCGAAGCGTAGTAAGAGACTAAGAAAAGTATGAAAAAGTATTATTTAAAAAAAAAAAGGATCCCCAAAATTGAAAAAAAAAGTATCAAAATAGTGGCATCTTTAATATAAAGTAAAATTAGTTTTCTAAGTTTGACGTTAAAGTGTAAATATTTAATACAAAATTTTTTTGAACAAATATTTACTCAACAGAATTTTCAAAGTACCGAATTTTTAAATGACAGAATTTTTATTTTACAAAATTTCTCTTTACCCAACTGTATCTTGAAAAGAATTCTAATTTAATCTATTTTTAATTTATTAGAATTCTCAGTAGAATTTTAAATAATTCGAATTTTTAAATCCTAGAACTTGGAATCGGAAGCTTATATAAAATATTTAGTATTTTAAAACAAAACAATTTTAATTAAAAATCTCCAAAAATTCAATTATTTCTATAAATCTTAATCTAAAATTCAAATATTTTTAAAATTTGTTTCTAAAATTCTTTGCTAATTTAACAATTATTCAATTATTCGAAAAATTCAATTAAATAAAACATTTTTTAATTAAAAATTTTCTAAAATTCAATTACTGTTTGAAACTTTGTTAATAATTTTCAGCAATTATTCTAATTTTCAAAAATTTTAATTCAAAATCTCCTGAAATTTAATTCTTAAAAATTTTGATTCACATTTTTCGTTGAAATAATTATTTCCAACAACTTTAATCAAGATCTTGTCATTTCAATTATTTAAAACATTTTTCAATTCAAAATACTCTAAAATTCAATTATTATTGTCTGAATTTTGGTTAAATTGGAATTATTTAAAAAAAAAAAAACAGTTGGATAAAGAGAAATTTTGTAAAATAAAAATTCTATCAAAAAAAATTTGCCAAATTAAAAATTCTATTGAGTAAAAGGTCGTTCACGCGGTCAATACTAAATCATCAACTTCGCGAGTTTTTAGGAATCAAAAAGTTCGCTAAAATTTAAAATTCTTGAATTCTGATGTCATTTTTAAAATTATTTTTTGAAAAAAGTAGCATTTAGTGGCTATTGACAAAAAAATTAGTAGTAAAAAAAGTAGCCTTGTCGATGAAAACTGAAGTACGCAACGTTTATGATAAACGACTTTTAAAGAAATAATTTTTTAAAATGGAAAATTTTTTTTTACCTAAAAGATATTTCTTGTAGTTTTCATTAATTGACAATAATTATTAAAAAAAAATTTTTTTAGGCAAAAAATTAAAGAATTTTCCATTTTAAAAAATTATTTCTTTAAAAATTGTTTATCGTAAACGTTGCGTACTTCAGTTTCGTCCTTGTTGAAAAAAAGTATCAAAATAGTAAAAAAAAAAAAAATGTATCACTTCGAAGCCTGAAATAAACAATTGTATTATTGAAAAAAAATTGATATTCCGAAACTTTATATCAATAAATAATACTAAAAATTTTCATTCAAATTATTGAAGATTCTCCAAAAAATGATAAATTTCTTATTGAATGACACATTCCTATATATATATATATAATTATATAAATTATATTAAATAAACGAAAAGACAATACAATACAAATAATTGTTTGTGTGGGTTAGATATTAATAATTGTTTTTCTTTTTTTGTTGTAGAAAAATTGAAATAATTAAAATAATTAAATAATGAATTAACGGAGTCGAACTACAAAAAATCTGCAATATTTCGTTTCACCGTCGATGATTTATTTATTTATTTATTATTTTTTTTTTTTTTAAGCGGATATTGACAATGGAGACAGGCAAGCAAGCGTCTTTTAGGAAGATGAAAACAACATCGACAACTGTACAAAAGGGACGAAACAGATGGACAGACAAGAGTTACCTATGTAGCTGGTGACGAGGTTACGGAATTTGCGATGATTCCCCTTTATCTCAGGCAGGTCCACTTTTAGTTTTCATTTTCGAGTTTCGTTCGGTAGCAGGTCAGTTCAAGGAGTTGACACAAAAAGTAGTGCACGGACACAAAAATATTCACATTTAACTAACTTGTATTGTCTAAAATTATCACTTCTTATACGAGACGATCAACAAAAAAAAAAAAAAAAAAAAAGCAAAAAAAATTATTTCTATTCTCTAAATTTTTGTTTAATCAGTTTTTCCCAATAAGAAAAAACAAATTTAATTTCTTATAACGTCAACTTAAGAAGAGAAAAAATTTTTGACAAACAATTTATTTTTCAATTTTTTGTTCCTTTTCGTACAAAAAGCGAAAAAATTACAACCTATTAAAAAAATTTAAAAAAATTTATAATCAGTCTTTAATAATAATTTAGAAAAAAATTTAAATAGAAAGATTATATAAGAAAAAACTAATTCATTTTTTTTTTAATTTCAAATAAAGAAAATAGATCAAAATATTTTTAATAAAATAAAAAAACCAGCTCAAATTTTAATTGCAAATATTTCAACGACTAGCATTTTTTGTTTTTTTTTTTTTTTTTTGTTAATATAAATTATTATATTGTTAATATTAAATTGTTCACTGATTATAGTTTCCAATAAAATTTAATTTACGGAAAATATTTTTGAAAAATATAAAAAATTATTTTTCATTTTAGAAAAATGTAATTCATATTTTTTCGATAAAAATGAGAACAAAATTAAATACTTAAAATATTTCCAATTAAACTTTTATCAGATATTATGTTTCGTTAGGAGAACAATTAATTTTGTGTAAAATAAAATGAAAAAAATGTTATATATATATATATATTGATTAAAAGAGTATTCATGTTATAGGGAGGCTAGTAAATGAAATGTAAGTTATATAACAGGGCAAATGTTTATTGCAAAATATATAAATATGTACATGGGTGCCCACATTGTATAAATAGCTGAATATTTTCATTAAAAAAAAAAAAAAAAAAAAAAAAATTTACTATTTCTACTTTTATCTTCATTCTCTTCGCAATATCGATATTTCCACACTGCGTAAAACGCTTGAGGCATTGTCTGTATTACTGATTAAGGCACAATCGCAAAAAAAAAACAAAAAAAAAAAAACAAAAACGATTAAGTTCCCTGCGTTTTTTTCAAAGAAAATATAATTTCAATATTGTAACATCAAAATAACCGTAGATCGCAGGAAACTGATAAGGCAGTGGCTTTACAATATTTTTTAAAATCTTATAAATTAAAAAAGCAATTCAACCTTAAGTATAATAATTTTGTTTTTCGGAACAATCTTACGACATACAAAATCAAAATCTCAAATAATTATTTTATTCAATTGAAATATTCAATTTTTTTTATAAATCTAAATTAATTTCCAAAGTAATTAATAGATATTAAATATTAATAAATATTTTAAGAAATAAGTTATTCAATTAATTTACTCTTTTTATTCACATATAAAATTTTCCAATAAAAATAATTAATTTAGATTCATTTTTAATTTTCCAAAATCGAAAAATTGTGTCCAAACTGCTATTTATTTAATTATTATTTTATTTTACTTAAATACTTAATTATAATGAATGAAAGTAATTATTTGCAAATAATTATAATAAAATAATTACTGAAAAATTGACACAAAATACTCAGCTATTTCAGTGGACACCAAATTTGTGTTAATAATTTTTTTATTACAAAAAAAAAAAAGAAACATGTAAGAATTTATTAGCGTTTACTTTGTTAATTAAAAACATTCTTTATACAAAAAATAAACGAAAATTTGTTTTGTGTTAGTCATTATGAGCATTAGTCGTTGATAAATTGAAAAAAAAAACCAAGAATTAATAATTTTGTTAAAAAAATACATCAATAAAAATTTTAGCCAGTTAATTATATTACAAAAAATTATTTCTTTATAATTTGAACTTGCAATTAACTAAATAATTTTCTACTTATTTGTCTTCTTTTTTGTTTTTAATTTAATCTTTTTTTCTCTATTTATTATTAATTTTTTTAAAGTCTTTGATAAAATTTTCTATTTATCACTATATAGGTAGTCTTTGATAAAACTAAAAATTCAAAATTATCTATTTTTCTTTATCACCATTTGTCTTTTGATCAACTAAAAATCTCAAAAAATTTATCTATTCGATCATTAAAGCCTTTTAAATTTATGGCAAATTTAATTTTTTTTTTTTAGATATTCATTTACGTAATTTGAGCCTTTTTCAACATCAAATAGTCTAATAATGCGAATTTTCACATTATTTTAATATTAATAATCTAGAATCTCGAAAAATAATGAAAATTATTATTATTTTTTTTTTAGCACTCGATAAATTCTATCGCGAACACCTGAGGATATTGGAAAACGATTGGATAAATCGTTGAAGTACATCAATAATTTGATACACGTTGTTTTTAAATCGTAGAGGTTAAAACTTATACAATTTGTTCTAAAAAATATATATCTAGCTTATAGCTTACTGCACATTAGCCAATAAAGAATTATGTTAACTGACATAATAATCAACAATAAAATATAGTTATTTCGCAAAAAGGGGTGTGGCACAATTTTCATATAATTATCTAAATTTTTTTTTTATACTTTTTAAGCGTCATCATTTTGTAAATTTCTTTAGAAAAAACAAAAATTCCTGTCACCCCAAAACTCTTTTTTTTTACCTAGTTTCTAAGAGGATAAAATACCATTTTCTATGGAATGAATTCACACTTATATGGTTGGATTACGATAAAAAAAAAAAAGTTAATTCTATTAATAAAGAACTAAAAAATAATTAAGTACAGATGAAATCTCTTTTTTAAAAAAGGGATTTTGTCAATAAAGAGATGCAAAATAATTTCAATTTATATAGTCGTAATCGTTGATCCAACCAAAAGTAATAAAAAAAGAAAAAAAAAGTTTAATTCTTGTATATATTTAGATATATATATATATATATAAAAAAAGTTGTAAACCCTCGAGTATTTTAAGAGTGAGCTTTACTGAGCACTAACATGGAAGTTAGATGTGCCACTAATGGCTGATTCGGATTGTACTTACGTGAGGGAATTTTCTTGAAGACTGTTTCTGCCATAAAGTCCTGGAAGCGCTTAGCATAAAAGCCTGGTCTATGTACAGAAACCGTGTCCTAAAATAAAAAAAAAAAAAAATTACAAAATTTATTAAAATTTAAATTTTTCTTGATAAAATTTAAAAAAAAATCCTTTAAAATTTACCCAAAAAAGATAATAATAAAAAAAAAAATATTTTCAACTTATACATTTTATTATTTATTTATTTTTAATTATTTTCAATTATTTTTATTAATTTCATACTTTTTAAATACCTTTTTTTTTTTAATTTTTTGGTAATTTTTTTTTTTTTACTATTTCATTTATTTGTAATTTTAAATTACTTTTATGTAAATATCCTTCTTTTTAACTGATTAAATTAATTTATAAAGAATTATTATTGAAAATAAATTAATTTATGCCACCTGATTGAAATTATAATTTAAAATTAAAAGAAAATATAAAACAATTTTTAATTTACTTACACCATCGTGTATCATTGATTTCCACGTATGTTCAAGTTTCTTTTTGAGCCGGTAACTCTGAAGAATATCAATGATACCCACAAAGAGAAGAAGACGTTCTCCACGCGCATTCCGTGCAGGAATACCACCAGGACTGTGAAAAATTAAAAGATTGACAAATATTTATCTATGATAATTATAAAAAAAATACCTAAACAAGTAGAATTCTAATTTTTTTCTTTAAAAAAATATTTCCCAATCCAATTCATTTATTTCTATTGGAATGAATATGTAAATAATTATATAATTTCCCATGAATCAAAAATTAATTAAATTACAATTTCCACAAAAAATAGAAAATAAAATACAAATAAACAAAATTATAATAAGAAAATAATTTCTGAATTTACTAAAGAAAAACAAATTATTGTATTTTTTAATTAAGTTTGATTTTCTTTTTTTCAACATTCGGTAAATTATAAATTACGAGAGACAAAAAAAAAAAAAGAAAAGTTAATGGGTCAAATACATTATTTCATCTATAAATTATTAAGGCCCCCTATTTTTAGAAAAATCTTATTATTCATAATTTTTATTTTATTTAGAAACGGGTCAAATAATAATCATTTTTTAATATCCGTACAATTAAGGGTGTCCAGCGCTTTTGTCAAATAAAATTCCAGGACTTTTTCAGATTAAAACATTTTTTTTTCAGATATGTATTATTTTAATAAATAATGACAAAAATACATTAAATGTACAAGATTAAATTATTTTAAGTCTCTTTTTATAATAAACTAGTAATAAATAAATTTAGTTTTTTGCATTTTCAAGCTTCGGATCGAATTTAAAGGAAGAAAAAAGTCGTTTTAGTCAATTTACATTACAAGAAAACTAAAAAAAGACGCTTCTTTTATTTTTAAATAAATACAATTAGTTAGTAAATATTTTATTATTATTATCAAACAATTATAATTAGAAATTAAATAAGTTTTATTAATTCCTTGATAAAAATGTTCCATAGGGATATTTTCAAGAAATTTTGTTTACAATATTTCAGAATTAAACTAAGACAAATTTTCAAAAATTCAATTCAGTATAGGACAAATTTTAAAAAATGTTTTAAATAATTAAATTTTTGAAGAACTTCATTAAAATACTATTCAAAAAAATGAATGTAGTAAAAATTTTAGAAATAATTGAAATTTTAAAAAGTAACAATTAAAATTTTTAGAATGAAATAAATTTTTGGAGACTTCAAGTAAAAATTTTTAGAAATAATTGAATTTCAAAAAATTTTAAATTGAAACTCATAAATTTTTATTAATTAATTTTTTTACACAGGTATTTTAGATAATTGAATTTAAAAGGACTTTCAATTGAAAAATATTTTAAATAGTTGAATTTTTAAAGAACTTGATTAAAATTTTAAATATAATTAATTTTGCGAAGAATTCTAGTTAATATTCTTTTAAATAATTCAATTTTGGAAGATTTGAATTTTTTTCTAATAAAGTCGTATTTTCTTTAAAAAAAAAAAATATTTTAAAAAAAGTCGGAAAAGTCACATTTTATTAAATTAAGTTGAAAATAGTCTCATACAGTGGAAAAGAGTCGAAAAAGTCATGCAATCCGAGGTCTGAATTTTGCATAAGAATATGTACATAAAAACGTTTACGAATTTTGTGTTTCCAAACGCGGTTGGAAAAAAATTCTTATACGAAATATGAAAATTCCAGAACCTGATGAAAAATTCAAGAACTTTTCAAGGTTTTCCAGGTAAAAAAAAAAAAAAATTCAAGGACTTTTCCAAATTTTGAATTTTTGGTAAATTACAAATTTTTTAAAGAAAAAATAAAAAAATTAATGTTGTAATTTTTCTGTATAAATTTTGAATTTTCGGTTAATTATAAATGACGTTAAAGAAAAAATAGAAAAGTTAATGTAGTAATTTTTCTGTATATAAATTAAAAGAAAGAAAATAGAAAAAAAAACTACTCACGGAACATCGTCTTCTTCATCAATGGGTTCACTTTCAGCTTGAATACTTTCCATCGCAGTACTATGAGCAACGAGTCTTTGCCGATTTATACTGCGTGATCTATTGAGTGCAGCAGCTCCTATCCTGTCATCTCTTTCGCCGCGTCTTTCAGCTTGAAGGAATCCACCACTATCACAGACATATTCCCCTGCATCATCTTCTGCGCTTGCTGACAATCGTTGTTCCTCCTTAAAAGAACAAAAAAAAGAAAAAAAAACAAAAATCACTATATCAGTATATAATATATATTCAATTATTATATTATACAAGTATATTGTTAAATATTTTATATTATTCATAAATAATTATAATTTCAATAAATAATTTGTTGGTTTAATACTGGCAGTTAATAAATTATAACATTAATAATAATTGAGAAAATTATTATAGAAGTTTATGCTTTTGTTTTTCTGTCTTATTAAACACCGTAAATAAATCAATTTCAATAATTCCAAAAATAAAAGGAGGAAAAAATCGAAAAAGAAAAGAAGAACGAAAATCTTTATAAAAATTCGAGGAAATTAAAAATTTAAATATAAAAATAAAAAGAAAATCGAAAATTTAAAGAAAATAAGTTGTAAAAAGAAAAAAATTGAATAAAAAGTCAATAATGTTAGAAATTTTTTTTTTTTTTAAACGAAAATGTAATTCCGTTTGTAAAAATAATTAAATTTTACGAATTTTCCAAAAATAAAGAAGAATTTGAGGTGAAATATAATATAATTTCCAGGCTTAATTAAATTTCCTTGGCAATTTTACGTTTATCGTTTCTAGATATTCTGTTCATAACTCATTTTTTATTTATCCTCGCTAAAAGATTTTTAAGTTATTTAAATTCTCGCTACATAAAATTTTGACATTTAATTTATAATTTCTTTTAGTAAAAAATTCATGTGTCTGAATTTCTGTACGTTCAATTATACGAAAATTTTTTTTTTTTTTTTTTGATCTAAATTTATTAAAAATTAATTTAAAAAAATGTACAAATTTTTATTTTTTTAAATTCTTGACGAAAATTGAACAAATTTTAATTCGAATATATTAGAAAAAATTGAAATAAATTTAATTCTGTTTAATATCACAAAAGATTGAAACCAAATGCTCCAATTTTTATTCTAATTTTATTATTTGATAAAAATTCTGAAAGTTAAAATTTTTTTTTAACTAAAAAGTTTTTTAAAATAATTTTTGTCTTTTACTTTTCGAGGACAAAAATCTACTTTATTATTATATTAAAAGGTGTATAAAAAAAATGTTTAAAAAAATGTATAAATGATAAAAAGTAGAAAAATAAATTTAATAATGAAACTTACAACTTTTTCTCTAGCAGCTTGATCGAGATTATGAATTCCGACTAGAAGCGAATAGTCCATGATTTTGAAACTCTCAAGAACACGGCAGTCTCGTTGAATTGTTTTGACTAGAGCACTATATGTATCGGCCTCTAGAAAAATTCCCTCCGCATGATGTTCCATAAAATCTAAATCTTTATAAGTAGGCGAAGACTTTGCTCTTTCAGATCGCGAGGCCTTTAAGAAAAAAACAGAGCAAAAATTTTTTTATTACAATAGATTTTTTTATCATTTATAATTTTATTTTCAATGTATTTCCATTTGTTTCCTAAAATTATTATATTTATTATTTTAATATTTACTTTTCTCTTATAAGTTGAGCCTTTTAAGTCATATTTTTGGTGAAGTTTCACGGCTGATGGCAGAAGATTGTTCATAGCAACGAGTCTTACATTTTTACTGTTGCAACGATAACAATACAATCCAAAAAACTTTGGCAATAACGTCCTTGGATTTTGATTTAAATTCTGTAAATAATAATTAAATTGTAAATATTAATTCAATCAAACAACAGGCCCCGGATTGATTTTATAATTTTATAATTTTTGTCAATTCAAACTTTTAAAAACTATATTGTGTTATTTTTTTTATAATAAAAAACCTCTTGAAATAATTTCATTAGGGACAGAGAAAAAAATTTAAATTCTGACTGAAAATTTTTAAATTTTGTAAAAAAAAGTTCAAGTCGCATCTTATTAAAATATAATTCGAAAAAAATCGTACAATCTGAGGCCTGAATTAATCAATTAATCAAGCAATCATTAATAATAATTACTTTAATTACAAGCTTCACAGCATAAAATTTGCTTTAAAAAAAGGGGGGGGGGTGGTAGGGGAAATTTTATTTGAAAAAAGGGGAAAAATAGGGGAAACACTGTGAAGCCTGTAATTATTATTAATTTAAATCAATGAAAAAAAAAACTATTTACCATGTAATATCCAGGTAACAGAGTTTGCAGAAATTCACCTTCTTTGTGTTGAACAGTCTTGATGATAAATTCATCATCCTCTGTTAAATAAAAAATACTTCCACTCGCACCAGGATTTGATAATTCACGCAGTGGTGCACTGCACATCGACATCTGCAATTTTTTTTTTACAATTTAATTTATTAATCTAACAACAATAAAAAACATAATTTTCTATTTAAAAAACTCAATTTTTTTTTCTTAAATGGAGGAAACTTACCAAAAAATCATCTGGTTGGATGCCAAACAGATCTCTAAAATAACGAAATGCAATAGGTGCGTAATTCTTGAATTTAAATTCCGAGAAATGATGAGCTGGAGTATGATTTGAACCTTCGCTAGGGAAATTTGTTGTTTCAACGGTCATGAAATCTTGCATGAGCAAATCGCGTTCAGGTTTACTTGCGAGACCACCGACAGCATGTTGTATACCCAATTGAATAGATCCCATAATTTGTGTACTTTGAATCTAAGAAATTATGAATCAACTAATAATTGATTTGCAAAAAAAAATATATATATATTTAATAAATAAAACTTAAAAATTAAATAAAATTTTAATAAATTACATAAATTTACATAATCATTATACAATTTTTATTTCTCTATTTTCGCATAAATTCCTCTTTTTTTTTTCCTCCCAATAAAATCTACTAATGGAAAAAAAAACAAATTTGACTTAGATTTTTTAAATGAATTTCTTTAGCATTTTGTTTCCTAAGCTCATTAAACTTAATCAGATTCATCGAACAGAGGTCCAGTAAAGAATGACCCTAGAGATTATCAGTAAGAGAAACTAAACTAACAACAAGTTGATATATGTAAAGTAAAATCAACTTTTATTTATAGCACCTCTATATTATTTGCATTTAATGTTAACATAACTTTACAAATATCATTACTAATAGTGCCATGAAAAAAATTGGATAAACTTTTTTTTTTTTTAAAAAAAAAAAAAGTTTTTCCCTTTTTCTCTCTCTCTATATATATATATATCGATAAATGTAAATAAAATACATCAATTAAGATATGTAAATGATTTCTTCCTCTTCTCATATATCATTTATATAATTCTTACCTTTTTATATGTAATTTCGCCCCCAACTCCCACCCTTCTGTGGCCAATCTTTTTCTCTCGCTCCGATTTATTTCTTGACACTCCAACTGGAGTTTTCGGACCTGCACTGCCATGTTGCACTGTTGAGCTCTATAATAATAATGAAAGATCATGGTGCCATTATGCATTCTTTTTATGCTTTCATTGATGCATCGCAAAGGGACAATTGCTGCAATGTAGAATTGTTAAATTGAAAAGAAAGCAGACAAACTATTTCATATGATTTTATGTCTTTCTTTAATATATTCACTCATCGCGGGTCAATAATCTTCATCTTTGTTAATTCTTTGCGTATAAACAATAATGTAATTTTCTTAGTTTTTAATTATTACAAAACACTAAATTAATATCAAATTTTTTTTATTTTTTCTATTTTAATATTTTTCTGATTTATTTACTGTTAAATTTATTTTTCCATTTTATTAACTGATCTTCATTTCTTGATCAACATTTTAAATTAAAGTTTAATTAAAAATAAATTAATTTTTCTTTGGAAACTCCATTTGTTACAAAATAGTTATTTAAAAATTTTTTTTTTTTATATTAAAAACTTCCACATGTTCTGTAAATTTTAACTTTTCAATAATAATTTCAAAAAAAAAAGACAGGGCCTAATTTAGTCGTGATGCAAGGAATGTTTATTTTTTCGTGGAAATGACCATCTATTAAAATCATATCTACTTCAAACAAATTGATAAGTTAATAAAGTCCATGTGAAGAAAACACTTAATAAATAAATAGCATTCCTTTTATAATTTGATTTAATGAAAAAACAAAATTTTCTTGTATCTATCAATTAAAAAAAAAAAAAAAATAGTAATAAATTCGAATTTTTATAATATTAACAACTTTCAAGTAAAATAAATAAATAAATTTTAAATCGTAAAAATAAGTGAATTTTTTTTTAAATCACTGCACTTTCGAGTATAATTGAGAACAACTTTGAAGCAAAAAAAAAAAAATTATGTATTCTTATAACGGGAATTTTTATATACATATTTCACTCCAACTTCTAAACGTTCGAATGAATTCTTTGATTTTCTCGTGAAATCACAATTAATTGATTTTTTTTTTTACTATTTTGACAATTTTTTTATTTTATTACAATTTTCATTGTTATTTATTCATTTTAATATTCATTATAATTTTTTAATTTTAATATTTATTTATTAATAATTATTGATGTAATAAATAAATTTAATAACTAATAAATTTAATTTAAAATAAACTTTTTCCTATTTTTTTTTAAATATTTCACTAATATTACTTCAACAAAAAATGAATTTTATTAAATAATTAATAGGAACAATATTTGAACTGCAAGAACAACAAAAAAAAAAAGTCGTTTACATGAATTCCCAAAGCTATGAAACGCTTCAACTTCAACTACTTTAATTAATTATCGATTTTCATTACATAAACACAACTCTCACGAATAGATTTTGGAGTTTCATTAAAAGAATGCTAATCTATCATGCAATTTGGTTTGTAAACAGAAAAAAAAATAGAATATTTACTAGAACGACAAATTTCGAAGGAAACAATATCTTGAAAACAGGAAGGAAAAAATTTTTTTTTTCACAACGTGAGTCACTTAAATAATGATAGAAGAATGTGCATTGAACAAGATATGTATATGAGAGAATACAGTAGAAAGTAGCACAAGGAGCCTTGAAAGTGACAATGGCCTAAGACTGCACTTCTAATATATCTATTCATGGACCTTTGAAGTCCAGTGTGTTGTATAAATCGATTCCAAAATTTCAGAAAATTAAAAGAAATCAATTTCATTGAATTTAAATGACTATTTTAAACCTTGAAAAATATTTTTAATACAAATAAAACGGTAAATAACGGTTTTAGATTATAAAAGAAAAAAATTAACTATATACTGCTAATTTATCTACCATTTAAAAAAAAAAATAAATAATTTTAACATTGCAGCAAATGATTGCGATTTTATTTAATTAATAAATAATTTATACACTTACGTCAAAGGCTGATACTTTTTCACCCACTGATTTATCTGCAAAAGAAAAAAAAAAATAGATTTCATTTCAAAACATTTTTATGTTCGGGTCATTTTTTTTTAACAACTTTTTGATTATCCGATTCACACGGAAATAAAAATTAGTTTTTTTAAAAAATATTTTAAATTATTTTTTAATAGTAAGATAATAATTAGTAAAGTAACTAAAATTAATAATTTTAAAGCTGAACATAATTATAATTATAATAATTATAATTATTAATTTAATTATAAATATTCTTCATTAAATTTACCGAAAAAAAAATTAAAAATGTTTATTAACTTAATTAATTATAATTTTTACTAAAACAATTATTGCCAAGTGAAGTGTAACTTTTTAAATACTTTAATAATATTTTTAAAAACAAAAATTAAGAAATACTGTTTTACAATCACATTGAAACGAAGTGATTTAAAATATGTAGTTTATTCTTTTATATATATATATATATTACAATTGAATAGACTGAATCATTGTTCAACTGTAATTGTAATACCATCCTCAAAACCTAATGACTTTGAATAATAGGAAGCAGTGAATAAGTTAAAAGAAATACATTAATAATAATTACATTACAAATAATAATTATCCTCATTAGAATTAATAAAAAAAAAAGAATGTAAAACAATTTCAGTTAAATTTATAATAAATTTTCTGGAACGTTAAAAATTCACTTCTTTATTAATAAAAAAAAAATTCTTTTTTTTCTGGAAAAATTAACCTTTAAAAAAAATGTGAAAACAAACTTTGTTTTTGTTTAAAAACAGCTAGTTTACTTAGCGTAAAACTATTGATCTAATCTATTTTAACTTCCATAAAATGTTAACTTTACACGTGGGGTCTTAAAATAGAAACAATTCATCTTTTGTCCGAATAGTTATTTATGTTAGAAAACAAGGAAAACTTTTTACTACAAAAGTTAATTTATCTAAGTATTTTGCAAAATATTATTCAATAATGTAAAAAAAAAGTACAATTAAAGAATTAATATTTAACAATTTTCATCTCTCGAATACTTTTTTCGTGTGAAAAAAAAAATCATGAATCATTAATGTTTAAATGCAAGAAATTGATTATTAATCATTCGGATCAAAGTCTAGGGGTTTCTTTAGAAAAAAAAAAAAAAAAAAAAAAAATATTTACATTACAGTCAAAATTGATAAATGACAGATGATGTCAATCAGCTGTTACGAATGACCTACGTCATCATTGGAATTCCTAAATATTAAACAAGAAGTAGCCTTGACAATTGAATTAATTGGCTGAATTTTATAGGACAATGTTAATACTGATGATATAAGGGTACAATACCAATGAAATCAAACCTTCAAACTTTGTATTTTAATTCTAGAGGTTATGTTAATAAAATGGTTTAAACATATATATTATTACTCACTGTCTTCCTCCACAGAATCTTGAGGTCGTAGATGGTCTTCACCGCCCTGGGCTCGGCCTGTGAAACTTGTCTCGACCACTTCGATCACGTCTACATTGTCGCCCGAAGCCATTTTGCATCCGACAAGGCGAAACTTTGAACTCACTCTAAACGACAATTCCGGTTGTCATTTACGATGTTCGCATTTCTCAACCAAGAAATTCGCATGATTTCTTTTTTAATTGAATGTTCAGTGTGCCCCATCGATGTGCCATCTGAATTCCTCGTACATTTTTTTTTCACACTCGCGAACTTCAAAATATGTCAAGCTTCGGCCCCTAATTCCTGGGCAACGAAGAACTCCCCCGTCTATTGACCGGACGCCATATTGCCAAAAACCGATCTGACATCTATTGGACACGTTTTGAAACACTATTACATGTGTGTGGGTGGTATTATTTTCCGATAATATAAATTATATATATATTCTTATTAAGTTATTTAATTTGTGCTTAAAATAGAGAAAAAAAAACAAGGGAAAGAATAAAGTAAAGAAAAAAAATATTGTTTCGCATTTTTATTTTTCATTCGTATTTCAAATTAGTTCCTATTTTATCATAAATAGCGATTCTTATCGATTTCCGCTTTTATTGGCGGCAATTTCCGCATTAATTTGAAATGTTTTAATGAATATTCCGTTTTCATTTAATATTATATCGAACATTTATTTTTAGAATGGTATTAAAAGATAGTTATTTTTTTTCTTTTTGTTCAAATATAAAATAGATTTTAATAATTAAATGTCTTGTTAAAAATATGTGAAATTTAAATATAAATTATTAATTATTAATTATAAAAATTATGGAATAATAATAAAATTTGAAGAAAATGTAATTTTTATTTTCGATACGGAAATCTATTATTAATTATATTCATTTAATTTTTAATAACTTTTTCATTTTATTTTTTATTTATTTTTTTTTTTCTAAAAATAAAACATTCACAAAAATATCACTAAATTCTAATATAATTTGAAAATGGATGTGATGTATAAAAAAAAAAATTCTATAATTGTAAAAAGTTATGAAAATACTTTAATTTGTTTTTCCTATAATATAAGAAATGGGGGAAAAAAAGAATTAATTATGCAGTGATTTATTTAAAGAATTAAGAAGTGGATATTTCCCACGGCAAATTCCTTTAAAGTCATCAGTCTCAATACTCCAGATCATTACTCCTCCTAAACCCATTTTTTTCGCATATTCAGCTTTTTCTGTTAAAGAGCTTTAAATAGAACAGAAAAAATATTTTTACAAATTAAAACATATTAAAAAAAAAATTAAATTGTAATAGATAATTATGATAATTTAAAAAAAGAGTAATTTAGAAAAAATAATTTCTTTTTTTCAAATTAAATCTTTTGAAGTTTTTTTTTTTTTTGTAAAAATTTCAATAATTTTTTTTAATTAATAAATAAAAATTCTTACTTGCAATTATCATATCCGACCCATTGATTATTCAAATAAGCATAAGGAACTTTTTGTTCTTGATTGAATCCAAGTTTCCATGTTTTTTGTTTTTGCATCTCTCCAATTTCATTGAATCCTAAAATTCCAGCTTCCCTCGTATAAGGTCCAGCTGTTCCCGGTCCAGTAAATGGGGCGCCAATTTCATGATTGGCTGAATTTTCTAATGTAAATGTTCTCCCATAGAAACCTGTTCCAAGAATCAATTTTTCGGCAGGTGCTCCTTGAGATAACCAGTATTTAACTGCTGAATCCTTGAAAAATTTATTTAAAAAGAAGTATAACATTTTTTTTTTGCAAAAAATTATAAAAAATAATAATTTTTTTTCTTAATTTTTTAAAAAAAATTAAAATTTCACTAAATTGTTCTTTATAATTTAATTATTATTTGAAATTTAAATAAATTTTTTTTAGATATATTTACAATGTTCATTTGTCTTTTTAATCCAGTTTCATTCGAAGCGGGATAAAGTGGTGCATGATGTCCAACTTTATGATCGGAATCAAATGATCCATGAAAATCATAAGTCATTAAATTAATAAAATCGACGTATTTTGATAAATTGGAAATATCATATGATACACTTGCTGTTGCTTCGGCTGCACCAACGGCAATACTTAGTATTAAATTTTCCTTTTCAAATCTTTTTTTAAGATCCTTTAATACTAAAACTAAATTTTTCACATCCTCAGGATGTCCTCCTCGTTTTGCAGGATATTCCCAATCAAGATCGAATCCATCAAATTTGTATTTCTTGACAAATTCAACGACATTATCGACGAATTTCAATCGAGTGACTGGATCATTCATTACTCTGTATTTATAGAGATTATTGTGACGTAATTAAAAAAAAAAATAAATTACAATTTTATTTCTTTATTATTATTTATATATTTAACTTTATTTCTATCTGACAAAAATGTATTTTTTAAAAATATTTAAACAAGAAATTCGATTTTTTAATAAATCTTTGTTTTTTGACAAATCCAAAAATTACATTTTCTTTTTTTTATTAATTAGGTATTATTTATTATTAAAAACTTTTTATACGATTTCACGTTACTTATCAATATTTAATTTTGTATAAAATTATTATTTAATATATATATATATATATATATTAATTTTAAATTTCTTTCATAATTGCAGAATATCTAAATTTTTGAAAAATTAACAAAACAGATCTAATCCTTTTGGAAATTTTATTTTTGTTTTCACATTTTCTATGAATAGAAATTTGAGTTTTTAATAAAATTAAATTAAAATAAGAAATTTTCTAATAATAATAATAATTAATAAAAAAAAAAATCTAATTGATAAATAACTTGAAATTGTAAAAAAAAGTTTTTAATAGTAAATAATAAAATAATAATAACATTTTAAAATATGCAAGTAGATTATGAAAAATTGAGAAATTCGTAATTTTTTATTTATTTATATATAAATACAAACCTGGAATATTTACTTGAACCTTCATTCCAACCGCCCATGCTAATCATGATTTTTGTCAATGGACTTTTTTCACGAAGAGCATTAAACCTTCCGTATCCATCTTTTCCTCCATTATCCGGCAAATCTTGCCAAGGATCCAATACTTTCACTGTTCCATCTTCATTAAGTCCAGCAAATGCATAAATTAAATGTGTACAAAGTGTTGGATCAATGTAGGAAATATCAAAATGTCCATTGCCAGGTCGATAAACTGACCAACTGCCAAAGTAACATACGATTTTTTCTGCAAATTTACATTTAAAAATTATTTCTTTACTTTTTTTATACTTGAGTAAAAATTAAACGATTATGATAAATGTTTATTTAATTTAAATATAATTTATTTAATTCAAAATTTGGAAAAATAATGAATAACTGAAATTGCAAAAAAAAAACTTTTTTTTTTTCAAGAAAAAATATTTTATTTTTAAAATAAGGAAATTTTATTTCATTTTTTTTTTTTTACCTACTTACTGTTATTGTTAGTGGACATAATATATTATATTGTTAGAATATATTTTAGCTTCCGCAATAGTTGAAACATTCACTTTTTAAAGTTTATTCCAGTTAATTTATAAAGAAATCACTGAAGCTTTTGCATTAAAATGAACCACTTAAAGATAGTGATCATATACATATAAGAGAAAAAATTATTCCACGATGAGTCAGATTGAGCCCGAAGTGACCCCAACCAGTCTATATCTTCGGTACTATTATATGTATATATATATATATTAAAGAATATTAAGAAACTTATATTGGTTCTTCACGCCAAACTATAAATGAAAAAAAAAAAGTTAGATTAAAGTGATTACGTTTTTATTACATTATATATATATATATATTTTAGAATAATTTTCAAATTAAAGATAATAAATATTGTACAACTATTATATATTTAATAATTATATAATAATAAAATGCTTGGTCTGTCCTTCTGTCCTAACTTGAAGTTGGTCTTTTCTGATTTCATGTGTTTTTTTGAATAGTAATCTTATGACGTGTCAAATTTTGACAATTCTTTTTCTCATTTTTGCCAAAGTTGTATAATTGTGTTTCCAAATTTCGGAATAAGTTTCTTTAAAATTCCAAATTCGAAAATTCAATTCACGAAGCTGAAGTACACAACGTTTACCAACGAAATTTTTTTTAAAGTTGTATATTGATTCAAAAATTGTATACAAATACAAAAAAATTATGATGAGAAAAAAGATGCGCCAGGAAATTTCGTACAAGATAGTAATTTGAAAAAAAAATTAATTTTTAAAAATTAATTTTTAAGGTACCAGGGGCCAACGAATACCTATTAAATATTAATTATAAAAACACAGGCCTCGAATCAACTTAAAGACACAAAAAGTCGTTTTAGTCGATTTATATTCCCAAAAAAAGTGGATTTGTTTTTTATTTTAACAAAAATATTTTAAAGATTTTTAAATAAAAATTTTTTTTTTAAATAATAATCCCTTTCGAAGGGTTAAAGTTGAAATTTTTAGAAATAATTAAATTTCAAAAGATATTGTTAATTTTCAAACAATTATTAAATTTTATAGAACTAAAAATAATTTATCAAACAATTTTTGGAAAACATTTTTGAAATTTAATTGAATTGTCAAAGATTTAAAATTGAGATTTTTGAAATTAATTGAAACTTTAAGTGTTTTGTAATTAAAATTTTAGATGATTTCACTAAAAATTTATTAGAAAATGCGGACAAAATACAATAATTTGAAAATCATTTTTAATTGAAAAATGGTTTCAGATAGTTGAAATTTCAAAGAATATTATTAAAATAGTTAAAAATAATTGAATTTCAGGAGAGTTATAATTGAAATTATTAAATTTCAAAAAAAAAAAAAAAATTTTGATGGAAAATTTTAGAAATAATTAAATTTTAGATGCTTTTAAATTAAAATTATTGAAAATTCAATTAATTTTGAATTCAAATTTTTGAGAATAATGAAATTTTATATTATTTTACATTTGGAAAATAATTGAATTTCAGTTCATTTTGAATTGAAAATTTTGGGAAATAATTGAATTTTAATTTAAAATTTGGATAATAATTTAATTTAAGTTCATTTTTGATTGAAAATTTGGATAATTAATTTTGAATAGAAATTTTAGAAAATAATTGAATTTTATTTAATTTTAAATTGAAAACTTAGTAAATAATTAAATTTTAAATTGAAAATTTTGGATAATTATTGGATTTTTAATTGATTTTGAATTAAAATTTCGGGTAATAATTGAATTTTAGTTTATTTTGAATTGAAATTTTTAAAAAATAATGCAATTTTATTGTGATATATTTTTTTAAATTATAAACAATTGTTAAATTTCATAAAAATTTTAATTGAAAAAATAATTTTGATATAATTAAATTTGTGATGTATTTCATTAAAATTATTAAAAAAAATTAATTTAGTGAAGAATCATTTTAGTTGAAAATTTGTTAAATAATTGAATTGAAGAAGATCTGAAGAAGATCTATATTTTATACTAAAAAATGTATTTTATTTACATTTTTTTTCAAATGTAAAAAAAATGTCGCATTTTATTAAAATAAGTCGATAAAAGTCATATTTTTGAAAAAAGTCGGAAAAAGTCTTATAATCCGAGGCCTGTAAACATATAATTTTCATTAATTATCATTTAATATGTAATAATATTCTAATAAATTAAATTATTATTGATAATATTAATCTTTAATTTCTTTATAACAAACAATTAAATACTCAATTTGGCGCGTTTAATTTTGCTAGTTATATATTATTTAATTTAATCCATTATGAAACAAATGAAACTTGGAAAATAAAAAATTTGTGATCTTCTTTTTTCAAAATAGTTTTTTTCAGTATCATTCAAAATTCAAAATAAAAAAAAATATACAAAAATGGCACAAAATTGCATAAAATAAAAATTGTTTTTCAAAAATGACAAAGTCAATCACTTAATTTTACTTCAATAAACAATCATCATCATGTTTTTCATTTACTATAAAAATAGGTATAAAATTAAAAAAAAAAGAAAAATTAATAAGGTTATTTTCCATTTATAAATAAAAAAAAAAATTACATTTTTATATATAGATTGTCATGTTAAATTTTGGACGAAAAGTGATTAAGGAACCAAAATTATTGATTAAGAAATCATTAGTTCTAATAATGATTGGAACTATTGCATGGAATCTTTTCAATGATTATTCACACTTTTACAATGAGGTAAATTGATAAAAAAAATTAATTACCTAATTTTTCAAATGTAAAGAAATAAAAAAAAAAAAAATTGCTATTATTTTTTTTTTTTAGATTTTTTTTACTGGTTATTTGAAATTAAATCTTTTTTATAAAAAATTTCTCCTAGGTAAAATTGAAAATTTTTTTCATTTTTTTTTTTGTATGTTTAGAAAATTTTTAATATTTAAACATTTTAATAGGTTGTTCGTTATTCTAAATCACTGGCTATTCAAAAAGCTATGAATGGAAACAAGGAAAATAAAGTTCAAGCATGGAATAAAAGTGAAAAATATTTCTCATATTCTTCTTTTCCTAACTCACCTGAAAATAAAAAATAAAATTTGAATATTATTATTTCTTTTTCTTTGACCTACTGGAACAATTTATTACATTATTTGTCCTATAACAAAAACTTTTATATGCGAATAATACAATAGAAAAATAAATAAATACATTTTACATGCAATATTTTTAAAATTTGTTATTTCAAAAGAAATAAATTAAATATATATATTACAAAATTATATGTAAGGTACTATCTATTTATTTGACGAATTGGATAAAATTTCTAAAAAGCATTTAAAAAAATTATAAGAGAGGTTATGTACTTTGAAGAAAGAAAGAGCCAGTAATTTTTTTTTAAATATTGCTTTTCAATAAAACGATTAAATAAAAAATATTTCTAATTCAAATAAAGAATTCATAATACATGTTTATTTATTTTTAGTTCTAATTTTCATACCTTAATTTATTATTACAACAGGTGTCTGCAGGTGCATTTTATATCCCAAAATATTCCAGAAGAAATGTTATACAATTATTTTTCTTTAAAAACGAATTTAAATTCTTTTATTTAATTAATCTTATATGGAAATTCAATTAAAAATTTAAATATTAGCCACAATTTACTTGAATTTATTTGAAACATTTTAATATTTTTGAAAATGAAGAAGCGTATTGTTTTTTAAATGATCAGAGATGGGAATTAATGCAACACTAAATGTAATTACGTAAACTAACGTAATATCACGTTATAAATGTTTAGAAAAATCAAAAATTTGAAAAATTGAAAAAAAAATTTATAAAGAATTAATATTGTATATTATAATTTGTTTAAAATATTTACTTGTTTCAAAAAGAAATAATAAATTAATAAAATTTTCTGTATTACAATTGGAAACTTGCCATTGGCAAGTTCTTCTTTACCGACCAACCATATAGTGCGAAAGAGAGTATGTATATGTAAACATGATGTAAACATTTGTAAACTTTTTTTTTGACGTTTAACCTATAGTGCAGTCGTTTGTTTATTATTTGACGTTGAATATGTGAGCCAAAAAAAAATCAAGATTACACAAAAATAAACAAATATGAAGGATCTCGCAGTCGAAGTTTGCGACAAAAACGGAGCATATTATAAGGTTTGTTTTTTGAATATTATACAAAAAGTGGAGTAAATTAATAGCGACAAATGGCCAAATATATGGGGCGCGAAATAATTATAAAATTAAAGAATGCACACACTCGTATTTTGAAAAAAAAAATGCGATTCTAAAATTTAAATAATGTTTATTATGTGAAATAATTAGGTTAAACTTGTCAAAACAATAAAATTATTACAAGCAAAATACAAAAATAAAGTATAATTTCTATTTTCCAATTTTTAGAAAAGAGTATTCAAATTGTAATTTTTTTAAGAAATGTAAAATGAAATTTCGAATGTGAATAGAAATTTTTTACTTGCGTCAATATTTGATTTAATTAAATTATTTCTTATTAAAGTAGTAATTTTCTTTTTAAATATAAATTCACGATCTTAACTATGACGTTGTACTAATAATGAATTTTTAATTTTTTAAGTAATCACTTCTTCAACTTGATAAAAATTTATTTTTCTTTTCAGGCCATTGTCAACGATGTCTTTGAAGAAGAGCTTTTAGTAGCATTTGAAAATAAGTAAGTTTCTCTTTGAATTTTTTTTAATAAGTAAAATTCCATTAGTATTTTTTTTTTTTTTTAATTTAAAATTTAAATAAAGTGGCAAAAATGGTTTTAAAAAAACTATTATTTATTAATTTTTTATAATTAATAAATTTTTTAAAATATATTAAATATTTTGAAATAAGAAAGCTAGAAATAGAAAAATTTACAATTTAAGAATTTTAAAAATATAATAATATATTGAGATAAATTCATAATTAAAAATTAATTTTGCTGTTATCATAAAGTTGGCAACCAGAATCTAAGGTACCATTTTCTGAAATTCGTCTCCCTCCAAAAGATGGACCAAAACCTGAATTGCATGAAAATCAGGAAATTGAAGTATTTTCACGTGCACACAATAAAAAAGCTCGTGGATGGTGGAAGGCGATCATTAAAGTAATTAACAATAAATCACTGTGACACTGACATTAAAACATTTATGTTTTAAAAATTCTAAATTTAAAAATAAAAAATTGTATATTATATTTTTTTAGGTGATCAGAAGGGGATTCCAAGGAGGATTTATAATTGTAAAATATTCAAACTTGAGCAAGGAATATGAATATTATACTGAAATAAATTGCTCTGACATTGAGAGATTAAGACTGCAGAATCCTAATCCCCCTATTGATAAAAATACTTTTTATAAAATTGAAATTAAAGTACCTGAAGAACTCCGTGAATTGTGAGTACCTATGTCAATTTTTTTTTTTTTTTTTAATTTTCCATCATAATAAAGAATATATTTCTTATAAATAATTTACAAAAAAAAAAAAAAAAAATAGAAAATTTTTAAATTATAAAATATTTATATTATTTTGATTTAATAAGATAAATAATAATAATTATTATTAATTTATTATTTTTGTCAGCAATTTCTAATAAATTTTTCATCAATAGAAATCACAAAAAATTTCAATTAAAAAAAAAAAACTACAGCAGTTTAGATTTACAGAAAATTAATTTCAAATTTACAATCTTTTGCAATTCAATTATTTAAAAAAAAATTAATTTAAAAATCTGTAAAACTTAATTACCTTGTCTGGCATTTTTTTTTGCCGTTAAAACTGAAAAGTATGCTAAAATTTTTAATTCGTATAAATTTCTTAAATAAGAGTTCAAAAAATTTTTGAAATGGAAATTAAAGTTTTTTTTGTTCGAAATTTGTCCTACTTAATTAAAATTTTGAAAATTTATCTTAGTTCAATTTTGAAATAAATTCGAAATAAATTTTCTTGATAATAATTCTTTTAGAATTATTCTTATTAAGGAATTAAAAAAAAAAGGAATTTAATTACAATAAACATTAGTTATTTAAAGTAAAATATTTATTAAGTAATTAAATTTTAAAAAATCTACTTTTTTTTGCAATGTAAATCGATTAAAACAACTGTTTTTACACCCTTAAAGTCGATGCCAGGCCAGTATATTATTTTATTAATGAATTGATTTAACAAAATGCAATTATTTTTTTTTTTATAAAAAATATTTTTCTTTGTTAGTGCAAAAATGGATAATGTACACAATGAATTTAAAAAGGCAATAGGAGCGGCAATGTGTCGATATGTACCTGAACGTGGAGTATTGCTAGCAATTTCACGTCATGAAAATATACATCATTACAGTAATATGCTTCAGGAAATGCATATTCAAAATTTAACTGAAAAGGTAATTTTAACATGAAAATCCAAAAAGACATTGCATTTTTTAAAATTGTAATTTTTTTTTTTAAATAAACGATATTTATTTAAAACAATATATTATATATTATAATAAATAAATATATTTATTATTTATTTGTATATTATATTCATTTAAAAATTTTTTGCTTCTGATTTTTTTTTACTGCAGGTACTTCTTTTAAAAAGAACAGAAGAAGCAACTCGACAACTTGAATTAACAAAACTGCAGACGAGCGAAGGGTGAGAATTCCTTTTTATTTATTTATTTTTTTTTATTATTTGAGATTTGCCGTAAATTTTGTTTTAAACTCTGCGATTATTTTCCTGTTCTTCTATATATAGATACAATGACGAGTTTAACGTTCAAGAAGATTTAATGGGACTTGCTCTCGATCTAGCTACTGGAGGTATTGAAGCTCACGGAGCAAATATTCATGAAAATAGAAAAAATGATGGAATTACAAACATAGAATTGAAGGAAAATTCGTGTACATTTGAAATTTACGAAGAGGTAAGAAAAATTTACTTTTTAAACTATTCAAATTGCTTTTGTTTTATTTATGGACATTTTTTTTGAAATTTATCTCCAATTATTTATAGACCAAAAATCAATTTATTATGTTTTTTTTTAATTAAGTATTTTATTCTTTATTCTAAACGAAGCTATTTGGCTCAAAAAGGAATTTTTAATTATTTTACAGATACACGATGCTGTGAAAAAAGCGCGTTCTATGATAGAATATAGTGAAGAATCAATTCCAATACCAAAGGTTCTTATTGGAAAACTGATTGGAAAGAATGGTCGTATCATTCAAGAAATTGTCTACAAAAATGACGTAGTAAGTATAAAGTACAAAAATTGAAACAAAAAAAAAAAAAAAGGTTTGAATTAGTTGGAAAGTCAAGCTATGCGTATTTTGTAACAAAAACAAAAATTCAAAATCTTGTTCATAATTTTAAAAGAAAGCTTTTTTTTTTTACTTCTTAAAAAAAAGAATAAAAAATTTTAATTAGCACTTGAAACCAAATTAAAAAAAAAAAAAAAGAAAAAAATCTTTTTATCATTTGAATGTCTCAGGAAGCAGTCAATCCAGAGAGATTACAAATTGGAAATCACCGTGAAAAAATTTGTTGCATTTGTTTAACTGAACTAGCGACACATGCTTTCATACCTTGTGGACATCGAGATGTTTGTGGCACTTGTTGTGACGAGACAATGGCAAAATTATTATTAGAAAAATCCAAAGAAAATACAGAAAATGAAGTAGCAAGAGGAATATGTCCCATATGTAGAAGTAGATTTACTTCAATTAACATTGTCTATATATGAAAAACAAAATGTGAGAAGAAAAAAATGTTTTCTTAATAGTTGAAAATAGTAATTAAATTTTGATAAAATAATTTTTGTGCAATAAAAAAAAAAAAAAAATTAAGAAAACTAAAAAAAAAAATATCAAGAAATTATTTTTTTTTAAAAAAAAGTGAATTATTAACAGTAGAAAAAAAGAATTATTGTAAATTGGATGAAATTGTAAATATGAAAAATTAATTTATCCATTAATTAATTCCAATCTTTAATTACTTATTTTGTTGTTAATAATACATTTTTAAAATAATTTTATATTTTATTTTTTTAGTTTTATTTTTTTTTATTTCAACAAAATTACATTTTACTTTAACAGAATTGAATTTAATTTATATTATTAAAACTTGATATATTAATAATTTTAAAACTTTACGATTTGAAATTTTTATCTTGTTAAATTGCATTAAATTTTTTATATCTTTTTACTGTCAGATTATTGAGACAGGAATTTTATGCTTGAATATAGAAGCATAAATTTTTAAAATATTGTCTAATAATAAAATTCGCATTAAAAAAACGTATTAATTAATAAAAATATAATAATTTAGGTTACAAGGCAGCATAATATAATAATAATATATTTATATGTAAAATGTATTATAATAATTTATTCTTACGAGAAAATAAAAATTAAATTGTAGTCGACAACTATTTCTTTTTTCAAATTAAAACTCTATTTTTGAAAATAATAATAATAATAACAAATAATTGAATTAAAATATTTATTTTCTCTCGAAAAAGAAACACAATTTTTTTTTAAAGGACAAGTAATAAAATCATTATATTAAGGAGAAGTAATATTTGTCTAAATATTTATTTTTCCACCTATAATCACAAATTATATTATATTATAAATGTACAAGGATATTTTTAATGGCCTATTAAGGCAAATACAACAAACTTTTCAACTCCAGACTTTTTAACATTCCCGCTGAAGAAAATCTTTTTCAAATAAGAAAAACAGATAATATATAATTTTTCAACAGAAAATGATTTCTTCTTTCAATGAAACACATTTATTAGTTAATAGGAATGATCAATGAATAATGTAATTTTTAATACACTACACTATTTTCTTTTTTGTTATTGTTAATATATTTTACTCAATTTCATTACTATATCATTGACTATTATAATACTATTTTTTTTTCTTTTGAAATGAACAACGTACTAATTTTCTCTTTTCTTTACAACCTTTATACACCTAATATATAAATATGGGAAATTACAGTAAATTTAAGTAACAGTTAATTTCTACAAAAAATAAAAATTATTCACAAAATTAGACGCTATACACTTATTATTATTATTATTTGAAAAAGAAAATGTAATATCGTTACTTTTTTTCCCAAAAGTAAAAAATGACTAAATTACGCAAATAGACTAGTGTAAAAGATTGTTTTTCTTTTTTTTTTTTTAAATTAAATGTAAATATTGAAATTGAGATTTACAATTAATCATCGATCTAATTTCGATTCGTACCTAAACTCTAAAAATGAGGGAAAAAAAAATTAAAATATATATAGCATAATGTTTCAAATAAGGTACAAAGAGAGGCGATCAATTAAAATCGTACTTTTTAAGAAAGACTCTACAACTCTTGGTAAAAATAATAAATCAAACGTTGATGACATATATAGTATTTAAAGCTTAAAATGCATAATTATTAATTTAAGTGTATAAATTCTCTTCGCACAATTAAATTTCTTTATATTACTCTTAACATTTGTTAAATAGTTTCATATTATTATCCCCCCCCCCTCCCAAAAAAAAGAAGAAAATGGAAAAGAAAAAATATTACAAAAAAAGTAGTAAAAATTATAGACTCTGAAAAATATTATACAGAAAAATAATGTTGACAAAATAAAATTCAAATACTTACAAAATAGAGAAAAAATAATTTATTTCTCTTATCTGAAAAATCACAAGATTACTACTTTTTCTCTAATATTTTTTCCAATGAGAATTTTAAATTAAAAAAAAAAAAAAAATTATTAACTTTGTAAGAAAATTTTTTACCCAACGTAAATTATACAATTCATTTTACGCATTTTATTATGTTAAAATTTAATTTTGAACTTATAAAGTCCAAAAAAAAAATGCTATTTAAAATAATAGATCGAAAATTGAAAAAAAAAAATTAAATAAATTATTTCGATTCATTTACACAATTGTGTATAAATTATTCAAAAAAAAAAAAAAAAAAATTGACAATTATTTAATGAATTGAATCTTTTACGAAAATCAGAACAGTTTTGTCAAGTGCATATTATAGCACAAGATTAACAGTGCAATTGTTTGTATTGTTTAACGTCCATTTCGAAAAAATCTTTCCGAACTGATTTTCAATGTATTATAAAAACAAATTCATTGATTGATCATTTTTAAAAGAGCAATCAACACACAATTTTTTGTGACAATTTTATAATATATCTTGCGCGCGACTACATCGCGTGTTTTCTTACTGATGAAGTTTTGTTTTTTCTTCAAAATTTGGGGATTTGAAAATTTTTAATTTCTAGTTAACCAGGAAAGGGCCTTTAGAAAAAAGTATGTTAATGATATTGCATAAAGTATCTTATCTCTTTGTTGACGTTGCATAATTTGTGATTCCACTGCAATTATTCGTCGATGTAATTTTCCAACTTGACGCCGTAAATGTTGTACTTCCTCGCTGGGTGTAAGAGTCACGTCTAATGTTGTATTAAACGGCGTTTGTTCTCTGAATAAAAAATAATTTTCAAATTTAATTTAATTAATAAGCGTTGAAAGATTTAAAACTAAGAAAGATTTTGTTAATTTTCAGACAATAATTAAATTTTACAGCATTAAAAATAATTTATCAAATAATTTTAAATAATATTTTTTTAAAAGTAATTGAATTTTCAAAGATGTTTGAAATTAATTGAACTTCAAGTGATTTTTAATTAAAATTTTTTTATGATTTTTGTTATTGAAAAATTTATTAGAAATTGCAGACAAAAATACAATAATTTAAAAATTTCTTATGCCAAAAATGGTTTTTGATAGTTGAATTTTTTGAAGAAGAATTTTTTTGTTGAAGAATATTAAAAAAAATCATTAAAAAAAATAATAATAATTTTAATTGAAAAATAGTTTAAGATAATTGAATTTGTGAAGAATTTCATTAAAATTATTAAAAATAATTAATTTAGAGAAGAATTTTAGTTAAAAATTTATTAAATAATTGAAATAAAGAAGATCTGCATTGTATACTAAAAAAATGTAAAAAATAAAGTTGAAAAAGTCGCATTTTATTAAAATAAGTCGAAAAAAGTCGTATAATCCGAGGATTGTAAAAAATTATAATAATAATTTTTAGAAGAAAAAATTTGAATTGAAAATTTCAAAAATTATAATTTTAGTAGTATTTTTAGAAATTTTATATTTTTCCAGTACTCTTCGTAAAATTCTCTGATTTACCTAACTCGTGTCATATTTTCAAAATATTGAATCAAATTTAAATGAAATTTGTTTTTAAATAATAAAGAAAATAACAAAAAGTACCTATCTTTAAATATTTAATTAGATTAGGGTCAGCCGGGGTAAATCCGAACGGGGGGTAAATCCGAACGCTAATTATTTCAGCTTAATTAAAATTTTTAAAAATAAGTTCGATATGAGAATTTTTACCTCAGATCCTCTTCAAGAGATTCTAAGTATTATCCCATTTTTCGTTTGTTAATTAGTAACAGCATAAACAAAGATAACGAGTATTGCAAAAAAGATTGAAAATCAAAGATGACACTCTTTCAGTATTTTGTCTCGTATTTCAAGAAAAAGAAGCTAAAAATTTATTTTATTATTTATAATTGTTTGTTATGAATACTAGAACAGAAACTATTTTTCATTTTTGCCTTCTGTAAAATTTTATTAATAATATCAGACCGTTCGTATTTACCCAGGAAAATTGGAAAACCGGGGTAAATCCGAACGGTATTTTCAATAATTTTTTTTTACATCAGAGCCACACAAAATTGTTTTTATTTCATTACACAATTATTTTAACATTATAAAAGTACATAGAAAAAAGTTTTTCTTTCTATACGTATCCTCGTTAGTAATTAATAAGCAGAAACTTAATCTCTGTTCTCTCGAAGGAGTGTTTCAATTTTTTTGCCAAATGGTTTGTTGAAAAAAGTTTTTCAGGATCTTAATAAAATTTGGTATTCTACGGTTTTTGGGGTCGCTAATTACCAATTTGAAGTCAGTTTTTCAAAATTCAATATGGCGGACGAGAATTAAAAAATTCATTGGATTCGCTCGAAAATTGTTACTCGGGGGGTTTCAGGGTCGCTGATTACGAATTTGGAGTTAGCAAATTTGATCATTTTTAAAAATAAGTTTTTTAAATCACTCCAAAATACTTTCTGTACCAAGTTTTGCAAAAATCCGTTATGATTTGATAAAGTTATTGAAGGTTTTAATTGTGTAATGCATTTTAATTTTTAACCTGTTTGATTTTTGTATTTATATATGATGCATTATTACATAATAGGTTTATTATCGTATTTTTTTTTAGTTTTTATATAAGTTTAACAATTGCAATACTTTAAATTTATTTTCCCTAAGATTTTTCTGAAATACAGTGGCGTTCGTATTTACCCCGGTATTTTAGGAAAGTTGCAAAGTATCGAGGTAAATACGAACGCTAAGTTTCCTGCGATTGTAATTTATCAAAAATTTTTGCTACCCCATAAAATTGTTCTATGGAAGTAAAGTAACAACTTCATGCACCAGAATACCGGAAGTATTTTTTTTTTAAAGAAAAAACTTATGTTATTGTTGAAACTTACTAAAAGCGTTCGGATTTACCCCGGTTGACCCTATTAAAGTTATATATTTTTAATTATTGAGTCAAGTAATAGAAATTATCATAAAATATTTAATCAAATTATTTTCAAATATAGGTATTTAATTTATTAATTTATTATTATTCAATAAAATAACTGAAATTATCTTTAAATAAGTAATAAAATAATCTTTAAATTTTTAATCGAAATATTGCAACAAGTATTTGTAATTACCTTAAAATATTATCCTAAATCAAATAATTAGAATTATGATGATAATTCTAATTATTTGATTTAGGATAATATTGTCAGTTTTAAACAGATTTAGAAAAAAAATGTCTAATGTCAATTCATAAAATATTGATGACTTAAATGTTTAAATAAATTTTTCAAATGTAATAATTCTCAAGATTTGAACCAAGAAGACTAGACTTTAGTCTCTAGTCTTCTTGATTTGAACGAATAACAATTTTTTGAAAAAGTTCAACTTAAAAATAGTTAAAAATTATTTTTAAAAAAATTTAATTTTTCTTTCTTTTATGTTAATAATTTGTGATTTTCATAACCAAAAAAAAAATCGATTTGTCTCATTTTACACTATAAAATTTGAAAAAATCATATATATATGTGCCATTCCAGGAGTTTTTTAGCACTTTTCGGAGTAACCTTTCCAAATTAAATGAAACATTTTTTTAATAATATTTATTAATATAAAGGTCCAAAAAAATCACTTTTTAAGTAAAAACAATTGTTTATTTAAAAAATACAACAATAAATAATGCAAAAAATTCACTTTTTTCCTGCAACTCCAAATAAATTGGTTTAAAGATCAAAATTTTCCTTATTTTTCAAGCTTTAACACCGCACAAGAAACATAGAGTCCGAGAAAATATTCAACTCACAATTTTTTAAACAATGTTTGTTTACTTTTTTGTATTTTATTTACTGTGAAACGTCTGCTAAAGCTGCGCGCGACGTTTGGAAGTTGTCGCTTTCCTTATTGAGCAGAAGCTCATTACACTAGCGTAGTAGAAAGCATGTTGTGTGAAAAGTGAGGTTATGTTGTCATTAAACGAAACGTAAAAATTTCTGGTTATCACATTGAATGGTTTTTAATTATCTACTTTGCAGTAAAAAATCATAAAAAGCATTTTTGAAGGATGAAAAACCTCACTTTTCACACAACATGTTTTTTACTACGCTAGTGTAATGAGCTTCTGCTCAATAAGGAAAGCGACAACTTCCAAACGTCGCGCGCAGCTTTAGCAGACGTTTCACAGTAAATAAAATACAAAAAAGTAAACAAACATTGTTTAAAAAATTGTGAGTTGAATATTTTCTCGGACTCTATGTTTCTTGTGCGGTGTTAAAGCTTGAAAAATAAGGAAAATTTTGATCTTTAAACCAATTTATTTGGAGTTGCAGGAAAAAAGTGAATTTTTTGCATTATTTATTGTTGTATTTTTTAAATAAACAATTGTTTTTACTTAAAAAGTGATTTTTTTGGACCTTTATATTAATAAATATTATTAAAAAAATGTTTCATTTAATTTGGAAAGGTTACTCCGAAAAGTGCTAAAAAACTCCTGGAATGGCACATATATATATATATATTAGGATCATTAGGAGAAATTTTTATAAATTTAACGTACCTTACGTGTCTTGTAATTTGATTGTCATTATATTGACGATTAATCTTTGGAGTAGCAGTTACCATTTCCAAATGTTCATTATTCATGGGAATATCATCATCGTCTATCATTGGAAAGTAATGATCGTCTAATGTCAAAACTCTAGGTGGAGTCTAAAGAGCAAATTTTTGTTTTCATACATTTTTTTTTTAACAATATAATTTAAATTTACTAATAAACATAAATTGTAATTAAAAAAAAAAAAACAATTATTTTTACTAACCTGCATTCTCACTAAACCAGTGTCACTTGGTTTAAGAACAGCATTTTCTAAAGTGATTTCTCTTGGAAGAGATTTAGTCCCAATATGTTGTTCTTGACCTATAAAATAAATATTATAAAATTTATTGTGTTAATAATTTATATAACCTAAAAAAAAATGTAAACTTAAAAGCATACGTTTTAAATTTACAAACAATTTTTAACCAACAATTTTGTTGTCAAAAAATATATAATACTTTTTCTTTGTGAAAAATGTGTAATTTTTTTTTCTTTTTTTTTTACTAACCAACGACAAGAATTCTATCTGGTACGTGCATTTCGTATTTATCGTTTGCTAATATTTGACTCCAGGTTGTTCCATTTGTGCCATTATGTTCATCATCAGCAAAATCACCATTTACTTGAATATTTTTTGGCACATTCATTCGATTTTTTATATCACGAGTGAAGTTAGAATCGAGAAAATTATCAGCTTCTCCATTAAAATGTGCTGTACTAAAAGCTTTAGACATTTTTTCAACTAAAAAATAAAATATTTTAACTGACAATATAGATTCATTTTTATTAAGTTGTGTATAAATAGTTGTAATTTCAATATATATTAATAAAATGTCAATTTTTTCGTATACAATTAAATGAAAAAAAAATCATTTAAATATTTTAAATAATAAACAATTTCTATTATATAAATCGTATTATTAATTTTAATACAATAATAAAATACTGTATTTTGTTAAAATTAGTAAATTGATCCAGTGATGTCATTGTTTCTCTCTCTGTGTGTGTGTATGAGAAAATAGGTAACAACTTGCAATAAATTTTTACCAATATTTGTCGTGTAATTAATTTTGCTAGTATAAAACCAAATATTTATTGTTCGAATTTTGATGGAAAAAAATGCATCAAAATATAAGGAAACGAAGAAAAATGCCAAGTATTTATAAAATAGAAAACATAACCTACAATTATTCAAGAAACTATATACTTAGAAAATTTCAATATTTGTCTTTCTACTTCTACACACAAGTTTTCATTTATATTACATTAAAATGTTACTTACAGAATAAATCTTTCTATCGTTATTTATTAAAGTTGTTTTTATTGGAGTGTTTAGTTGTTCAAACTGTAGCTAAACTATTCCAGAATAATGGCGCCATTACAATTTACAAGAAATATTTTGATTGGACTCTGAAAAGTCAAAATTCTAAAAAATAATTGGTTACTCTTATTTGTCCATAATTTTGATTGGTTAAAAACTACTTACCATCTTTTACCGGAACGATTTTAAAACCTCAAGGTAATTTCACATTGACCCATTCCTTTGTTATAGAAGAGAGAAAGAAAATAAATTATTATCGTTTATGTGCGTTGAAAATTTGAAAAATAATATAAAAAAAAAAAACATGACTACTAAATAATTCTCTAAATTGTATAAAGTACTTTGAGAGTTGTATATTTTTTTTTGTGTATAAATCTCCGTGCCCCAATATTTTAATACGCGTAAAGAGAAGTGAGTACAGTATATATACAAAACGAACAGTAGAGTATACTTGTCAAACGTAAATAAATATATAATAAATGGTCCAATCCAAGTGAATAAGTCTTTAAATCTTAAACTAATGTTTGGAATTTGTCAAAATCTTCTGTGGCATAGTATTTTCAATCAAAGTTTATTTTTGAGAAAAAACATGGCCCAGGCAAAAGTAACAGTACCAACAAAATCGTCAGACGTCAAAGAAAATGAAAAAGATGTTGAAGAGAAAGAAGGTATGCGAAAAAGAAACGTGTTTAAAATAATTTATTTTATTTTCTTTTTTTATTGAAACAAATATTGTTAAATATAGGTTATTAATTTTAACAGATATAGAAACAAAAGAATTTCTAACCTTACATTTTTAGTTAATATTATTTTTTTTTTAATTAGTTTACAGAACATGTTAATAGATTATGATTTTATTTCTTCTTGACAATTTATAATTTTTTTTTAGTCATATAAATAAATTTATCAAATAATCATCTATTTTCTCGTGTGTATTTATGTGGGGTATTTTTTTTTTTTTCCTTTTTTTGTTTTGTTACAGGCTCATCGACTGTACCTGAATGCGCAGTATGTTTACAACCATGCATACATCCGGCACGATTGCCTTGTAGCCATATATTTTGCTACTTATGCGTAAAAGGAGTAGCTAATCAAAGCAAACGATGTCCAATGTGTCGACAAGAAATTCCTGCTGATTTTTTAGAAAGGCCACAACTTGTTGAAGTCGATGAACCACAAAAGGAAACAACTGAAATCGAGGATGAGTACCACTGGTTTTACGAAGGTCGCAATGGTAATATTCAATTTTTTTTTTTAAATTCAAAAATCCACACTCACACCAAAACTTACAATGAAAGATTGCGAAATACAAAAATCATTTACTTAACGGTACGTGAAAAATTAAAAAAAAAAAAAAAAAAAAAAAAAAAAAGTACATACATTCAAATTTAAATTTAAAAAATCACGGCTGTTTATTAATAACAAAATTATAATTTTAATAAAAATAATAATAATAATAATTATAATAATTTAATTCATTTAAAAATTAATTAAATTTATATAAAAATCAATAATTAAATTCATATAAAAATTAATAATCAATTTCATATAAAATTTCAGGGTGTCTAGCGATCTGGGAAATCCCGGATATTCGGGATTTTGCCGGGAATTTTTTGAGTCATGAAAAAAACCGGGAAATTGCCGGGAATTAGTAAACAGATCCGGGAAATTTGTAGATTTTTAGAAAATATTAGAAAAATATATTTAATTTTTAAATTTTCGTAGAAAATTTTTTATTGGTATACTCGTATCTGATATCCTTTTTTTTAGCAATATTCCTAATTGTATTAATAATATATTTTTTGTAATTTATTACAAAAGCAGTGCAAATTGCAGTGTTTTATTAAATTGCAAGTAATTAAAAAAATAATGAAGTTTTTCAAATTTGCAATTTTACTTAAAAGGTAATTTTTCATAAAATTAAGGTAACTTGTCAATATTATTCCATAAATTTTTTCTTATATTCTAAAAACTTCGAAATTGAGGAAAAAAAATAGTTGGGAAAAATTAAAGTTATTTCTGTTGTGCAGATGGAAATATTATAATTAAATGAAAAAGTACTTGGAAAAAATTCTCACAAAATCTTTGCATTAAAAAATTTAATATGTTTTGAAGACAAATTTCTTTTTAGTAATGCTAACCCTTCGAATCCCGACCTGGGTCGTTTGTGACCTAGGTGATTTTTTGTTAAATTATGAATGTTACTTCAACTTGATAGATTTACTAAGTTATTTGAAATTGAAAAAATACTGCGATTTACGGTATTTTCGTAATAATTAATTAAAAACTTGTCTTACATGCTTAATCCTAAGCTTATTTCATTAAAAAATTGTAAAAAGTATATTTTAATAAATTATACAAATTAAAATTACTTCCGAAACAGAAAAAATGCTTTTCCATTTTTAATAGTAACAAAATTATACAAATATAATTTTATTAGTTACTCATGTAACTTCCAAGGTATTATTAAAACATAGTATTGTACAATTTCAATTTAAGAAAATCCGGGAAAACTGTGTCTTAAATTCCGGGAAATCCGGGATTTTGCCGGGAATTTTAAAATAAAAATTCACTAGACACCCTGTAAAAGTATTTACGATAAAATTATCTAAAAATTTTTATTAAAAATTCATTTAAACAATATTATCAATCCGGGGTAATTATACCCACAAAAACGCTTTTTTTTTACTGTGCGTGTCATAAACGTTAAGAATTTAAAAAAAAAATTATTTGAACTATTATGTTATCCTTCTGAAAAATTTCCATAAGTTAGGCGACAAAAGAATTTTTTTTTTACGGAGTTAAAGAAACTTAAAGTCGTGGGTTTATAATAATTCTTCAGCAACAGAAATCACAAAAAATTTTAATCAAAACTTAAAGTTGAATTATTTTCAAAAATTGTAAATCTTGGAAAATTTTCAATTATTTTTTAAAAAAAGTTATCTAAAATTATTTTTAATTCTGTTAATTTTGAATTATTATCTGAAATTTAACAAAATCATTTGCAATATAATTATTGCGAAAAATATTAATTGTAACTCTTTGAAAATTTAATTATTTTAATCATTTTTATAATATTCTTTAAAAATTCTATTATCTGAAAGTATTTTTCAATAAAAAACTTTTGAAATTCAATTATTTATAAAAATTTCAACTATAATTCTTACAGAATTGAATTATTTTTAAAAATTTTAATATTATTGTCAGAAATTAAAAAAAAACTATAACAGTTTAAATTTGCAGAAAATTTATTTTAAATATAAAATCTTGTGTAAGTACAATATTTTAGAAAAATTTAATTTAAAAATCTGTAAAATTTAATTACATATTGTCAAAAATTTTTTTGACCATTAAAAATAAAAAGTATGCTAAAATTTTAAATTCGAATAAATTGTTTAAATCAGACTTCAAACAATTTTAAAAATGGAATTTTGAGAATTTTTTTTTTTTTTTTTAATTTGTCTTAGTCCGATTCTGAAATATTAGAAATAAATTTTCTTTACAATATTCTTAAAGAATTTTTATTAAGTAATTAATAAAATCAATTTAATATGTAATAAAATTAGTTATTTAAACTAATATATATTTATTAACTAATTAAATTTATTTAAAATAAAAAAAATCGACTTTTTTGAAATGCAAATCGATTAAAACGATTTTTTTTGTGGCTTAAAGTCGATCCGAGGCCTAAAAATTGTTCAAAAAATTCAAAACGTAAAATTGAAATTTTACTATAATCTGTGTTTAATTAAAAAGTAATTTTTGGTAATTAACATTTTTTTTATATTTATTTAAATAACTCAATATAATTTATAATAACCTTTTTAAGTGATTTTGAAAGAAATAGTTGTAAAATTAACTTGAAAAACATAAATATTAATGATTTACATTTTTGAGGTCACGTTGAACTCCTTGAAAATTTATAATTCACTTATTTCTCATTTTTTTCACACAAAAGTATGTCAAAAAATATATAGAAAAGATACACTATACATTTATTTATTTACTGTGAAACAAATTTTGGAAAAATTATTAATTTTTAAGAATTATTATAAATTCGTTGATAATTTATAATGATTTATTAATTTTAAAATTAGTATTCAAATTTTTCTGCCAAATGTTTTTTCGAACAAACAAAAATTCTGTGAAATAAAATTTCCAAGTTTTTAAGAATTTTGTAAAAATGTAAATTTGAAAAAAATTAAAATTCGGCTATAGAAAAGAATTTTTTTCTAATATTCTTTCTGTAAAATAAAAAATATTTTTAATGACTATTCTGTTTAATTTAAATTTGAGTAAATAATAATTCTTTAAAATTCAAATTCGATAAAATAAAAGGTCTGTAAAATGAAATTTCTATTAAATAATAATTCGAATAAATAAATATTCGGCTAAAAGTAAATTCTGTGCCCCTGTAACTGGTATATATATATATATAATTACTTCGGTTGTCGGTATATTAAATTTAAAAAAAAAATTAATTTCTTTTTTATCAAAATTTTTTCTAATTGATCAAACTATCAAGTTAATTAGCATCTTGACCACCCATTCATATAGGTTGGTGGAAGTATGACACAAGGACCAATCAAGATTTGGAAGAGATTTACGATATGGGAACTTCCGAATGCGAGATTTTGATTTGTGGTACACTTTACGTAATTGATTTCAAAAGTAATATTCAGTACAAAAAATTTAATCCACGGTGTAAACGTAATATTAAACGTGATAAAAATGACTCTCCTTGCAAAGGAATAGCTGGTGTTAGATAATAAACGCAAATAGAATAATATATAAATATTATTTCTTTTTTTTTTTATCTATACTTTATAATAATATACAGTATAGTAATTATTTCGTTTAGTTACCATTCAAAACATTCTTCATTTCGAAAATATATATATTTTTTTTTGACACTATAAAACTATATTATAACGCATGAGTTAATATAATTAACATTCATTTTTATATTTAAAAAAAATGTTACTTCAAATATTATTATAATTATATAAATAAAAAGAGTTTTATAAGAAAAAAAAAAAACATTTTATATCTTTCACCCGTCCAAAATTTTTTAGTTTACGTCCGTTTTTTATTTTATCATCAAAAGAAATTAAATATTTAATTTAAAAAAATAGTTTTTGTATTTATATAAGTAAATTTTCAATTGGAAAATAAATATATAATAAAAAAAATTGTAATTTTGTTTGAAATAGTTGTATTTTTGTATTTTTTTTTTTTTTTATTATTATAATTCAATTTCAATTTTTTTGCTTTAAAAATATTTATTGAAAGTGTGTATTAGTTTTAATTATTATTTACAGGCTGGTGGCAATATGACATGAGAACGAGTTTGGAACTTGAAACTGCATACAAACAAGGTAAAAGGACTTGTGAGCTCCTTATTGCAGGATTTTTGTATGTTGCCAATTTTGGATCAATGCTTCAATTGCGACGCAATGACCCATCAAGGCGTAGAAGAATTAAACGCGATCTTCATAATGTACCAAAAAAAGGCGTAGCGGGACTACGACTTAATACACAAGAGGAAGATCAAATTGTTAGGGAAATAAGAGGAGCCGAAAGACCCGTTAGTCCAGCCAGTGACAATATAGGTATTAAAAAATACAATAAAATCTTATACATTTTATTTTTAAATTTATAATTAAAAAAAAAATTTTTTTTTTTCATAATTAAAAAGTGTTCAAAACCTTTTTTTAAAAATAAATTTCCTCTTTGTATGAAATTTACAAAAAAAAAGTAGTTAAAATTTAGAGAAAAAAAATAAAAAATAATCGAAAACTACAATTCGTAGGGGACGAAAAAAAGAAGATATTTATTTTTCGTACCTTTTCTAAATTCTTATGATTATAAAGTTAAGTGAAACTTAATCCAAGTTAAACTGAAATTTTCAAATATATAACTGTTTAATCCTTTACAAAAATATGTTTTTGAATTTTTAAAACGTTAAAAGGAAACTTTTATTGCACCCAAAAGACTATTTCTTTTTTTTTTTACCTGTAATGTACCACAATATTTACAATAGATGCTTTATTGCACTTTGAATAATTTCCAATTTCTGAACATCTGTTCATCTGGATAATCCTTTTTTTTTTTATTGACAGTCATGGTTTTTCCCACAATAAAACTTTAGATTTTTTTTCTACAATAAATTGCAGATTTCTTTTTAAGAAATAAAAGAAAAATTCATACACTAAAAAAAATCATTAACATAATAATTGTTTTCTTATTTTGTAATTTAATAAATAACAATTTTTTTTAAATTTAATTTAATTCAGTTTAATTTAATTTAATTTAACAAATAACTAATTTAACTGTCAATTTATTGATAAAGGAATTTTTTTATTTTTTATTTAATATTATTATTAGTAGTAATGTTATACGCTCTTTTTAAATCTTTAATTTTTTTTAACATTTTGATTTTTAATTTATATAATATTTACAATAAAAAAAATAACAATGTTGAAAACTTTTTAGAATTTTTATTACAAAAATAATTTAAAATATTTTCTCTACTGAAGAGGAAGAAAAAAAATACATTAACTTTGGAAAAAAAATATTTTTTTTTTTTTGTTTCTATGCCATAAAAAATGTTCTAATTTCAAAAAAAAATTTTGTCATTTTGAAAAATCGTCTTGTTTTTAAAATAAAAAAAATCAAATAATTAAAATTAAAATTTTTTAATTATTTAAAAAAAAAGAATACTTTTTTTACTTCTGTAGATGAACAATTATTATTTTATGTGAATGTTATTATATTTTTTATTTTTAAGCAATTTTTGATAATTCTTTTATACGCATTTGAAATATTAAAAAATATATAATTTGCAAATAAAAAAATTATCATTTATTTTTTTTTTAATAATAAAAAACTATTATAAATTTTTATTTACAAATATAAAAAAAAATAATAAATATAAATTTATGGATATAAATAAATGTAATTAAAAAATAATTAACAAATGTAGATGAGAAAATATTTATTGCATACTCGATTGCATATATTAATTCTTCTAATCGCAAAATTTATAATTCATCTGCAGTAACACAAAAATAACTTTTTTTTGAAAAATAATCTTAATATTAATATTAATAATAGAATTTTTTTTTTTTGAAATATTTAAATAATATTTTAATTATGCTTTCTGTTATTTTTATTTATCAGGAATTGCAGATGGAACAAATACGCCAATTCCACCGAGTAATACACCACAAACTCCAGCTGGTGGTTCAGCATCAGGTGATGCAACACCATTAACTGATCGTTCTGATCAAAGATCTGAATCTTTACATCAAATATTGGAACAAATGAGATCATTAGTATTAAGAGAAATGTCGCTCAATAGTGATAATGAAATTAATGATTCAATAGAAAATAATTCACATTCTAATCAACGTTCTGTTGATTGGTTACAGTCAGACGAAGATGAAGATCGTGAATAATTTATATTATCTATATACATATACATATACATAAACGTACAAAAATATTATATATTGAAAAATATGCAAGTTCTCGTTGAACATTCATAGTACTTAAGATTTAAAATTATATATTAATTATTAAGAGAGTATTGAAATATTCTCGTGTGAAACAAATTATATCTATATAGAATATTTTATATTTGCTTCAAGCTCGCATTGTGCAATTAATGTTGAAAACGAAACACAAAAAAAAAAAAGAAAAATAATTCTCTATTGAATTATTGTACATAGATACGTTTTTTATCAGAAAAAAAATTTAGTATTAGTAGAAAAATCATTTAATGATAAATATATATATATATAGATATTCAACGGAAATGAGAAAATAATCGAAATATTTTTATTTTTTCTTTAGTTTTTTTTTTATTCAACAAAAATGAGAAAAAAATCGAAATATTTTTACTTATTATTATTTTTTTTCTCATTAAAAATTCTTTTTTTGCTTGGTTAATGGCAAAATTTAATAATAAAAATTTAATTTTGTAAACCGCATAAGTATTTCTTTGCATTTAAATAATTGTCTTTTTTTTTAATTTTGTTAATTTTTGTATTATTGCAATTATTTCTTATATTTTAGAAACTGTACTTGAAACTTATTTTTGAATACATTTTACAAAATCAAAATAAGATAATAATTATCGTTGGGAACGATAATTAATGAATTGCTTTTATGTAATGTTAAAAATGGATAATCAAGTTTTTGCATCATATTATACTTTTCTTTTTAAACAAGAAATGCAATAAATCGATATTTATATTTAATTTTATTTATAATTATATTATTTGTAATATGTAAGATAAAAATGATATTTTTACTAGCAACAAGGATTTTTTAGCTATTAAAAATTAGTCGAGAAAAAGAATCTCTAAGGAAAATTGTCGAAAAAAAATTATTTAAAAATCAAAATTTCGGATAGAAATATTTTTTTGAATATATAACAGTATTATTTATAAGCAAAAAAATTGATGAATAAAAAAATGTCTAATTACGAGTCATTTATTTAATTCAATACTTTAATGTAAATAATATAAATAAACCTATTTAATGAAACTGAAAATTTAATTCAAACATTCGCGCTAACTATTTGCGGAAACACGTGATCAAATTATTTAAATTGGCGTCCTTTTTCGATGTGAAATTGGCTACAATAAAGTATTGCCCATAACTTCACATCATTCACTGCATCTTCTCTCGTGAGCCTCGTGAGGATTATAATAGAAAAAAAAAGTGAAAGAAAATCTTAATCAAAATGTAAATTTGCCCACAAAATTTATATCTTACGTACTCAGTATAGTGATGTTTGTGAAATTGAAGAACAATATACATGTGAAATTAGACATTTTGACAAAATCAACGTTCGAGTGTTGAAGAGGCTAGAATTTTTTTCTCGCGTGCCTCGTGGGGAAGAAGATTTTAAGCGGCTCTCTTTTTTTTTTTTTTTTTTTTTTTTAAGTTTATCGAAAAGTGACTAATTGTTGCAGTTAACGGATTGAAGACCAGCATAAACGAGAATTGCGGTAAGCGAGAATATGTTTAGGGTTTTTATTTGTTCGTGTTGAATAGTGCGCAATAAGAGACTAAAAAAAAAAAAATTTTTTTTTATTTTTTGGCTACTTTAGAAACGCAAAGAGGTCACAAAAATGGCGCAAACAGGGCACAGTATTATAGTAACAAATGTGACAAGTGAAGGTCCGCGATTAAAAATATGGGGTGTATGTGAAAAAGATAAATATTCATATATCGAGGCCTTAATAACATCGTTAGGCAATAAATTAATGCAACGTCAAGGTCTTGGACCGCAAAATTCTATTTCGCCGGAGACAACTTATTGCGTGAAATATCGTGGCCGATATGTTCGTGCAAAAATTACTAACATTCATCAAAATGGGGTTATTGTTCTATTAATTGACAGTGGAATAACTGATATTGTGCCAATAGAATTAGTTCGAGTTTTATATCCAAATTCAAAAGAGGAGGATTTCTTAATAAAATGTCCTCCTCTTGCTAATGAATTTACATTAGCAAATATTATATCTGTTAATGAAAAATGGGATAGCAGAACTGTTGAAAGTATTGGCACATTGGTTAAAGACAAAGAATTGATGGTTTCTAAATTTGAAAAATTCAATTCTTGCTATCTTGTGAAGCTGTTGTTTGGAGATCATGATATTGGTAACATACTTGTCAACAAAGGAATGGCAAAAATGACAACGTTAAGCGATATGTTCAAGTAAGTTTTTTTTTTAAACAGAATGTTTAAATTTTTTTCTATTTTTTTAAAAAAGTATTTTAGATGATAAATTATTTTTATTTGCATTTTTTTTTCTAAACTTTTTGGTTAAAAAAAATTTTTTTTATGTATATAAGTTATAATATTTTATTTTCTTATCCTCATCTCATATTTTTTATTTGTTAATCAAAATTTTTCTTGCTTTTAATTTGATTTTTAGGGCTTATTGCAAATTTATTTTTAATATCAATTGTAAATTAATATTCTATTCTAGAATTTTTAATTTATTTTTTATACAATATTTTACATAAATATATCATATGTCTTTTTTGGAATGAGGAATGTTTTCAATATTTGCTTGGTTAAAAATAGATTAAAAAAAAAAATTGAAGCCCTTAAAAAGAGTTCGAAATTAAATTTTAAATATTTTTAAGTTTTTGCTCTCGGTATTTTTTTGTATGTAATTTATTATTATTTATGATGAGTATTGTTGGGGGAAAAATGTGTTCGTTTTTGGTTGTAATTCTTTTTATACACTAGCTTAAAATAGAAATATATATTTTTTTATTTATTGCGGTCAAAAAAAGGTTTAGAATTATGTCGATAAATAGGAATTTCCCAGTTTTTCAATTTTTCAAAAATGTTATAGATCATAAAAATAGAGGGCGCCGGTATTTGACCGCATTTGTTTTGCCTTTCTCTTCTCTCTCTCTCTCTCTCTTTCTCGACAGTAAATAACTGTGTGTGGGGTATGTGTAGTTGGTATTGTCTGCCTAGATATTATACGGTTTCTCTTTAGTTTCATTAAGATTAGTTTCGTACCTGGAACTGAAATCTGTTGTTACAAATTCTTTGAATAAACTGATAAATACATCGGATTATTACAGGTATATAAATATAAAATATCATATTTAAAATAATAATCTTTTTTAATTTACTGTCGTTATTACGTTTATTATATATTTTCGTAACAAAAATAATTGTAAAGATATAATACAGTTATTCTAAAGTTATCGTAGGTTCTAAAATATTAAGTTTCTCATTATATTAACACAATTAATTTATTAAAAAAAACATTTTTTTAAATAATTTTTAATGTTAATTTACCAAGAACATTTAACATTAAGACCTTGTATATTTTTCAATATTAATTGTTATTATTCAATCTTATACAAATATTTATTCAATTCAATAATATTAAACTATTGTAAAATACTTTGTTGAAATTAATTAATTTCTCTCTATTTTAATAGAACCTTTTTTTTCGGTCAAATAAAATAGAAAATAAAAAAAATATTTTCATACAAAATAAAAAATTAAGGAAGTTTTTGATTAGATTTATATTTATATAAATAAATATTTTTAAAAAAAAATAAAAGAAATAAAATAATGGAAATCGAAAATAATAACTTTTTGAATAAATAATAATATAAGTAATAAAAAGTTGTGTTACTGAATATGTTTTTCTACGGTGCTTAACTTGTGAAAGGCATTCGTGAATCATTTTCAATTTTATAGTTCACTTTTTTAATTGAGAGACAGTTGCATTCTTACAATTGTTTAAAAGAAATTTAATTGAATAATTACTACCTAACTAAATTAAAATATGTTCCATAATAATAATTATAAGGATAATAATAATAATAATAATGCAACTGAACTAATTAATAATAATTATTATTATTATAATTATAAAAATAAGGATAATAATAATAATAATTGTTATAATATTTTTTATTCTGAAGAAGTTGTACTTTTTTTTTTAAATCCAAGTTTTTGTTTTTAAGTTAAAAAAAATAATTTTTTTTAAATATATATATATATATATATATATATAAAAATTTATAAATGTGCCCTTATGTATTTTTAAAATTATAATATATATAGAGAACTATAATTTCTATTCCCTCATTTAATATCGAGAAAGGCAATGACCTTTCATATTAATTTCAAAACAAATTTTTATCAACTTCTATTTATTTACAATTTCTGCGTGAAATAATTTGATAAACTTATATAAATAGTTATGTCTAAAAATCTTAATCATGTTTTTAATTAATTGTTTTTTTTTCAAATAGAATATATTTTTATTGAGGTATTTATTTTTCATTCTTCATATAGAGACAAAATTTTTATTTTCTTTACTTAAATATAATGAGAAACGAGTTAATCTATAATTGAATTATGTGATTCAATTTTTTTTTTCTATTTTGGTGATTATATCATGAATGTTGATGGGATTTTTAGATATAGAATGTGTACTTTTATTCATGAGAGACTGAAAAAAAAAATGCTTTACTGCTTGAAGTCAGTGTTTGTAAACATTTTTTTGCAAATTCTTATTTCGTTTCAATGAACGGACATTCTTTTTATTTTTTTAAATTAAAATTTTTAGTAAATAATTATAAAAAATATTGCAGCATGTATAAAAAATCAAAATTATTAACTTATTTAATGTTCAATTTTTTTTTGTTTTTTTTTTTTTTACGAAGCTGAAATACGCAACGTTTATGATAAAAGATTTTTAAAGAAATAATTTTTTAAAATGAAAAATTGTATAATGTTTTGCCTAAAAAATATTTTTTTATAATTTGTTAATTAATGAAAACTACAAGAAATATTTTTTAGGCGAAAAATTATAGAATTTTTCATTTTAAAAAATTAATCCTTTAAAATCGTTTATCATAAACGTTGCGTACTTCAGCTTCGTTTTTTTTGCACATTTTTATAAATATTGCATAAATTTATAAATATTTAATTTACTCCAATTAGAAAACCTTTTTTTAAAAAAGTTTTCAGAATTTTTTTATTTTCATAATTTATAAGGTTTTTCTTAATTTAAGGGTCTTTTTTTGAATTGAGAATGAGTTTTACCCTTTCCACAAAACCTGAAGGTCTAGAGACCAACCCTTATTTTCAAATTCAACCAATCTTCTTTTAAGAATACTCCCACTTAAAAAGATTCTACCTAAAATGGAAGGGATTTCGAAGATTATAAAAAGCCGGGATTTATCTCTGTTTGGCATTCTGTTTGGTTTTAAATAGTTTTAGTACCATTTTCGCCTACATAGTTCAATTACGGCTATTTTTCTATAACCGCATAAACAGTTCGTGTGTTTTTGCAAACGAAAATTTTTTTTTTTTTATTTCAATTGTCATTTGACTATTACCTTTTTTTTTGAAAATATATATATATATAAAAAAAAAAAAATGTTATCATCCAGTTCTTTCGGAAATCTTATCCTATATTATGGGTAAATAAAATTTTTTATTTCATTTTCATTTAGGTTTGTAAATATAATAGAAAAATTAAGATAATTTTTTTTAAACAATTCTAATTAGTTAATTAACAAAATAAATATTATACTTAATTGAAAAATTACAATAACATTAAATTTTCAACTAAATTTAAAAAATTCACTTTTTTTAAATTCCTGCAATATTGTTTTGTCAATTTTTTTTTTATTCATTAAAAATTGTGTATTCAATTAATATTATTTATTTTCGTTTAATTTTTTAAATTCGCTTCTAATTTTTTTTTAATCAAATTATTATTATTATTATGGTCACGTTTAAATTTATATAAAAAATGATGTTTATTTTTTTTTATATTTTTTTGTTAATTTTGAATTTTAACTGGCAAAAAATTTTTAAAAGAATAATTTACAAGTTCAATTCTTACATATGTAAAAAAAACAATAATTTTTATTGAAAATTTGTGTTTTAATTTGTAAGAAAAAGAAAATTATTATTTTTCACATTAGTGCTTTTTTGTCTTATTTTTAGTATCCTTTTTAAAATCCAAAAATCCCGTATTAGAATTCTTTTTTAAAATTATTTATAGCCTTTTTTTTTTTTTTTGCTTTTTTGAATGTTAGACTTCTATTTTAGAAGATTTTTTTTTGTAGATTCTTCTATAAATATTGTTAAAAATTTGTTTTACTATAATAAAAAATAGAATATTACGTTGAAGTTCACAACTTTTATGATCAACGATTTTTAAAGAAAAAAAAAAAATAAATAAAAGAATTTATCTGAAAAATTCTATTTATTTTTGCCACAAAGATATTTCTTGCAATGTTTATTGGTCAAAAAGCTTAAAAAAAAAACATTTTTTTAGATAACATTTTTTAATTATTTTCCATTTTAAAAAATAATTTGTTTTCTAATCGTTGATCATGAACGTCTTCAATATTGTGAATATTTAGTAATAATTTGCCTGATGTGTAAAGTTTAATTATTTTAATTATATATTTATTTAAAATGACGGTTTTTTGTTACAAGTATTTTTTTTATACTTACATTGAGAAAAAAATTTTGGAAGTATTATCTTAGATTATTTTTTGTTTTTTTAATTATTTAAATAAATTTTTTTTTTATGATTTTTATGATCAACGATTTAGAAGAAAAAACATTTTTCAATACCATAATTTTTTTTTGACGAAAAAAATTCTTGCAACATTTTTTGATGGATAAATTGTAAAAAGAGAAAAAATTTGTAGAAAAAAGTTTTTTTTCCAGCGTGGAATATTATTATGTTTTTTCATTTTTAATCGTTGATCAATAATCGTTGTAAACTTGTAAAAAATTACTATATTGAAAAATAATAATTAAAAAAAATTTTATTTTAAAAAATAAATTTTATTTAATTTTTTTTAGTGTAGGGTTTTTTTTTGTGCTTGAAATTCTGAACGTTGAAATGAACTAAATCAATTTTTTTGATCTGTACATTTTTTAAAAATTACTACAGCAAGAAAAATAATAAATTCAGTAAAACATTTAATAAATTGTTTATTTTTTAAATACAAAAAACAGTATTTTATAATAAAATTTGATGTTAAAAAAAATAGTAATCAAATTTTTTCATTTATTTTAACGTTCTAAACTTCAGGCACATGTTTTTTTTTTTTAAGTAATCTAATATAAATATTTTTCTCAATGTAAATCTCGTAACGCACATTTTTACTAAAAAAAAGAGGCAAAAAATTTTGAAAAAATAATTATTTATTATGAGTTTTTTCTTTTCTTACAGACCACAAATGTATGCGCAACAACCATCGTATAAGGTACCATCGGTTCCGCATCAGCAACAAATGCCTGTCACGCAAATGCCAGTAAGTGGATATCCTGGTGAGCAACAACGAGTCATTCATGCACCACACGCGAATTTGATGCCAATACAACAAAACATGAACGCGGATAATTATCGTTACGGACAACCTCCCTACATGTATCAACAACAACAACAGCAGCAGCAGCAGCAGCAACCACAATCTCATCATCTTCATCATAATCAACCACCTCATATTCATCATCATCATCAACAGCAACAACAAATGATTTCTCCACGAAAACCGACAAATCACAATGATGATGATGAGGAATCACAATCTGATATTTTTGAATTTAGAACACGTCTCGTACAAGTTGGAGCAGTATATTCTGCCTTTGTCTCGTGCGTTGAAGATGGACCAATTAAATTTTCCGTTCAACTCGAGGAAAATAGAGATCAATTGGTGAAATTAATGACGGAAATTCAAGCACACAAACCATTGCCAATAAAAGAGCCACCATTACCTGGATCAGTGTGTTTGGCACGTCTCAAAGATGAAGATCAATGTAGCCTTTGTCGTGCTGTTGTAATGGCAACATTTGATACGCGTGTTAAAATTTATTTTGTCGATTTTGGTAATACCGATTATGTTCAACATACTGATATTTATCGTTTACCACCAAAATTCATTAAACCAAAAGTATTGTCAATTCGAATTTGTCTACCTGGACTCAAGGAAATGAATATCACTGAGGAAGTGAAAACATATTTTTCAAATCTTGTTTACGGTCAAAGAGTTGAATTACATGTTCGTGAACCAGATGGACCATTTTTAATACAATATGGCGATATAATTTTTAATAATATAAATGTGAAAAAATATCTTAAAGACAGATTTCCAGATATTGCATCAGTTGCTTATGGACATATACCAGCATTAACCGATGGTACAAAAGAAACTGTTTATATATCGCATATTGTTTCTTGTTCAAAATTTTTCGTTCAATTGGAAAAAAATGCTTCTGATCTTGAAAAAATGATGGCTACAATTAATAGTTATGCAGCAACAGCTCCACTATTGAGGCAAATAGATGTTAATTCACTTTGCATTGCTCCATATGAACTCGACAATAAATGGTACGTTTTTTTTTTATTATTATTTATTTAATATTAACATTTTTTTTTCCAGGCTTCACAGTGGTTTGCCCTATTCCTCTATTTTTCCTCTTAAAAAATTCACCTGTTTTCCCCTTTTTTTTCAGTAATTTTCCCTATTTTATGTTGAAACTCGAATAATGGAATATATTTCATACAAAAATCAAATTTAAATGAAAAAAATTACAATTCTCAGATTTGCACAATTTTTTCAACTTTTTTTTTCAATGAGTGCGACTATTTCGACTTATTTTTATAAAATAACTTTTTCGACTTTTTTGAACAAAATATACTTTCATCAAAATTTTCTCAAAATTTTATTATTTAAAACACTTTCTCAATACAATTTTTTCTAAAATTCAATTATTGTCTGAATCTTATAAAAAAAATATTTATCAATTTAAATTTACGAAAATTTTGATTAAAAATCTCCTGAAATTCAATTGTTTTCAACAATATTGTAATTGCAACTATTTTAAAATTTAATAATTTTTCAAATTTTTAACATAAATTCTTTATTGAATTAATTATTTCTGATAACTTTAATTAAAATCTTCAAAAATTCCATTAATTAACAGATTTTTCAATTAAATTTTTTTTTTTAAATTCAATTATCTTCTGAACTTTGTAAAAAAATATTCCTCAATTCAAATTTACCAAAATTCTTATTGTATATCTTCTAAAATTTTAACTATTTCTTAAAAAAAACTTAAATATATATCTCTTCCAAAAACTCGATTACTTACAAAATTTTTATCTAAAATTCTTCGCTAAATTAATTATTTCAATCATTTTAATTCAATTTTTCAAAAATTCGAATTTGTTTATTAAAATTTCTTTAAAATTTTGTCAATAAATTTCATCAATTCGAATTTACAACAATTTCAATTAATAAATTAATTTTTTTTCAATAATTTGAATAATTTGTACAATTACTTGGAATTTTTTCTTCTTTTGAAGTAACTTTATATTATTATTTTTGAAAATTTGTCCCGTCTGTATTAAGAAAATTAAAATTCTTTTTTTAACAGAAATTGAATTTAAAAATTTAATTTAAATAAATTAAAAATTTCAGTTTCTTTGAAAAATATGAATAAAATCAAGTTTTGTATATTTTACAGTACGGTGTTTGGATTGATAAAATAAAAAATTACTTGCATTTTTCAAGAAAAAAATTAGTTTAGAAGTAATTTTCATTCTGTGGAAAATTAATTTTAAAATAAGTTTAATTGAAAACAACTTTTTGGTTACGGAAAATATACATTCAGATTTTACCCTATTTTTTCCCTTTTTTCAAACAAAATTTCCCCTATTCCCCCCTTTTTTAAAAACAAATTTTATGCTGAGAAGCCTGGAACCATTATTTTAATAATGTTGATAAAAGGTCTTTAACGCTTTTTTTTTTAAATTATAAAAAGATGTTTGTGAGTTTGTTTAAACCAATACTTTTAATTTGTTAAAATTTTTAGAACCGTTTTTTTAATATTGTTGATTGTCAAAGGCCTTGAAAGTTTTTTTTATCAACGTCTTTTTCACTATAAATTTAGATTATAAATTTATTTATTAACAGCAATATATGTTTTTAATTAAAAAAATTCTAAAAACTTTCGCACCCTTAAAATTTTTTTATGTCGATTTACTATATGTATTTCACATAAAGTCTGATATATTAATTAAAATTAATTTGCATTATTGTTGTTAATTTAGGTATCGAGTTAAAATTCTCAAGAGAGTGAAAGACGACGTAAATGTACTCTACGTTGATTATGGTAATGAAGAGACTGTGAATGTAAATCAACTTCGTGAAATTAGTAGGGATTTAGTGACACAAATGCCATGCCAAGCAATGCTATGCGTTTTGAATGGTTTCCAAAGTCGAAGTTCCAAACCACAATATGATGCTGCATTTGAGGCATTAACTAATGAAATACGTCTTTCCATGACAGTGAAGAATGCTCAAAAAACATGTTTGGTTGTCGATTTATTCGATATCACAACATCGCCACCTAAAAATATCTTAATGGAAATAAATAAAATCACATCGGAATCAGTAAGCATCAATGAAAATGCCGGATTAAAAAAATCAAATGATTTCGAAAAAACTGTACCACAAAATCACCAAAGGTAAGATTTTCTTTCTTTCTTTTCTTTTTTTTAACTTGAAACTGTATTTTTAATACTTGAGAATTCAGGGTGGCCGAAAGTCAGGGAAAAACTGGAAATCAGGGAAAAGTCAGGGAATTTTTAAAAATTCTTTAAAAGTCAGGGAATTTTGATTAAAAGAAACCACAAATTAAAAAACTTTGATATACCTATAAATGTCAATTCAGTTTTTTTTATTTAGACATTTTTGTAATATAGCTCATTATAATGGTGCCGTCAGATTTTTCATTTTTCAAAGTATTTACTTTTTTATAATAAAAGTTTTAAATATAATAAAATTTTGTTATTAAACAATTTCTAATTATCTTATCTTTTCCTTTATAAATAATATTGTTACTTAAAAAGCATTATAAAAATTTCAATCAGCAATGCAGAATATTAAATAATTCAAAAGTTTTTTAGTCAGGGAATTTTGAAAATAAAATTTTGCAGCCACCCTGGAATTACAGGGTAGCCACAAATCAGGAAATTTTTTTTTTTTTTTTTGTCATGTCAAGTGATCCAACTTTCAATAAATTCTGATTTTTATTGGTGAAAACAAAACTTATCCAAATATTAATTGATTTAATTTTCAAATTAACGGAATTGTAATTTTTTTAAAATTTTAATTGATTTAAGTTTCAATAAATTAGCCGTATATCAATTTTTCCAAATTTTGATTAATTTAACTTTTAATTCCCTGTTTTAGTGAAAAGAATTTTAATGTCAGGGAATTTGAAAATTTTATTCCTGTGGTAATCCTGAATTATCTTAAATTTATAAATAATAAATAGTTTTAAAAAAATTTGTTTATTTCTGTACTTATATTAAAAAAAATTAAATATTCTGATAGATCATTGGTTAATTTTTACTGTATCATTCAGGTTGGACAGTAAAAAACAACCAATCATGGCTCAACGTCAAAAATTAAAATCAAAAACCACAAAAAATCGGTAATTTTACGTATTATGATAAAAGTACATATAATTTGTTTGCTTCAATTTCACTATTATTTGCCTTAGCATTTATTAGCACAGATATATTTACATTTCTTTTGTGAAATGGTGGAAGCTAACATTTATAATATTATTTTTTAATTAAACTTTTCTAATTAGTTTATTAAAATTAACTAAATTGTTGACACATAATAATTAATGATTTTTTTATTTCTATGTTTTTTTCATGATGTAATAATTTAATTTCTATGAATTTTTCTTTTTTTAAATGAGCTCTAATATTTTAGGAATTTAATACTCTCATGTAAAGCAACAATTTAACAAAATTTCAAGTCAATCAAATAAATTTGAATTTTTTTGTCTTGGACTTTTAAAAAAATGAATACCCAAAATTTTTGTTTATTCGAAAGTTTTAAAAAAAAATAATTCAAAACCTTATTTCTTTATAAATTAATAATTTCATGTTGTGGTAATTATTTAATAAAATTTATTTTCCTATTCTCACCTGGCAAAAACAGAATATTAACATTTCACAGAATTGCACAATTTTAGTATTAGAAATATGCTTTTTTTGCACTGTATGTATTATATATAATTTTTAATTTTCATTTATTTATATTGTTATACACTACCGATTAAAATTGTGGGACCACACATTTTTTGAAGAATTAATAACATCTTTCAAGATAAAATTCTTTTCTGTTTATTTCTTAAGAGAATATCAAATTTTGAAAAAAAAAAAAAAAATAAGACCTGAGAGAAGAGATTTCTTCAAAATTTCATTTTGATATAAAAAGAAAACTGTCATTTTCAATGTTTAATAAAAATTTGAATTACTTCATCGCTAAAAAAAGTTGAAATTGTTTTCAGGGTACCGTAATATTGCAGGCCTCGAAGTGACACAATTTTTTACTTTTTTGATACTTTTTTTCGATAAGGCTACTTTTTTAGGGGAGACCGAGGAGGAAAGTAACAAAAATCAGTTTTTTTATGCTAGCATTAAAAATATTAGTCGGATAAATTTGTCCAATATATTAAATGAAAGCTTGGACATTCACCTTTTAAATAAAATTTGAATTAAACATTTATAATAAATTGACAGTTCACAGTATAACTTTTACGCAAGCTCTTCATCTGTTACTTTCCTCCTCACCCCCGAGGAGGAAAGTAACAGTATAAAATTATGTAAAATTCTTTAGACTAATGACTATTATTAATTAGAAATATTTTTATTAGGAACACATAAAAGTTTAAGTACACTTTATACTTATTTGGCACATATTTGGGACATATTTAGCACATATTTCGAACATTTTATGAATTTAGCTCATTTTTTTTCTTAAAGATATTTTATGCTTACCTAGATCACAGGTTTTTCTTAAATAAATCTCTGTTATTCGTAAAATTAAATACGATTTGCTTCAATCATTAGTTAAAACATGGACAATATCGACAACAGGAGAAAAGTAGCGTGTTACTTTCCTCCTCGGTCGCTTTTTTCTTGTATGTCAACAAAAAAGTTAAAACTACACAAATGTTAAATTGTTTGTTTAAGCACAACTTAAAGACAGATAATAAGGCTACAAAATAACGAAAGGCACATTTTGAAAAACAATAAAATTAAAGAAATACGAGACTTTGAAAATTTGAACGAAAACTTACTTTTGACGTTTTTTCTGCACATCACACCGGAATCAGACCTAACCTTTCCTGTCAGGCTCGGACACACTATGGAGGAGGAAGGGGGAACAGTGCCGACTAAAAATATGTTTGAACCATGTCTATCCGATAATTTGTTTAAAAGTTATAAGCTTTGTTACTTTCCTCCTCTGTTACTTTCCTCCTCGGTCTCCCCTACTACTAATTTTGGACAAAAGCCACTAAATGCTACTTTTTTCAAAAAAATAATTTTAAAAATGACAGAATTCAAGAATTTTAAATTTTAGCGATTATTTTGATTCCTAAAATCTCGCAAAGTTGATGATTTATTATTGGCCGCGTGAACTACTGCTTTATATATGTAATTATTTTTTACCCGAATTTTCATTTTTCAAAATAGCATTTAAAATAATTTCTTTTTAAACGACCTTTTACTTAATACAATTTTTAATTTGGCAAATTTCTTTTTGACAGAATTTTTATTTTACAAAATTTCTCTTTACACAACTGTTTTTTTTTTTTTTTAATTCTAATTTAACCGACATTGAGACAATAATTGAATTTTAGATTATTTTGAATTGAAAAATGTTTTAAATAATTGAAATGCCAAGATCTTGATTAAAGTTATTAGAAATAATTATTTCAACAAAAAATTTAAATCAAAATTTTTAATAATAATTGAATTTCAAGTTTTTGAATTAAAATTTTTGTAAATTAGAATTGCTTAAAATTATTAACAAAGTTTCAAACAGTAATTGAATTTTACAGAATTTTTAATTAAAAAATGTTTTATTTAATTGAATTTTTGAATAATTGAATTGAAATTATTAATTTAGATACAAATTTTAAAACTAATTGAAATTTGGAAGAGTTCGAGTTAAAATTTTTAGAAATAATTGAATTTTTGGAGATTTTTAATGAAAATTGTTTTGTTTTAAAATACTAAATATTTTATATATAAGCTTCCAATTCCAAGTTCTAGTATTTAAAAACTCGAATTACTTAAAATTCTACTGAATGAGAATTGTAATAAATTAAAAATTGGTTAAATTAGAATTCTTTTCAAGAAACAGTTGGGTAAAGAGAAATTTTGTAAAATAAAAATTCTATCAAATAAAAATTGGGTACTTTTTAAAATTCCGTTGAGTAAACATTCGTTTAAAAAAAAAATTCTGTATTAAATGCTATTTTGTAAAATAAAAATTTATGTGAAAAATCATTTTTATGAAATAATCATACGCTCCTTTTGTGCCAAAAACAAAAAGTTAATTGAAATTTAACAATAGATAGTTTTTTTTTTTTTTAAATAATCATGAGAAAAATATGATTTTTATTTTATTCCTCAGAATTTTTCTTTCAATTTTTTTAGACAAGAAAATATTTACACTTTAACGTCAAATATAGAAAACTAATTTTACTTCATTTTAAAGATGCCACTTTTTTTCAATTTTGGGGATACTTTTTTATACTTTTCTTAGTCTCTTACTACACTTCGAAGTCTGATATTGGTAAAATCATTTCTCTCAGCTCTTATTCTTCTCCAAATTACGAAGATGAAGTACGCAACGTTTATGATAAACGAATTTAAAAAAAAAAAAATTTTTTAAATGAAAAATTCTATAATTTTTTGCCTAAAAAATATTTCTTGTAGTTTTCATTAATCAGCAAATTATAAAAAGAAATATTTTTTTTGCAAAAAATTATAGAAATTTTCATTTTAAAAAATTATTTCTTTAAAAATCGTTTTTCACTTTTCAAAAAATGAGTAGTCACACACTTCAAACAGTTAGTGTATTATTATTGCAATTGCACAAATCCTTTAATTACAGTTTATTTGTGTTTTTCATTTTTGCATAAATTTTTCCCCACAATTAGACAAAATTTGTAAGTTAAAATAATATAATAATGTAATATATTATTGTTAATTGCAGAGATGATGTGAACGTATCAACTCAAAGTAATGTGAATACATTCCGATCAGCAAATAATGATGAAAATTCAAGAAATCGAACAAAATCATGGAAAGATGATCACAATGAACAAAGACATGACAATCGTTATCAACAACGTAATGACAATGTCGCTGGTGGTGGTAGGGAAAGATCATTTATTCGAGAAGGAGGAAATAATAATTCATTTGGTCGTGATGAGGAGAGAAACAAAAAGGATGGAGAAAATAATACATTCAATCGTGAAAGTAGAAATGAAAGATCGTTTAATAATCGCGATGAAGCTAATAATTCATTTGAACGCGATGGAGGAAATAATCCCTTTAGAAGTAGTGGTGACAGTGGTAATGATCGTTTCAATCGAAATGGAGGAAATGATCGTTTTAATCGAGGAAACGATCGATTCAATAAAGATGGTGGAAATGAAAATCGTTTTAATAGAGATAAAAATAATGATCGATATAATCGAGAAGGTGGAAACGATCGTTTTAATCGAAGCGGTGGTAGTGATCGTTTCAATAATAAAGATGAAAATCGCTTTAATCGAGATGGAGGTAACGATCGATACAATAAAGACGGTGGAGGAAATGATAATCGATTTAATCGTGATGGAGGAAACGATCGTTTTAATCGTAGTGGAGGTAGTGATCGTTTTAATAATAAAGATAGTGGGAAAACTGATAGAAATAATTTTCGCGATGGAGGTAGATTTAATCAATATTCACAACACGATAATAGAGATGATAGAGGTAGGGGAAATAAATTTTCAAAAAGAGACACTAGTGATAATGAATCGGTATCGTCTAAAGGAAGTGGTAAACGAAGTGATAAAGGCGGTTTCCAAGGTAAAAATGACAGGGATTTTAAATCAAATCAATTTAATAAATTTGGAAATGACAACGATGGATTCAAGCCTAGGAATTATGGTATGTTTAAATAATTTAAGAAAAATAAAATCGAATTTTGCCATTATTATATGAAAATTTTATTTTATTTCAGATAACAACAGTGGATATAATAATTCCAAACCAAAGTATAATCGTGATAATATTTCTAATGAGGTAATTTTGTGTAGAAATATATTTGATTAAAAACAGTTGTTGTTTTTTTTTTTTTATTAGTTCGTTAATCGATATATTTTTTTTTTTTTTTAATTTCAGCCCAAAGAACCAATTAATTTCGATGGAAAAAGTGAGATTAGCAAAGCAAAAACATTGGAATTATCGTTACCGTCCATAATTATTGGAAATAAACATCGTTGTGAAATGGTTTATCTCACGAATCTCTCACAATTTTATGTTCATCTAATACCTGATAATGAGAAACTCGAAGAGTTAATGGAGAAAATTGCATTGATTTATGATTGTGGTGGTGTTATTTTGGAATCGTCGAAAGTAAAATCAAATATTTCGTGTATTGCACAATATGCTGAGGATGAGAGATGGTATCGAGCGATAATTAAAAAAATTGATGCTACAAATGCAACGGTATTGTTTGTTGATTATGGAAATGTTGAAGTGATAAATATTGATAAATTAAAAGAAATAACCGATGAATTCACTGCATTGCCAATGCAAGCGTTACCGTGTAAATTATTTGGAAGTGAGAAAATAGAATGGACTGATGATGAAATTACCACTTTTAGCGATATGGTAAATGAAAAAATATTAGAAATTGAATTTGTCGCAAAAGATCAAGATATGTTTAAAGTTCTTCTCAGGGAAGTTGATAATGAAATTACAAAACCTGAAATTATTAATTCAACATTCTTTCCTGGTGTTGATTTAATGAAATTAAAAGAGAATATTGGAGCAACAAAAGTTGCAAATTTAAGTCAACAAAAGAATGCAGGCATTGAATTTGCATCTTTAGATAGTAAATGGATTGATCAAAAAGTTACAGCTGGAACGAGGGACACTGTAATTGTAACATGGTTTGATAATACTGATAGTTTTTATTGTCAGTCAGTAAGCAAGCAAAAGGAATTTAGACCAATGATGGAGGAAATTCAAAAGGTTTATTCGGGACGAAAAAATATTAGCGAGACACTCAAGGTACGTTTTAATTTTCTACATAGGAAAGATTTATTTAAAAATACAGTTTTTGAATAATTTTGGGCTTCGGAACATTAAAATCACGGTACTGGAGTTTTTTTTTACTTTTTTTTTTTAAATCGAGCAATAAAAAAAATTGAATTTACAAAATAATTTAATTTAAAAACAATGGAATTTTAAAAAGAATTTGGTCATAAATCTATAAATTTTAATTCGTAATTTATTATAATAAAATTAATAATATATATTATAAAAAATTTGTTAATTTTTTTTTTTTAAATGTAATTTTTAGAGTTGTAATTGTTTTTAATTTTAATAATATTTATTTACAGCCTGGTTGTCCAGTGATGGCAATTTTCGCCCAAGACGAAGCTCTCTATAGAGCAGAAATTGTTGAGGTGAAGGGTAATCGAAATTATCTTGTTCAATATGTCGATTTTGGTAATAAAGCAACAGTCGAACAACGTCGAATGTATCCTGTTGAGAAGAGATTTATGATTATTCCTAAACAAGGAGTTCGATGCTCATTGAAAAATATTTTTCCCATTAATGGTGGAAATTGGACAACACAAAATTCACAGGAAATTGAACAATATTTGTACGAGGAAGGCGAATTTGAGTGTACATATCACGAAGAAAAAGATAAGAAATACTTAATTTCATTGAGTCACAATAAAATTGACGTCGCTAATTCTTTAGTTGAAAAGAAATATGCCATGTTTGCAACAAGTTCCGCTCCAAAATCCATTGGTAAGAATATCAAATATTTTGAGATATATTTCAAAATCATAAAATTGTCAAAATTCTGAATTAATTTTCATAAATGAGATTTGAAAAATTCTTATAGTAAAACTGAAATGTACCATTTTTTTTTTTTTTTTTTTTTTTTAATATCTATTTAAATTTATTTAAAAAAATAATTTCAAATTGTGATTATTTTACAGAAACAGAAAAAATAACGATAGACGAATCAAGCAGTGAAATCACTTCGCGATTGGATATACAACTTCTTCCGGGACAAACTTTGCGCGTTAAAGTTTCTAGTGTGGAAAGTGTATCCAAATTCCATGTTCAATTTTCCTCGGCGGATTATTGTGATCAGGCCATCTCAGCTTACATGACAAATAATGATCCAAAGGTAATGTGCATTTTTAATTATGCATAAAAGCATGTTCTTTTTCTGTTGTAGGAATTTTTTTCAAATTACTATCAACTGGGGAAATTATTAAACAAAAAACGCGATTATTTTCAGTTTTTTCTTTACCAAAAATCGAAATTTGAAAAAAAAAATATTTTTTTAACTATTCAAATGGGGCATTATATTTTAAAATTAAACCCCTAGTAAACGATTGACAATATAAGACAATTTTTCAATAATTATTTCTCCTATTTAAATAAATCAAATTACTTTTGCAATGAGTAGTTTCGAAAGAAAAATTTCTAAACTTTATTATTGTAAAAAAAAGTTTTTAAAAAAATATTTAATTAGTATAAAAAATTTAGTTTAAAGGTTAAACTTGTAAATATCTCAAAACACGTCTTCGATTTTGACAAAATTTATGTCGAAAAAAAACTTAAATATCCTATTTTTTATTTCCGTAAAGTTTATAATATAGACATTTTAGAGGATTTTAAGAAATTAATTAAAATCATTTGTCGATTAAACAAATTTTATTTTTGACAAGGGAAATTTTTTTTTCTTGTAAGTCAGAGAAACGTCAAGAAAATTTAAAAAAAAAAAATTTCTTTTTGGCAACACTGAATACGAAATATTTTCTTATCTTATAATTTATTTTACAAAGAAGATCTGACAAATCTGATCAGGCACTTTTAAAAATTATACAAATTTAAAAAGTTTCAAATCACCGCTATTACTTCCGTTAGGGCTATAATCCCATCATTCTCCGAAGTGTTTAATTTAATATAAAAAAAAAAAAAAATTAAAATTAATTTAACTCACCAACATTGTTTACAAAAAGCACTGTCAAACTAATATTTAATCATTTAATCTCTCACGACTTTGCGAAATGAAATCATTTTCTCCTGTACAATTCGTTAACAATTTTTTAATTCTTTTGCGGTCTACTTACTGCTTTCAAAAAAAAAATGCATTAAGACTGTTGAAAGAAAAATTCTTTTTTCCTTAAAGCAACAATTTACAGAATTAAAATTATCATTCTTCTTCTTTGTTATTTGCATTTTTTTTGAAAAATTTTGAATTTAAATAATTTATGAGCACATAAACCGTGAAAGAGTTGAATCAAACAAGTTAATATTTTTTTTGTCTTTAACAACAAACGAAAAAGCCGAATTATGCAAGAAGCATGCGAATTGCAAGATTTTAACGAGAAAAATTATGAAAATGAGTAAAAAGTAGTTTGCCAATGTCAGGTGATGCCACAATTATCAAGCCATGAGATGTGCCTTGGCGCGGGTTGTCTTATATTTAAGGATGGATTTTGGAGGCGTGCTGTTATTGTAAACTGTTGTGAAAAAATAAGTTTCGATGTCAAACTTATTGATACTGGAGCATATGACAAGATATCACTGGATCGAGTGAGTTTATTCCTTTTGTGGAAAAAATATCAAATCCACATTGAAATGCTCACTGAACTTGTTTAATCTTCATTCATTGAAAAATTAACTTTTTTAATTTTTTAGTTCACGCTTTCGACTTTCTTATCCCCCCTTCTCCGTCCCCCTTTTAAATGAATCTCAATCTTAATACCAAAATTTAAAAACTCATTTTAATTCTTAGTTTAGAAAAAAAAAATAAATGTATGCATGAACATTCCTAATTAATGGTTGTAAATGTTAAAAATTGAATAATTTATATTAAATTTTTAATTATTTTATTCAAAGAATCGAAAATATGGAATTGGACTAATTCTTCTTTCGATTATTTTCTGGAGAAATAGATAAAGTATTCAAAAAGTAAGATTACTGAATTCGAACATTTGAAAATTTTCTATTTCTAATTTTTAAATATTCTAAATTTTCTGAAAAATATTTAGAAAAATTATTTTTTTTAATTTATTAAACTACATTATTTAAAATAATGTTAATAATAATAATATATAATTAACTAATTAAAGCTCCGAAGCCTTTGATAATAATAATGATAATAATAATATTAATATAAATAATAAATTGAAATCATAACTGAATTATTAATACATTAAAAATTAATTACATACCTAATTAATATAAAACTAAATTAAAAAATAAAATTAATTCTTACCATTGTGTAATAAATTTTATTGCAAATGTCTAAATTTAATATTCTGTTCATTCTAAATTTATGATTACTAACTACTTGTAATCCTTACTACGTGTAATAAATATAATTTAAAACTGAAACTAATTTTTTTTTTGGTATTTTTTTTTTTTTAAGGTGCTGGCTCTACCTAGTCAGTTGGCAGTGATGCAGAATCAAGCAATCGAATGTGCTCTTTATAATGTTAAACCTTCGGCTTCTCTCGATGAAAAGCTTAAGAAAATGGTTCTAAATAAAGATGTAATGATGTACGTTGAAAGTGTCGACAAAAACAGGTGAGTTGTTTAATAATTTAATAATTTCTTGTTACAATTTTTATTATATAGATTTTGTCATATAAATATTGTGCGAAATTTAAATTTAAATTTTTTGCCGATTCATCTAAACAAAGTCTTTTTATTATATATTTTTTTTAAATTAGTTTTTGATATAAAGAGGTGTCTAGCGACCTGTAATTTCTTGAAGACATGGAAAAGTTTTTGAATTTTATTTTTACCTGGAAAACTTGGAAAAATTTTTTATTGGTTCCTAAAATTTTCTATTTCGCTGTAAGAATTTTTTTTTCCAACCGCGTTTAAAATGCGAAATTAGGTAAAATAAAAAATACGTTCGACTTTTTTTTTTAATGCATGCGACTATTTTCGACTTATTTTAAAATAAAATATGACTTTTTCGACTTTTTTAAAAATATTTTTTTAAACAAAATACGACTTTTTTAGTAAAAAATGTACATCATTCAAAACTGAATTATTAAATGAATATTAATTAGAATTCTTCGCAAAATTAATAATATTCAATGATTTTAATCAAGTTCTTTAAAAATTCGATTATATAAAATATTTTTCAAATAAAAGTTCTTTTAAATTCAATTATTGGCTAAATTTTGTAAAAAAAAAAAAAATTAAAATTAAAATTTATGAAAGTTTCGATTTAAAATCTCTTAAAATTTTTCAATTCAAAATTCTCTGAAATATAATTATTATTATCAGAAGTTTGTAAAAAAAATCTTTAGCAATTCAAATTTTAAAAAAATTTATTTAAAAATCTCCAAAAATTCAATTACTTTTATAAATGTTAACTGCGGCTTTTTCAAATTTCAATATTATTTAAAATTTTTTTTTCAATAATATAATAATTCAAAAAATAATTCAATAATCTTTTAATGTATTTTTGTCATTAAAATTTATTAAAATAGTACTAGAAAAAATAATTTTAACCTGGAAAAGTCCTAGAATTTTATTTGGCAAAAGTTTTAGATCAATTAATTAATAAAAATTTTAACTTGCGCTTTAGTAATTAATTTTATTACTTATGATTTCACTAAGTAAAAGAAGTTGAAAAATAAAAAAAAAATCTTGTAATTTCAGATTTGTTGAATGTGATGTATAATATTAATAATAATAATAATAAGAATTTCTTTAAACTGAGCTTTTTTTGCTTAAAATTTAAAGTTGAGAATAAGAAAATTAAAGAAAAAAAATTGTTTCGATATTTAAAAAAAAAATCAGAAATGGTTAATGTTGCTTAAAATGATCTTCAAAGGGTTAATTAGAATAAATTTCTTCATTTTTAACAATACAATATATAAAATAAAAAAAATAGATAAATAAAAAAAAGATAATAAAAAAGAAAATAGAAATAAAATAAAAATTTTTAATTATAATTAGTTTGAAAGAAGAATTTCTATTTTTTTCTATAACAAATTAATATACTTTTATAAAAAAGTTGAGAAAAATTCGATCCTTGGAAGGAATAAAATAACATAAAAAATGTATGTTATTAATATTGTTTATTGTCACAAAACAAGAAACGACGTTTCGATGACTTGGTTCGTCATCATCTTCAGGTTAAATCTAATGAAAATATTTATAATATTAATAACATACATTTTTTATGTTATTTTATTCCTTCCAAGGATCGAATTTTTCTCAACTTTTTATTAAACATTCCGGAAGGGAAAATCCTTACTCTATTAATATCTTATATATATATATATATATATATATATATATATATATATATATATATATATATATATATATATTATTTATAATAATAATAATATTTATTGAAACTTTAGCCTATTGGCCCAAAAGTGGACTTGGTTTACACTATAATTTATAATAATAATAATAATATAAAAAATAATATTATTTTTATTTTATTTTTTTTTCAGACTTATTGTTGAGTTATACGACTCAATAGGATGTAAATTTCAATTTAATGACGATGGTAAAGACATAAAAATTTCTCCCGTTTGTCCAATGCCAATTTTAAGTTCAACGCACAAAGTAAATGTCTCAACGGCAAATCATTCAAATAGTTTATGGCTACAAATGGTTGCCGACGCTGAAAAAGATGAGAAACTTAATCGTGAAATGTTTGAATTTTATTCGAAAAATGAAGAAAAAGCCGATCCAATAGTTAATAAATTATGCGTCATTGAAAGTCAAGGAACATATTGTCGTGCCAAAATAATTAAAAAGACTGACGATAATATGGTTTTAGTTAATTTAATTGATTTTGGAATGAATGAAAATATTTCTTGTGATAAATTAAAAATACTCAATAATCGTTTTCATTTGCCTCATCAATTGGCAATTCATGTTTCATTAAATGTCACACTCAATGGTACACCAGCTGAACAAATAAATGCCCTAAAACCACATCTTATTGGCAAAGAATTTACAGCGATATTCTATAATGTTCATAAAAAATGGATTGTCGAATTAATTGAAAATAATATTAAATTGAGTGAGACATTGACTGGACTTAATTTAGTTAAAGAAATGACTTTAATTGAAAATAATAAAGAGAAATTTAAAATTTGTGTAACACATGTAGATTCACCGGTACAATTTTGGATACAGAGAAATGATGAAATTTCAGAATTGAAAGAAATGGAGAATGAATTGAAAAATGCTGTTAACTATACAGATGTTAATGGTGTTTTAGAAGAGGGTTCATTGTGCGCAGCATATTCCGATGGTGTTTGGTATCGTGCGGAAGTTATTGATGCCGATGAGGATATTGTAACTGTACGTTTTGTTGATTATGGAAAAACGGATGTTATTAATAATAAACCAAATTTTATAAAATCACTACCTGAGACAATGAAGACGAGAAAAATATTTGGTATTAAGTGTCGATTAGATGTTATTCCTGTGGATTCAGAAGAATGGAGTGATGTAATTTGTCAATGGATGCAGACACTTAAAACAGAGGAGAATATTGAAGCGAAAATAATTGTTGAGAGTAGTGTAAAAAGAATTGATTTATTTTTAAATGGAAAGAGTATTATTGATACATTAGTTGAGGATGGTAAAGCATTGAAAGTGCTACATGAACAGGAAGTTGTTGAAGAATTAATTGACGTTGAATTGGATCCACGTTCAGCTTTTATTAGTCATATTAATTCGCCAAGTGATTTTTATGTACAAGAAGAGAAATCAGTTTCTGATCTTGAGAAAATTCAAGATCGATTTATTGTCGCTAATATGCTTCCAATTGTTAGTGATGTTAAGGAAGGTACACTTTGTGTTGCTAAATATACGGATGAGGATTATTATCGTGCTCGTATTATTTCACATAGTGAAACGGGGACAAAAGTACTTTTTATCGATTATGGAAATAATGCTGAAGTTCAAGAAATTCGTGTAATTCCCGATGATGTTGCATCAATACCGCCATTAGCGAGAAAATGTTCTCTCAAAAAACCTTATTATCTAACAAATTGGTCAAACGATGCATTCAATATGTTTTGTGAATTATCCGCCGATGGTGCGACAATTTTCTTGCTCGACGTACTTAAAGAAGATGAAACTGCAATTGTTAAATTGACATTGAATAGTGAAGATATTGCCGAGAAATTAGCGCCAGCTGTTTCAATTTTTGTTTGTAATATTAATTCACCGATGGAATTTTGGATACAAAGGGAAAATGATGTTGAGGAAATTGACAAATTACAGGAGAAATTGTTTGAAATGGAAAATTCGGAGAAAATTGAGGCTAAAGAGGGTTTATTGTGTGCTGCAAAATTCCCCGTTGATGAACAATGGTATAGAGGGAGAATTATTAGTTGCAATGAAAATGAATCAACTGTTATGTTTATTGATTATGGAAATTCGGCAATTTGTAGTGAAATTCGTGCACTACCTGATGATATAGCTGCTATTGAGCCTTTTGCAAAGAAATGTTCTCTCAAATTACCAACGTTAAACGACGAATGGTCACAAAATGCTTTCGATGAATTTTGTAATATTTCAGGCGACGGTGCCGTTTCACTAATTATTGATATTGTCGAGGAGAAAAATAATTTGGCAATTGTTAATTTATTCCTTGGCAAAGAAAACATTGCGGAGAAATTGATTTGTAAGGGAAATGTTGAGGAAAAATTGTCTACAATTGTCGAGGATAATCATGAAGAGGAAATTATTTCAGAAAAAGAAATTACATCACAAGAAGAGATTGTTTTAGAAAAAGAAATTACACCACAAGAAGAGAATGTTTCACAAAAAGAAATTAAATCACAAGAAGAGACTGTGTCACAAAATGAAATTTTAGAAGAACCAACAGTTTTTATAAGTCAAATAAATTCAGTGGAGGAATTTTGGATACAACGATTGGATTATGAGGATAAATTGGATGAAATTGCATGTCAACTTTGTGCATTTGAGGATGAAGCCGCTGTTAAAGAACCAAAAGTGGGTTCAATTTATGCCGCTCTATTTACATGTGATGACGCATGGTACAGGGGAAAAGTTCTTTCAATCAATGGAAATGAAATAAATGTCTTTTTCATTGACTATGGAAATTCATCGATTGTCACCGATTTACGTGAATTATCCAAAGAATTAGTAAATTTACCATCATTTGCTAAAAAATGTTCACTAAAATTACCTAAAGATCAATATAAAGAATGGCCTAAAGATGCTGTTAAACAATTGACGGAATTGTCTGCCGATGGTACTTGTCCTTTTACATTGTGCGTTCTTGATGACAATGACACGGCGCTTGTTGATTTGAAATTAAATAATGAAAGTATAACTAAAAAATTGCTCGAAAGTGTAGAAAAAATTACAAATGAATCGAAATTGGAGGAGAAACAAGAGAATTTGGAAAAAATTGAAAAAACTTCTGAAAATGATGTTGAAGAAATTGTGAAAAATATTGAAGCTGTCAAACTTGATGAGAAAATCACTAAATCAAATGATGATTCTTCTATAATTGACGAGAGTTGTGATAAAATTGAAGAAATTTCACAAAGTGTAGAAAATTTACAAGTTTCAGAGAAACTTTCTGAGGAAATTGCTACTGAATCTAGTGAAGAGACCATTAAATTAACTGAAGAAACAATGAAATTAGATGGGGAAATTTTGCCAATGAATGAAGAAATTACAAAAATAGATGAATCTCCTGAAATTAGTGAAAAATCAACAATAATAGAGGAGAAAAATTCGACTATTCTACTTTGGAATATAATTTCACCATCTGAATTCTGGGGTCAAGTTGGTGACGACTCTGCCAATATTCAAGATCAACTTTTACAAGCTGATGAATGGAAAACAATTGACGAGTTGGAGAAAAGTGAGTAATTATTATTTTATTCTATATTATTTCAAATATTTATTTCTTAAACCACTTATTTAAAATTTAATCAATTTATATATATATTATTTTAATTATTACATTTTCGTTAAATTACAAATAAATAATCATTTTTCTCTATGTAAATTATTTTGTTTTTTAAAAATACCTTTGAAAAAAAAACGATTATCCCATTTTTTTTCTTCATTAAAAAGAAATTTTAAATTGCCTTTTTAAAATAAATTTAATTAAAAATTATTTTTCGCAGATCTATTGTGTGCGGCTAAAGTAAATGATGAATGGCATCGAGCTCGTATCGAAAAAATCAATGAAAATTCAACGGAAATTTTTCTTATCGATCAAGGATTCACTTGTGTTTCCACGGAATTTCGACAATTACCATCAGCTCTCGTTAATGTAGAACCGCTGTCGAAAAAATATTCTCTACAATTACCAAAGAACATCAATAATTGGACTCAATCTGCAATAACTGCATTTTCAAAATACACAAAACAATCATTTACAATGGAAATTCTTCAACCTGACGAAATTTCAATTATCAAATTATTACATCACGATGAAGATGTCGCTGAAATTCTCACATCAATGCGCGACGATTTTTCAATTAGCGAACGTTTACCACCGGAAGGTGAAGAAAATTTAAATATGTCAATAAGTAATATGATATCACCGTCAATGTTTTGGGGACAATTGGAACTTAATTCATTGAAACTCGAGGAAATGGAGAAAAATTTAATAAACGTTGCAAGTTTCAATGAATTAAAAAATTTTAACATTGGACGAATTTGTGCAGCACTATTTCCCGACGATGGCAATTGGTATCGTGCAAAAATTCTATCACACTCCAATAAATCAACAGAAGTGTTTTACGTTGATTTTGGAAATACATCAACAACAACTGAATTACGCGCACTTCCACACGATTTAATTGCAATTGAATATCTATCAACACAATATTCTCTACGTAAACCATTGGACATTGAGGAATGGTCCGAGGAAGCTTGTGACAAATTCCATGAATTAATTGCCAATGGTGAGACATATTTTGAATATAAAATTCTCGATCAAGAAAAAAAAGAGGTTCAATTAATTCTCCAAGGTAAAGACGTGGTGGAAATATTGTCACCTCTTTGTAAAAAAGTAACGAGTGAATTGACAAAAGATTCAACACAATTGGAACACGATATTGAAACAATTGATCTGACTAATGATACATCGTTAAAGGAAATTGTTGAGGAGAAAAATATTACAGCATCATCGGACAGTGCATTTCATTCGGAAAATATTGTTGAAACTTCATATTCATCGCAAGAAATGGAAACACCTGTTGAAAAGAAAAGTCAGGAATTTTCGTCGACATTTCAAGATTTAGATCAACGTGATGTTAGCAGTGAATTTGAAATACAACCGGAATTAACATCTGAGGATATAATTTCAAAAATGCTTACTCAAAGTTCTGACAATACAAAAGATTCGGTACTTGATGTTTCTTTAATTTCAGAAGTTGAACCTGAATTAACACCCGAGGATGTTATTAATAAAATGACAGTCGAACTACCGGATGGTACAATTGTGAAAAATGTCGATGATCCATTATCAGAATTGAATGACAATGAGAAAACAATGGATCAAAAAAATATCTGCGAAGCTGAAGATAATCAAGCATGTGAAATATCGAGTACAATAACAGAAAATAAATCAACAACAGTGAAGGCAATTAATGAAATTAAAGAAAGTTTTGTAAAAATTGTAAGATTGGAAAATTTCAGTGAAGCACTGCCCGAAGTGGAAATCACAAACGAAAGACGTAAATCAGTGGGAAAATTGGAAAATATTGCCGAAGTAAATTTTGAAATTGAAACAATTACAAGACGCAAATCATTAACATATGAAGAGAAAATTTTACCAGCTTGTGTTTCTGGTGATCAGCCATTAACGCGTGAAGATAAAATTTTATCCAGCAGCGTAGATGGAAGTTGTGTGCCATTGGAAAAAACCATCGACAATGAAATTGTCCCAACGGAGGAGAAATAAGTTTTCTAAAAAATCGTGCCCAGAGAGAAAAAAAAAACATTCCTCGCTAATTATTTTCGATTTTAATCCGTTTTTTTTTTTTTTTTTTTATTTTTCAGTTTAAAATATTTTTTCATTTTTTGTTTTTACCTTATAGACATAATTAATGTCTTACCAAAGAATAACAGATTCGAAAAATTAGCGATTTTTTTTTATGTCTGGTGCTTTATTTTTATTTTTTGTTTATTAATATTTGCCATATATAATTATAATATTAATTTAAATTTATTGTTAACAAATGCCTGGAGCATTTTGATTATTTATTTTCAATACATTTATTTCTTTATAAAAAGTAAATTTAGATGAATTATCATATAATGAAAGTATAGTTGGCGATAACGAAAACTTATAAGACTTGAAAAAAAAAGAGTGAGAAATTTTATTTTATTTATTTTTTTTTTTTTAGTTACGGTAAATCAGTATATTATTCACAAAAAAATGAATTATTTTATCACATTTTTTGCGACATTCTTATTTGATAAAAACGATCGATAAAAAAAAAAATTGTGATTTTTTTATTTTATTTTTTCGATCGTGAAATAAAAAAATGAGACGTGTGAAAAATGATTTCCTAAACATATTCAACTTTGATAAATGTAAATAAAGTTTAGGAATCAATTTGAAATACTATAAACATTAGTAAAAAAAAAAAAAAAAAAAGGAAAGGAAAGAAAAGAAAAGTGAACTAAATATGCTGAAAAAAAATATATGCGATATCTCAAAAGAAAGACTATATTTTCGGTAATTAAAAGTATTTGAAATTCATTAAAAAATTAAGTGCCATGATTTCACTTCAACTTTTGACTGTTATAGAGACATGAGTGAAAAAAGAAAATGGCTGGTTTATTAAAAAAAAAATTAGTTATAGGCCTCGTTTGTAATTACGTGTTTATTGTAAAAATTTGTAAACTGTTGAAGAGTTAATTTTTTTAAATAAACAGTCTAATATACAGAATATTTGCTTTATTATTGAATTTTCCAATTTTTTTTTTTTGCGTAGTAAAAATATTAATTTTTATTCAAAATTTATATAACTCATTTTTGTATTTTTTTTCGCTATTCATCATTTATAATTTCGATACTGTCATTGGAAGTCTCATTTTTATTTTCTGTATTTTTCAATCCAGGAACCCTTTTAGATAATTTTCTCTCTGAAATTAGAAAAGTTAAAAATGTTTTGAAAAAAAAATTTCTTTAAAGATAAATTAAAAATATTATAATATATAAACCAATATAATAAATAAATAAAATAAAAATATATTATTTTTTTCAAATTAAAAACCATTGATCCGAAAAGACTTATTTTTAATAATAATTAATTATTTAGCAAAAAAAAAAAATTAGAATCGTGATAATAACAAAAACTACAATTGTTTTCAAAATTACAAAAAAGTAGAGAATTTAAATTGAAAACAAATAATTGACCAATTAAATTTTTCTTTTATTGAATTTTTAATTAATAAATCGAAGTTAAAAAATTAAATTTTTTGTTGCTTTTGAAATTTTTCTAGGATTTTTTAATTATAATCAATATTTTTATTATTAATTAATAGGGGAAATTAATTTTAAATAAAGTTTCTAAAAATAAAAAATATTTTAAACAAATTTTTATGTCTACAATTTATATTTCTGTGACTTACTTTTTTTTGTAAAAAGAACTTTTATTTTATCCTCCTCACGATGTTTTTTTTGCATTTTTCTTATTAGTATCTCTTGAGCAAGAGCAATTTCATCCTCTAAATACCAATTAATAGGACCGTGACTCCATTTACATGCGCTAACATGAGTAGTTCCTGATTTCAAATGAACTTTATGTGTTGAAGAAGATTTTATTGTACCACCAGCAGCAGTAGATGATGATTGAATAACAAAAGTGTCCTTTACTCGAAATTTCAAATCGGGCCCGCCACTATCTAAGACTACATTGGTCAATGATGATATGAATGGCGGTTTTCGTTGATCATATTTTGTATTAATATCCTGTAATTTTTCATCACAACAAAATCCAAATGGTTTTTGAAGTTTCTCACTTTTTTGTAATTGTTGTTTAGTAAATCTTGTTGATTCTTTTTTTGATATCACCGAAATTTTTGACAATCTTTTACGTTTGACTTCCGTTTTGACAGTTTTTTTTATTTGACCAAGCAGTCACAACACTACGCTAATCAAAATCAATTCTTTGTTGTGTTTCAGACGCAACACACAGCACACACAAACAAAATTAAAATTAAAAAGGAATTTTAGTTTCTTACACAAAAATTTTAATCTAAAAAAAAATATATATATCTATTTTTTTAATTGAAAGTATTAGAATTGAATTTTGAATTGTTTCAAATTAAAGACGCGGCGACGAATATCGTCGAAATAGTTTACAGGTAATATTATAAATTTGTTTTTGGCGTGTGTGAAATTTTGAGGTTATATGTACCGGAATGAATGTGAAAATTTAACTGCGAATATTTTTTATTGTCAATAAAAAAGAGAAGGAAAAAAAAACAATTAAAGAGCGCAAATATTGTTCTTTTTTTTATATGTAGAACAAATGAAATTATGAACTCATCTGCACTTTCGCCAAATACTTTGGGCTCCTCATCAGGTCAACGAACACCAGAACCAGAGGATTCTGAATTAAATTCAAGTAATTCGCAAAATAATAAAATTCTCAATCACGTCAATTCGGAATTACAAGTTCAGAAACATCAGAAACGTGCAAGTCGTGAATTACACATTAAACGAGTACAATCATTACGAAAGGAATTAGATTATTTAAAAGCAACTGAGTGGAAATATCAGCCAATTGATCGATGATGTAAGTAATTTTCAACAATAGTTTTTAAATTTTGTGTTTTTGTTTGTCTTTTTTTTTATTTACAAAGATTCATGTTATAGTCACAAGTCAGGAAAATGTTAGGGAAAAAACATTTTTGTCAGGGAAATTCGAGAAAATTATAGGCTTCAAAGTGACACACTTTTTTACTTTTTTGATACTTTTTTCGACAAGGCTACTCTTTTACTACTAATTTTAGCTAAAAGCCACTAAATGCTACTTTTTTTCAAAATATAATTTTAAAAAAGACAGAATTCAAGAATTTTAAATTTTAGTGAATATTTTGATTCCTAAAAGCTGGCCAAGTTGATAATTTATTATTGGCCGCGTGAACTACTGCTTTATATAATTATTTTTTACACGAATTTTCATTTTTCAAAATAGAATTTAACATAATTTCTTTTTAAACAACCTTTTTCTCAATAGAATTTTTAATTTGACAGAATTTTTATTTTAAAAAATTTCTCTTTACTCGACCGTTTTTTTAAAAAATAATTCTAATTTAATTGAAATCCAGACAATAAAATTGAATTTTAGATTATTTTGAATTGAAAAATGTTTTAAATAATTGAAATGATTAAAGTTATTAGAAATAATTATTTCGACAAAGAATTTGAATCAAAATTTTTAATAATAATTGAATTTCAGAAGATTTTGAATTAAAATTTTTGTAAATTAGAATTGCTGAAAATTATTAACAAAGTTTCAAACAGTAATTGAATTTTACAGAATTTTTAATTACAAAATATTTTATTTAATTGAATTTTTGAATAATTGAATTGAAATTATTAATTTAGCAAAGAATTTTAGATACAAATTTTAAAACTAATTGAAATTTGGAAGAGTTCGAATTAAAATTTTTAGAAATAATTGAATTTTTTGAGATTTTAAATTAAAATTGTATTGTTTTAAAATACTAAATATTTTATAAAAGCTTCCGATTCCAAGTTCTAGGATTTAAAAATTTGAATTATTTAAAATTCTACTGAATGAGAACTCTAATAAATTCAAAATGTGTTAAATTAGAATTCTTTTCAAGAAACAGTTGGGTAAAGAGAAATTTTGTATAATAAAAATTCTGTAAAGTAAAAATTCGGTTTTTTGAAAATTCCGTTGAGTAAACGTTTAAAAAAATTCTGTATTAAATGCTATTTTGTAAAATAAAAATTTATGTGAAAAATCATTTTTATGGAATAATCATAGGCCATTGTGCCAAAAACAAAAAGTTAATAGAAATTTAACAATAGATAGTTTTTTTTAAAAAGTAATCATGAGAAAACTGATGTTAATTTTATTTCTCAGAATTTTTCTTTTAATTTTTTTAGTCAAAATATTTACACTTCAACGTCAAACTTAGAAAAATAATTTTACTTCATTTTAAAGATGATACTATTTTTCAATTTTGGGATACTTTTTTTTAAAAAATAGGATACTTTTTGATACTTTTCTTAGTCTCTTACTACGCTTCGAAGCCTGATATAACTAATTACTATAATATTAATTTAAGCTTCTATTTTTCTAAATTTTAATTGATTTAAGTCCTTTAATTATTGATAAAAAATTTGAATTGATACAAATGAGTTTTTTTTTGGATTTTCAAGAAAAAGGTACTGTGATACCTACTCTAGTGAAAGCAATAAAACACATTTTTCTAACTTCAAATTATTTGATTTCAAATAGAAACTTGATGAAATAAATAATATTTTGTATTAGATTTTTATTAAAACTAATAAAATTTAATAACAAAATTTTGTTGTCAGGGAAATCTTGAATTTCTAAACGTTGAAATGAACGAAAAATTTATTTACTACTTTTTTTTACTTGAAATTTTATTAAAAATTATTTCTTTCTATATTCAAAAATAAATTAATAACTTATTAAATGTTTAATGTACTTTTTTAATTTTCATTGCTTCGAATTGTAGGAATTTTAAAAAAATTTATAAACTAAAAAATTGATTTCCTTAATTTGGACGTTCAGAACTTAAGGTGCAGTCAAGGAAAATTTGTTAATGTCAGGAAAATGGAATTGAAAATTTTTATTCATGTGGCAACCATAAAGATTACAAAATTTCATAAATTATATTTAAAAAAAAAAAAAATTTCAAAATTCCATAAGAATTAGAGGATTGTCCACAGAACTTTGAATTGAAACTTTGATGAAAGTGATGTGAATTTAATTATTTCTTGAAAAAATCTTGTAAATTTAAACCTCCATGAAGAAGATTTAAATGCCCAGCGTCGAAAATTATTTTTCATGGGAACAAAAATATCAAATCATTTTTAAAAAGTTTTTGGGTCCACATAATACCTTGAAAAGTATTTCTCAAGGCATTATTTGAACCAAAATTAAAAAAAAAAATAATTTGACATTTTTGTTCCTGTAAAAAAAAATTTTCAGCGCTGAGCGTATTTATTTTAATGAAAAAAAAATGATTCGTTTTTTAAAAATATTTTTTTTTTGTTTTGCAGCACACCAATAGTGAATAATTGAAATTTAGAAACAAATATAAGAATATAAAAGAAGGTCAAAAATCAAAGGAACCATGTTTTCGGCGGTGACATCGTTTTTTGCTAATCTATTTTATAAAAATCATGATCCACCAATGGATATGGCGGATATTGATAAAATTTTAAGTGATCTCGAGAGAGAAAATATTGAAACATCATCGCAGGTGGAAGAAATTTTATATCAAAATGAAGAAAGTTGCTTTTATGCATCAGGAATAGTATCAGCAGTTCGAGATGATTATGTTTTAATAGATAATAAATATTTATGTGATATAAATCGAGTTGATTTTCAAGTTAAAATTGGTGATAAAATTCGTTATTTTGCTTATCAATTAGATAAAAATAAGGAACTAAAGATACATAAAATTATGCATCACGATAATTTATCCTGGGATGAGGAGAATAATGATGATAATATGGAAATTATAAAGAAATCAGAGCCAATTGTTAAAGGACAAATAATGAATAGAACACTAGTTGGCAAAGTAATGAGACGAGAAGGAAGATCAGTTTTTATTGAACCACACAATATTAATTTTAATTTAGATAATGTTCGTTCTGAATTTATTCCTTTAGTTGGCGATTGGGTGAATATTAGTTCACACGTGGAAGTTAGTGGCGATGCTGCCGATTTGACTGGTGAAATTTTAGAAGTCGAAAGTATTTCACCATTAAGATCAAAATTACATACTGGAATTATTACCGGTTATAATATTGGCACAGGAGTTGGTGTTATCGATAGAACAACGATATTTACAAAAACAGTTTGCGAGCCCGGTTATATTCCATGTGTGGGTGATAAAATTGTCACCGATAGCATTGAAAGTGATCAAGGTGCTTTTGCCTGGCGTTCATTGACCATTGTTCCTCTGTCGTCTAATAAGGTAATAATTATTATTTAATTATAATCGAAAGAATTTATTTAGCATATTTTTCCGTTTGCAGGCCTCTGATTATACGAATTTTTCGACTTTTCATATTTTTTTTATAAATCAATAATTATATACTTTTTTATTTTCCTAATAAAAAAGTAATGCTGTAGTAATATTTAAAAAATTCATTGATCAAAAAATGATTTCGTTCATTTGAACGTTCAAAATTTTAGACACATAATAATAATAATTAATAATAATTACAAACATAATTCAAATATTATGAACATCCTTCTGAAGATTTTTTTCAAGTTTGATTAACAAAAAAAAAAACTTTTTATTTATACTTAAATATTGTTCTATAATTGCCATAGTTTACACTATTTTCTTTATTTATTTTTCAAATAAAATATTTTCTATTTCAACAGAATGCAAATAATGATTTGAATTTAACGAAAAATAATGATGTGGATCAAAATGAATTGGGAAAAGAAGAGGAATTTGGTTTAATAGTGACGAAAAATTTAGAATTATCCCTTAATATGAATGCGGAACAGGAGATAATTGTTAAAATAGAAAATAATGGAAATTATAAACAGACATTGGTAAAATGTTTATTTTTATCAAGAAAAATGGAATCACAATTAACATTACATTCGCCAAATATTAATACGCAAATTATTTTAAAACCAGGTGAAGAAATTTTATATAAATTCATTTGTAAAGGAAAATTTTTAGGTTTATCGAGGGAGAAATTTCTCTTTATTTTTGAACGAATTAAAATTGTTCGAACATTTCATATAAAAGTTCAACCCAAGCAAAATGTTCAACAACAAGAACAACAAAATTTTGGCAATGGCCTAAGAAAAAATATTGTTGCCAAACAAGATGTATTTGACGATACTGGTTATATTCATGGAATAAGACCATGCAAGGCACCAGCTTTTATTGCCGTTCGAAGTGGTATATTTAAAATACCACAGGTATGTTGGGATTTGGTACTGGAAGCTGAAAATAGTCGTGATAATCAAGTTGAACGAGAGAATTTAATTGGTCATGGTTTACCATGTTTGTTGGAATCATTGGCTATGCAAAATTATAGAAATAAATTTCACAATCTTTTGTATTTGGAAGAAATTGCTCAAAATATTTTATTGCAAAAATATGAAATGGACAGTGCGATTCTTACATATTGCGGTGAATATCTTGGTTTAACTGTTCCGGGACTTGCTGAAAAACGACCGTCACTAATTATTGGCGATAAGGTGATTGTCACCTTTAAATGGGACTCATCGAAAGGTAAACTCCAATTTATTAAATTAATTATTTTGATACTATTACAGGGTTACCACAAGTCAGAGAAATGACAGGGAAAAAAAATTTTTTTTGTCAGGGAAATATCAGAGAATTTAAAATAAATTTGCTGGAAAAATGTTGTAAATCTAGATTTGTTATTATGAACAAAAAATCGACACAATTCTGAATTGCATTTTTATGCAAATTTCAGACAATAACTAAATTTTAGAAAATATTTGATTGAAAATTCTTTTAAATAATCAAATTTTTGAAAAACTATTAAAATTATTAAAAATTATTAATTTGGCAAAAAATTTTAGATCATAATTTATAAATATTTAAATTTTCTAATAATTAAGATTTTTAGAATTAATTGAATTTCACAAGATTTGAAATTTTTTTTATAAATTTAAATTGCTGAAGATTTTTGTTTACAAATTTTTAATAATAATTGAATTTTAGAGAATTTTTAATTAAAATTTTTTGTAAATAATTGAAATTTCGAAGAATATTTGTTAAAAATTTTTTAATTAAATTATTTCTCCTGCTAGATACAGATATCAAGAAAAAAAAAAATTATTTTACCGAATTAAAATATTTTTTTTAAATAACATAACATATTGTCTGGAATTCAGGGAAATGTCAAGGAAAATTATAATAAAAATTGTGTGGCAATACTGTAATTAAAATTTGAAAAGTAAGAATATTTTTTTTTTCAATTTCCTCTTCACAGGTAACATAAAATATGAAGGATTCATTCATAAAGTAAGAAGTTCTGAGATTTTATTAAAATTTAATCCCAAATTTCACGACGATTATAGCGGTGAAGATTGTCAAATTAGTTTCAAAGGTTCAAATAGCACTGTGAGACGTTGTCACGATGCTATTAATTTAGCGGTAACACATCTTGGACCGGAATTTCTCTTTCCCAATAAGGTTATACAAAAGGAGCCACAATTTCATATTACTGAAATTGAAGAAGAAAATTTAACAAAAACTTGTGTAAAAAATCACAAAAGAAATGAATCAATCTCATCAAATTGTTCAACAACGTCAAATATTGAATTATCCGATGACAATGTAGTTAGATCACCACCTAGAGTCTCAGTTATTGAAAGACTATTTCATACAAAACCATATTCTTCCTCATCTGATAAAAATGTTAATGGCGTAGAATTTATCGTTTCTAAAATACAGTCCTCTAATAAATATGACAATGATGCCGATAATAAAGTGAACAAAAATTTACCAAACAATTGTAAAAAAAATTTCACCAATGACACGAGGAAGAATAATTTGGAAAATGTTGAATTAAAATTAAAGAAACGAAAATTAAGATGGTACAATAAACATTTGAATATTTATCAAAAAAGAGCTGTGTTAAATATTTTAAAAGGTCATGCACGACCATTGCCTTATGTTATATTTGGTCCGCCAGGAACTGGAAAAACAATTACACTCTGTGAGGCAATTCTTCAAATTTTAACAACAATTTCCGATAGTCGACTTATGATTGCCACACCGTCGAATAGTTCGGCTAATCTTATTGCTGAACGATTATTGGACAGTGGAGTTCTTAAACCTGGCGATATGGTAAATATAAATTTAATTTAATTTAATTAATAAAATTTAAACATTCTTGTCCCATTTTTTCAACTATATATTTTTACAGAAAATAACTTCAGCTTTCGATTTAAAAAAAAAAAAAATCGTACCTTTCACCCTGAAAAAGACAAATTTATTTTTAAGTTTCATTTTTTTTTTTTTTCAAAAATGCATATTACCAATCGAAAGAGCATAAAAAAAATGAATTACAAGAAAAAAGTCATTTTTTTCCCTTTAATCACTTCACTTGAAATTCCCCATATATAAATGATTTAAAAATGACATTTTTCCCACAGGTACGACTCGTTGCCCATCATTATCTGACAGAGGGGAAAATTCCAGAGATACTTATTCCATATTGTGCAACTGGAACACTTCAAGAAGAACGAAGTGGCAATCAAATGAAAATTGAAGACACTGGATTTAAAACAAATTGCACAGCAAGTGTTTTGGGCCGTCATCGAATAACAATTGGCACATGTTCAGCATTAGGAATAATTTACAATATGGGCCTAGCGCGAGGACACTTCACACATATTCTTGTCGATGAAGCGGGCCAAGCAACTGAACCCGAAATTATGATACCCTTAACTTTTGTTCACTCGAATAATGGACAAGTGATTTTAGCTGGTGATCCAATGCAACTTGGTCCCGTTGTACAAAGTAAATATGCCACACATTTTGGATTGGGTGAATCATTTCTCTCGCGATTATTACAACGATTCCCCTATCAGAGAGATACTGAGGGTTTTGAGACTGGATATGATCCTCGACTTGTTACCAAATTATTAGTAAATTATCGTAGTTTACCGGAAATTTTGGAGCTACCGAATTCATTGTTTTATGATTCGGAATTAATTTCTGAGGTAAGTGTTCAAGATTTTTTTTTTTTTTTTATTATTTTCAAAGAGATATATTCGATTTTTAATTGTCAGGGTTGTCACAAGGAATATATTTTCCTTCCTTCACGTCTCATTATTTTGCCAACTAGTGTTCTATTCATTATTTGTCCTTTAACAATTGGCTCTGATTTCTTTATAATTTCCATATTATCCTCATTATTCTCCTCATCCCAGGATAAATTATCGTGATGCATAATTTTATGTATCTTTAGTTCCTTATTTTTATCTAATTGATAAGCAAAATAACGAATTTTATCACCAATTTTAACTTGAAAATCAACTCGATTTATATCACATAAATATTTATTATCTATTAAAACATAATCATCTCGTACTGCTGATACTATTCCTGATGCATAAAAGCAACTTTCTTCATTTTGATATAAAATTTCTTCCACCTGCGATGATGTTTCAATATTTTCTCTCTCGAGATCACTTAAAATTTTATCAATATCCGCCATATCCATTGGTGGATCATGATTTTTATAAAATAGATTAGCAAAAAACGATGTCACCGCCGAAAACATGTTTCCTTTGATTTTTGACCTTCTTTTAAATTCTTATATTTGTTTCTAAATTTTAATTATTCACTATTGGTGTGCTGCAAAACAAAAAAAAAATATTTTTAAAAAACGAATCATTTTTTTTTCATTAAAATAAATACGCTCAGCGCTGAAAATTGTTTTTTACAGGAACAAAAATGTCAAATTATTTTTTTTTTTAATTTTGGTTCAAATAATGCCTTGAGAAATACTTTTCAAGGTATTATGTGGACCCAAAGCCTTTTTAAAAATGATTTGATATTTTTGTTCCCGTGAAAAATAATTTTCGACGCTGGGCATTTAAATCTTCTTCATGGAGGTTTAAATTTACAAGATTTTTTCAAGAAATAATTAAATTCACATCACTTTCATCAAAGTTTCAATTCAAAGTTCTGTGGACAATCCTCTAATTCTTATGGAATTTTGAAAAATTCTTTTTTTTTTTTAAAATATAATTTATGAAATTTTGTAATCTTTATGGCTGCCACATGAATAAAAATTTTCAATTCCATTTTCCTGACATTAACAAATTTTCCTTAACTGCGCCTTAAGTTCTGAACGTCCAAATTAAGGAAATCAATTTTTTAGTTTATAAATTTTTTAAAAATAACTACAGCAATGAAAATTAAAAAAGTACATTAAACATTTAAATAAATTATCAATTTATTTTTGGATACAGGAAGCAATATTTTATAATAAAATTTGCTGAGTCATTCCATTATATTTCGAACAATGTCGTTGCCGACTAATTTTTAAAAATTATGATACTTTGCAGGGATGATCTTGAAGTTATAAAGATCACGAAATGAAAAGATTTTTACTAAAATTTTTATTATTTACTTTAAAATATGAATTTAAAGTGTACGAGGTGCTGAAAATTGACAGTTTTTCAGCCAGCAGAAAATATTCGAAAAAACCTATAATTTACCATAAAAGTGTGAAAATTATTATTGCAATTTATTAAGAATAACTAAATTTACTTTTATAAATTGATTTAAGCATTTAAAGATATGAAATAATAGGAAAAACATGATTTTCAATTTCATCTTAAAAATAACCTAATTTTGCTATTTTTATCGATTAATTATGAGAAAGGGTAAATATTAAATTAAAAAAAAACTTACCAAATATCAAGTCATTGCTATTAACTTTTAGATTTTCTTTGTACTTTTTAATTTTTCTCTTTATTTATATAAAAATTTTGAAAAAGAAAATTGCCACTTTGCTAATTTTTGCGATTTTTGAAACTGAATAACTTGTTTACAGTAAAACGGAAAAATCTAAGATTTTGGGAGTATTTAAATATACACTAAATAAACACACTCCAAAAGTCTTGGGTTGGTTTTTGAGCTATTTTGTAAGATAAAGCAGATCGAAATTTCATTACTTTTGAGGCTATATTGACAATAATTTGTTCTTAACTTGAAGTTGGCTCGCAAGTGTTGTCATTTAATATAAACAAATATGAATTTATTACAAGGCTCGACACTTGCGAGCCAACTTCAAGTTAAGAACAAATTATTGTCAATATAGCCTCAAAAGTAATGAAATTTCGATCTGCTTTATCTTACAAAATAGCTCAAAAACCAACGCAAGACTTTTGGAGTGTGTTTATTTAGTGAATATTTAAATACTCCCAAAATCCCAGATTTTTCCGTTTTACTGTAAACAAGTTATTCAGTTTCAAAAATCGCAAAAATTAGCAAAGTGGCAATTTTCTTTTTCGAAATTTTTATATAAATAAAGAGAAAAATTAAAAAGTACAAAGAAAATCTGAAAGTTAATAGCAATGACTTGATATTTGGTAAGTTTTTTTTTAATTTAATATTTACCCTTTCTCATAATTAATCGATAAAAATAGCAAAATTAGGTTATTTTTAAGATGAAATTGAAAATCATGTTTTTCCTATTATTTCATATCTTTTAATTCTTAAATCAATTTATAAAAGTAAATTTAGTCATTCTTAATAAATTGCAATAATAATTTTCACACTTTTATGGTAAATTATAGGTTTTTTCGAATATTTTCTGCTGGCTGAAAAACTGTCAATTTTCAGCACCTCGTACACTTTAAATTCATATTTTAAAGTAAATAATAAAAATTTTAGTAAAAATCTTTTCATTTCGTGATCTTTATAACTTCAAGATCATCCCTGCAAAGTATCATAATTTTTAAAAATTAGTCGGCAACGACATTGTTCGAAATATAATGGAATGACTCTGCTATAAGTTCATTTTAACGTTCAGAACTTCAAGATTACTTTGACAACAAAATTTTGTTATTAAATTTTTATTAGTTTTAATAGAAATATAATACAAAATATTATTTATTTTATCCAGTTTCTATTAGAAATCAAATAATTTGAAGTTAGAAAATTGTGTTTTATTGTTTTCACTTAGTAGATATCACAGTACCTTTTTTTTGAAAATAGGTAATAAAAAATTGATAATTAAAACCAATTACAGTGCAAAAAAACTAATTCGTATCAATTCAAATCAAATTTATTTTAGATAAATTGAAATTTAATTAATTCAATAAAAATGTGAGTAAATTGAAATTCGGATAATTTGAAACTTAAAATTTGTATAATTTGATATTTCAATTTGATTAATCTTTAGATAAATTAAAACTTTATTAATTTTAAGTTTCGATTAATTGAATTTGCATTTGATGAAAATTTTAATTAATAAATTTAATTTTACCAATAAAAACCAGAATTGTATGTAAATTGTATCACTTATAATTTAAATTAAAATTACATTGTATTGAAATTTTGTATCAATTAAAATTGGAATCAAATAAAATTTCATGTAATTTGAAATTTGGATGAAATTAAAATTTGTATAAATTGTATTGATCGTTAAATTTCGATCGTTTGAATTTGCATTTAATTAAAATTTTTATTTTTACATTTGTTTTTAATAATAAAATTTATATTGAAATGAATTTTAATATGATAAAGTTATATTCAATTTCCTTTATAATATAATTTTCATGTTTTGAAAATGAAATTATTGTTTTAGGTGTCGAGTACCAGAAGTAACGAAGCAATACTTTTAAGTAAATTAGCTTTAGATTTACCAGAGAGATCTGGATTGCCACCTGCAATTGTGTTTCATGGTGTTAATGGAGTTAATTATCAACTACCTGACAGTCCAAGTTGGTATAATCCACACGAAGCGACTCAAGTTTATTTTTATCTTTTAAGATTGTTTGATCGTGGTCTTTGTGCTGATGACATTGGAATTATCACTCCCTATCAATCGCAGGTAATTAATAAATCACGAAAAAAGCGAAAATAAATTTTTTTTTTTTTCTATTTTCTCATTATATAAGAAAAATATAACAAATTTAAATATGTTAAAAAATAAATTAGCAATTTTAATTATAATATCAAATTAAGAAGATATTGTTAAAAAAAGCAAATAATTTTTTTCTTTTTCGAAATATTAAAAAAAAAAAAATGTTAAAATATAAATTTTAAATTTACAGATTCGTCAAATTAAAGATTTGTTACTTGAGGTGGAAGTGGAAACACCAAAAGTAGGTAGTGTGGAAGAATTTCAGGGACAGGAACGTAATGTCATTATATTGTCCACTGTACGATCGACGTCTGATTATATTAATGAAGATTTAAAACATGCTCTTGGATTTGTTGCATCGCCAAGACGATTGAACGTTGCAATTACTCGAGCTCGTGCACTTTTAATTATAATTGGAAATCCATATCTTTTAAATGAAGATCCATATTGGAGAACTGTTTTAAATTATTGTATTGAACGTGATGCATACACTGGTTGTAGTGTTTCGACTCTTGATATGTAAATGAGAAAATAATATATATTAATTTCAAAGACAAAAAAAAAAAAAAAAGAATAATACAAATAAGAATAAAAATGTTCTATTACAGTAAAATAATACATCAAATCATATATATATGAATCAAATATACGCCGCATTGTACAGTAAATAAGCAATATGTTTTTTTTTTTGTTTTAACTTAAAAAACGATAAATTTAATTTGTTTAAATTAAAATTTTATTTTTATTCATCTATCATTGTTAATTTGTAAATTAATTTTGATTAATGACACTGTATAGATTGATACTGAGCAAACGGGCGTACTTAAATAAAACGATTGTTTAAATATTTTTCTTTTTTATTCCATTGTGTAATCGATTTTCATTGTAAAAAAAAAACGGGACTCTTCACAACTAAATACTTTGCATTATTGTTTATCATTTACTGCGCTCAATTTTAATTGTTTTTTCTTTTATATTCACTTTTATTAAAAAGTTTTCTTCTCTTTTTTTTTGTATAAAGTTAATTTGCTGTGCGCATTTTCATTAAAAATCATTCCATGATGGATAACCCTGAAAAATATGAAATGAGGATTAAAATTTATTTTGAAATTTTTATATTTTATTCAAATGAACAAGAAGAACAAAAACAGAAAAGTGAGGGAAAAAATCGCTTTTGAGTCATTTCATTATATTTCGACTAATGTCGTTGCTGACTAATTTTAAAAAATTATAATACTTTGGAGAAATAATTTTAATGTAATCAAGATTACGAAATGAAAAGAATTTAATTAAAAATTGTTATTATTTTTTTTGTAAAATATGGATTTAAAGTATATGAGGTACTGGAAACTGACACTTTTTTCATCTAATAGAAAATATTAAAGAAAACATATAATTTACCATGAGAATGTAAAAGAAATATTGGATTTTATTAAGAATGACTAAATTTATTTTTATAAATTGATAGAAGCAATTAAAGATAACAAATAATAAATAAAATATAATTTTTTAAATTCACCTGTAAAATAATCTAATTTTGCAATTTTTATCCCAAGCTTCGAAGCGTAGTAAGAGACTAAGAAAAGTATGAAAAAGTATAATTTTTTTTTTTTTTAAAGTATCCCCAAAATTGAAAAAAGTATAAAAAAATCTTTAAAAAATGAAATAAAATTAGTTTTCTAAGTTTGACGTTGAAGTGTAAATATTTTGTCTAAAAAAAAAATTGAAAGAAAAATTCTGAGGAATAAAATTAACATCATTTTTCTCCTGATTATTTAAAAAAAACTATTGTCAAATTTCGATTAAAAATTGAAAATTTTTATTTTACAAAATAGCATTTAACACAGATTTTTTTTAAAACAAATGTCAACGGAATTTTCAAAGTACCGAATTTTTATTTTACAAAATTTCTCTTTACCCAACTGTTTATTGAAAAGAATTCTAATTTAATCTATTTTTAATTTATTAGAATTCTCATTCAGTAGAAATTTAAGTAATTCGAATTTTTAAATTCTAGAATTTGGAATCGGAAACTTATATAAAATATTTAGTATTTTAAAACAGAACAATTTTAATTAAAAATCTTCAAAAATTCAATTATTTCTAAAAATCTCAACTCGAACTCTTCCAAAATTCAATTATTTCTAAAATTTGTATTTAAAATTCTTTGCTAAATTAATAATTTCAATAAATTTTATTCAATTATTCAAAAATTCAATTAAATAAAATATTTTGTAATTAAAAATTCTGTAAAATTCAATTACTGCTTGAAACTTTGTTAATAATTTTCACCCATTCTAATTTACAAAAATTTTAATTCAAAATCTCCTGAAATTAAAATATTATTAAAAATTTTGAAATAATTATTTCTAATAACTTTAATTGAGTTCTTGGCATTTCAATTATTTAAAACATTTTTCAATTCAAAATACTCTAAAATTCAATTATTGTCTGAATTTCAGTTAAATTTGAATTATTTAAAAAAAAACAGTTCGGTAAAGAAAAATTTTTTAAATAAAAAATTCCATTAAAAAAAAATTTGTCAACTTAAAAATTCTATTGAGAAAAAGGTCGCATAAAAAGAAATTTACAATAAATAAAAAGTTTAATAAAATTATTTTCATTATGTGATCTTAATTCCATTAAAATTATTCCTCCATAGTATTATAATTTTTTAAAATTAGTCGCCAAGTAGAAGTATAATGAAATGATTCTTTTGTAATAACAAAAACGGTGAAATTAGAATAAAAACCCTTGATCGTAAAATAAAACAGGACAAATATAGTTGTGATAATAAAACATTCAATAAGGGGAAAAAAACACTTTAAAAAGCTTATTTAGCATTTTGTTGTTAAGAAGCATGCAAAGAAAATTATTGACATCAGTTGCCAAACCGTACAAACTCTTCTATTATTTATTAAATATTTCTGTGTATTAATTGTTCTATTATTTTGCTATGTTTATTATATATATTTAATATATAATAATAATAATATATATATAAATACTAATTATATTATAATATTATATTATATTTTATAAGTTAGTAAATAGATAAATTCAATTATGAAACTGATAAAAAATATATATTTACTCGATTGTCATTGAAAATATTAAATTAGGCAACTGATGAATTAAAAATTTAAGACAAATACTGACCTTTTGTTAGTGCCACATTATACTTACTGTATCCTGATTTTTAGCTTTCAATTTTCGTTCAATTACATTTTCCAAAGCTTCACTTCTCACACTAAGTGTTTCAATTTTTTCAATTAACTGTTGATAAGGCGATGCTGGTTGTGCGCCCATTACAACATGTCCTAATTTACTGTCAATTTTTGCATCGAGTCGCGCATTTCGAATTAAATTAACAATCCAACATTCTGCAATTTCAGCTTTCATATTAAGCTTTTCAGCAAGCATTCTGTAAATGTCAAAATATTTAAATTAAAAATTTCATTTATTATAATAAATTGGAAAATAATTTTCATTTTCTCAATGTAATTTTTCATATAGAAAAAAAAAAAAGAAAACATACTCAATACTGATACACTGATGAATTCGACAGAATGTTTCGAAAATCAATAATCTCGCATTTTCGACAAATTCAACTGGCAGTCCAATTAGGAAAAAATCATTGCAAACGACAGTTTGACATTCTTGTAATTTTTGACGAGCTCCATCAAAGTCAAAATTAACATATAAATGTTCCAAAAATTCGGTTATTGGATCGCGATACGTGTATGATTCCTAAATAATGAAAAAAAAAATTAGATTTTGGAATTTTTTTATATTAGTAAAATAAAAATTAGGTTATTCAATTTTTTATACCTGTTGAATAACTTTAACGAGATCCTTTAATGTGTTTCTTCTTAAACGATTTACAATTATTGATGCTGCCAAATAACGTAATATATGAGGACACATGGTTTGAATAGCATTCAAGTAACTGTAACAAGAAAATATTTTCTCAATTCAATAATAGTGAATATTATAATAAATCAGGGTTGTTACTAAAAATATTCATTATAATTTTTCTAGACTTCGAGACAATATTTTGTGTTTTTTTCCTGACATTTTCGAATTTTTTTTTCTGTTTTATCAAATATGAATTCTATTGAAAAAAAAAATCGTGATTTTTTACCCTGTAAATACTTATTTAACTTAGAATAAAATCAAAAAAAAAAAAAAAAAAAATACTTACTGCGGTCGATATAGGAACATTTCAATAATGAGGTCCCTGCCTTTTTGATGATTGAAAAATACAAAAAGACTCCAATGAATTAACCACGTGCGTTGTTGAAGTATTTCTAATGAATTTCCAATCACATTACTGTCAATGTACTCTCGTAGTTTATTTAAATCATCCAATGCAGTTTCCCAATTTTGTACAAGAATTTCAGATGCCAATTTACCCCAAAGTACTTTTAAGTAATTCTACGTAAGAACAAGTGGGAAAAATTATTTTTTTTTTAAATTGTTATTTATAGAAATTATTTACAAAAAAAAAACAAATAGTTAATTTACCTTGTCTGTGGGTGGCATAACCAACAAGCAGAAATATAAGTATGACGTTGACACTGAATAATTACCACACTCGTAACGATATTTTGCTAATTTTACAAAATCGTCCATAATCTCAACTTTAAACTATTAAAAAAAATTTAATTATTAGTTAAATTAATTGTAATTAGAATTAAAAAAAAATTAATTTAAATAAAAAAAAATGTTTTTCTTACATTATGCTCTTGAGTTAAAAAATTATTGAGTGTTTTCGAATCACGCATACCCTCCATTTTCTTCATTGTATCTTCATTATGCAATATTTGCAAAACAACAGAACTATTGTTTTGAAGTAGTGATAATTCTTGTAAAACATTTGCACGACGAGCTTTTAATTCCTGTATAGAAAAGAGGGAAAAAAAAACTTAATAAATTATATACCTATATACATTCAATTTCATTTTTATTAATTTAAACTTATTTTTTTTACAAATTACAATCAATAATTAAATAATTGAAAAATATTTTAAATAATTAAAATTTTAGAAGAATTTTATTAAAATTATTAAAAATCAATTAAATTGACGAAGAATTTTTAAATAGAAATTTAAAAACAAAATTAAATTGTGGAACTGCAATTTAGATTTTTAAAATTAATTAAAGTACAAAAGATTTTGAATTGAAAATTTTGTAAATTTAAATTGCCAAAGACTTTTTTAAAAGAATTTTAGACAATAATTGAATTTTTGAGAATTTTTAATTGTAAAATGTTTTAAATAATTGAATTTTGGAAGAATTTCATTAAAACTATTGAAAATAATTAGGTAATTTCGCAGACTTTTTAGATTCAAATTTTTGAAGAACTACAGTTTGTACTAAAAAAAATGTCATAGGTATTTTGTTTTTAATTTAATAAATTAATTAATTTTAAATATTATTTTTTTAAATAACAGGCCTTGGATCGACTGTAAGGCACAAAAAAAGTCATTTTAGTCGATTTATATTCCAAAAAAAAAGTCGATTTTTTTAATTTAACAAAATTTAATTGATTAATAAATATTTTACTTTAAATAACTAATTTTATTAGATATATTAAATTCATTTTATTAATTCTGTAATGAGAATAATTCTATAAGAATATTATCAAGAAAATTTTTTTTCGAATAGGTACAATTTCAAAATCGAACTAATTGTAAGACAAATTTTCAAAATTTTATTTAAGTAGGAGAAATTTCTAAAAAAAAATTCTTAAAGTTCCATTTTTATAATTTTTGCAAGTCTTATTTAAGCAATTTATTCGAATTAAAAATTTTGTCATAGTTTTTAGTTTTGATGGTCAAAAAAATTTCAGTCAATACATAATCAAGTTTTACAAATTTTAAAATAAAATTTTTTTTAAAATAATAATAATTTCGGAAGAGTGAAAGTTGAAATTTTTTAGAAATAATTGAATTTCAAAAGATTTTGTTAACTTTCGGACAATAATTAAATTTTACAGAACTAAAAATGATTTATCACAATAATTTTAGATGACATTTTTTCAAATTAAATGAATTTTCAAAGATTTAAAATTTAGATTTTTGAAATTAATTGTAATTTAAGTGATTTTTAATTTTAAATTTTTGATGATTTTACTAAAAAATTTATTAGAAATTGCAGACAAAAAATATAATAATTTAAAAACTTTTTAAGCGAAAACTGGTTTCAGATAGTTAAATTTTCGAAGAATATTATAAAAATCATTAAAAATAATTGAATTTCAGGAGAGATATAATTGAAATTAGTAAATTTCAAAAAAATTCTGATGAAAAATTTTTAAAAATAATTAAATTTTAGAAGCTTTTAAATTGAAATCTTTTGAAAATGATTGAATTTCAAAAGATTGTGTTAAATTTCAGACAATAATGATAAGAGAAATTTTTAGTGATTTTTGTTGATGAAGAATTTATTAGAAATCACATTAAAAAAAAAATTGAATTCCAAAAGTTTTTTAAATTGAACAAAGGCTTTCAGATAATTGAATTTTTGAATAATATTACAAAAAAATCATTGAAAATATTTGAAATTTTTGCAAATAATTAAATTTCAAGTGATTTTAAATTAAAAATATTTGATAATTTTATTTGCTAATTTTTTTTCAATTATAAACAATTATTAAATTTTATAAAAATTTTAATTGATAAATAATTGAGTTTGTGAAGAATTTCATTAAAATTATTAAAAATAATGAATTTAGTGAACAATTTGTTAAATAATTGAAATAAAAAAGATCTGCATTGTATACTAAAAAAACGTATTTTGTTTAAAAATTTTGTAAAAAAAAATGTAAAAAAAAGTCGGAAAAGTCACATTTTATTAAAATAAGTCGAGAAAAGTCGTATTTTTGAAAAAAAAAGTCGGAAAAAATATTATAATCCGAGGTCTGAAAGAAATAAAAAATAGTTGCCTTTTATTAAAATAAGTCGCAATTTAAATAAAAGTCGAAAAATGTACAATCCAAAGCCTAAAGTACATTTAAAAATAAATTTTCATCTATTATTTTGTTCTTTTTTACACAATAATCAATGAATATAAGTAAATTAGATTATTTGGAATAAATAACAATGAAAAAATTTGACATTATCTATATTATTTCTGTGCTTTTTTTTTAATTAAATTTTTACTGCTGTCAAATTTAACTTTTTTTTCCATACAAATCATCTTAAAAATACAAATTCCAATGGTAAGTATATAAAATTCGATTAAATAACTGTCAAAAATTATTACGAATTATAAAAATTTTTTCTAAAAATATGCCGCAACGGATTTTAGATGAAATAGAATCGATTTACCCTCATATATTTTTGTTATAATGTAAATAAAAATCAAATTATTAATCTTGAAATAATTATTTTAAAGTAAAAAATAAAATATTTATTCGCAATATTATAAAAATTGATAAAATAAAGTTTGTAAAATTTTATGAGTTTGTGATTGAATGACTTTTCAAGCCGTATACATGCGCTAAATATGTTATAATAGTTTAGGTTAAGATATGCACAACTTACAGCCGGAACTTCAATATCGGGATACAATTGTTTCCTTATATCAATAACATAATCAATCATGTTTGTTTTACTGAGAATCTCCAATTTAACAAGGAGAAGTTCATTTTCGTCATAAATCTGTGGAAAAAATAAATAATAATTCAAATGCCACATGGAGCCAAACACATAAGTTATATCAGTCACTTATCTTTAGACATACCTCTTTTGCAGTTAAAAATTCCAAAAGAGGAAATACCAAATGACGATCCAAATTTTGTCCTACAAGTGTTGTTAAATCATATTTTGCCATTTTGTATAAAGTAAAACTAAATTTTTTCTCTAAATTAAAAAAGGCAAAAAATGCTCCTCTCACTCTTAAAGAGGTTAGAGCGAGAAAAGTGAAACTAGCAAGAAAATGCAATTTATTACAGGCCGCCAACTATACATTATGACATGGCCGCCAACTATGAAAAAAAATATATTTTATTTCTTTTTTTCCTCTTCTTTTCTTGTTATGAAATAACTAATATATATTATAATAATTATAATTTACATTTCTATATTAAATATTCAGAAAAAAATTCTGATTTTAAAATTATTACTTTTTTTTCTAAATTTTTAATTACCAAGTCAGTGTAATTTGATTTGGCGCCAATTCTTACGCCATTTTGGTATCAATCCTGTTTATGCGAACGATGGATATTATTTGTGTCTTGTAAAATTTAATTTTGTTTATTAAAGTGATTTAAAATGCTCGACAAATGTGCAATTTCATAAATAATTGCACATTTTTCTCCAATATCTATAATATAATACGTGTAGTTAAAAATGAATGTTTAAATGTTTTGAAAACATAATAATTTTAAATTGAGGTTAACTGCATTTGCAAATGGGTAAGAATTTTTTCATTTATCCAAAATAAACATTGCGTTTTATTAACAATATACAAATGTAAAGAATTTAAATTTGTTTTACGTATCATCATTACTTGTTTTTTTTTTCTTAATATGAAAGAAAAAAAGTTTTGTGGAAAAAAATACAATGTAAGCGTGCAACTAGTTTATTATTTACAAAACGTTGTGTTTTTTTTTCTATATATAGCCACATGTAATAACTAAGCGGAATTTATATTTATAAAATTCAACTTGACAATAAAATTCGGAGAAAATGAGTGTCTTTAAATCAGATCCCTCTTCATCGGAGGATGAATCTCATAGTGAACGTGTTCACTTTGATATGGGAAAGAAAAGATCATTTATAAATTATATCGATGGTGATGAGTGTGAAGGTGAAAGAAATGAGCCAAAAAAAATGCGCTCCGATGATTTATATTCAGCTGGCAACATTGATTCGGGACATTTTTCTGCCGACGATGCAGAAGTAGAAAATACAAAATATTCATTTAATAGAATACCATTTCAGTATGCAGAAACAAGTTCTAAATCATTGGAATCCGAGAATAATAGTAGGCAATCTTCTGTTATTAAACATGTCAATGTTAGAAAGGAATCGGATTCTTTTGCTGATTATCAAGAAATTGACACAAATACTTTAATGTCAAAAACAGTAGATAAATTTCATGGAAATATGAGAGGTAAATATTTAATTTTTAATTGATAAAACTTTTAAAAAAATATATATAAAAATTTTTTACATATGATTTTTGAAAAAATCATCTCGTTAAAATGAAAAGAAAAAATTAATATACATTAAAATTCCACCAATATTATTTCTTCTTAATAAATTATAAAAATATTTTATTTGAATATAAATTTAAAAATTACAAATTGAATATAAACTGTGTATTTACATTATTCAGTTACTTAAATGCAATTATTGTAAAATTCAATTAGTTTGAAATTTATTTTTGTAATTCATTTGTATTTTTGAATTTCATTCGTATTTTTTTTTTTTTTTATTAAATTCAATAATTTTCAAAAATACAATTTTTTTCCCCTCCTATTCAAGTGTTTATAAAATTCAATTGTTGCAAAAATTAAATTACATTCTTTAATTTAATTATTTTTAAATTCAAATTTTTACTTTTTAAAAATTCTCACTGGAAAATTTGTGGGAGATAAATAATTTTATGAATAAATTTTTAAATAATTAAATTAATTAATTTTGTAAAATTTTATTATTTGAAGAAAAAATTATTTTATAACATTTTCTAAGTTAGAAAACCATTTTAAACCAATTTCCTGGTTTTTTAACATTATAAAATCACGCAATATAGTTATTTTTTTCCATTTTTTTTTCGTTAAATAAAAATAAATAATAGTAATTAATTTGTTAATTTGCTTAAAAATCATATATATATCGTGAATTTATTAAATATTTTTAAAAATTTTCTCATTTTCTTTGAAACAATGGATTGTCTTGCCCTAAAAAAATTGTTTTTTGTTAATATTTTAAATTTAAAGCTAATTTATGTATCTGAAGTTCTGAACGTTAACTAAATGCGATTTTAAGGCGCAAAAAAAGTCTAAATTTAATTAGTTAATAAATATTTTATTTTATATAACTAATGTTATTGGATAATAAATTCATTTTATTAATTCCTTAATAAGAATAATTCTATAAGCATATAATCAAAAAAATTTATTTCGAATATTTCAGAATCGAAATAAGAGAAATTTTCAAAATTTCAATTAAGTAGAACAAATTTCTAAAAAAAAAATTCTTAAAGTTGTATTTATACATTTTTTTAAGCTGATTCAAGCAAATTTATTCGAATTTAAAATTTTGTCATAGGTTTAAATGGTAAAAAAAATTTCGAACAATAATTAAGTTTTACAGATTTATAAATTTAATTTTTTTTAAATAATTGAATTGCAAAAGATTTGAAATTTGAAATAAATTTTCTGCAAAAAACTGCTGTAGTATTTTTTTTTTATTTCTGACAAGAATTTATTTTACAGTTTTTATTTGTAACTTTTTTTTAAATATTTCAATTTTTTTAAAAAATGTTAAAATTTAAAAAAGTAATTGAATTTTGAAAGTTCTAATAAATTTGGAAGTTGAAATTTTTAGTAATAATTGAATTTAAAAAAATTCAAATATTTTTGAAAATAATTGAACATCAAATGATTATTGTTTGAAGTTTTTAGTAATTTCCGGTGATGAAGAATTTATTAGAAATTACAGACAAAAATTGATCTTCAAAAGTTTTTAATTGAAAAATGCTTTTAGATAATTGATTTTTTTGATGAATATTATAAAATTAATTAAAATGATTAAATTTTGGAAGAGTTACAGTTGAAATTATTAGCAATAATTGAATTTTAAAAGATTTTGTTAAATTTCAGACAATAATTAAATTGTACAAAGTTGAAAATAATTTTTCAAATAGTTTTAGATAACTTTTTTTTAAAAATAAATGAATTTTTGAAGATTTGTAATTCAGTTTTTTAAAATTAATTGAACTTTTAGTGATTTTTAATTTAATTTTTTGTTGATTTTTGTTGATGAAGAATTTATTAAAAATTAAAAACAAAAATTGAACTTTAAAATTTTCTAATTGAAAAATGCTTTCAGATAATTGAATTTTCGAAGAATATTATAAAATTCATTGAAAATAATTTAATTTTGATAGAGTTACAGTTGAAATTTTTAGAAATAATTGAATTTTAAAAGATTTTGTTAAAATTTGCAAAAGTGAAAATAATTTATCAAATAATTTTAAATAACTTCTTACAAAATAATTGAATTTTCGATGATTTGCAAATCAGATTTTTGAAAATAATTCAATTTCAAGTGATTTTATATTGAAATTTTTGATAATTTCTGTTGATGAAAAATTCATTAGAAATTACAGACAAAAATTGAATTTCAAAATTTTTAAATTGAAAAATGCTTTTAGATAATTGAATTTTCGAAGAATATTATAAAAATCATTAAAAAGTAATTAAATGTACGAAGAGTTACAGTTGAAATTTATTTAAAAATAATTGAATTTCAAAAGATTTTGTTAAATTTTAGACAATAATTAAATTGTACAAAATATTGAACAAAATTTGTCAAATAATTTTGGATAACATATTTTAAAAGTAATTGAATTTTCAAAGATTTACAAATAAAATTTTTGAAATTAATTGAATTTGAAGTGTTTTTTTTTTTTTTTAATTAAAATGTTTGGTGATGAAGAATTTATTAGAAATTATAGACAAAAATTGCATTTCAAAATTTTTTAATTGAAAAATGCTTTCAAATACGAAAATGAATATTTGAAGATTTTTATTGAAATTATTGAAAATAATTAATTTTTGAGAAGAATTTATGTGCCTGAAGTTTTAAACGTTCAAATGAACGAAAAATTTGTTTACCACTTTTTTAAACTTCAAATTTTATTATAAAATATTAGTTTCTTTATCAAAAAAAAATAAGTGAATAACTTATGAAATTTTTAATGTACCTTTTTAATTTTATTGATGTAGTAAATTTAAAAAAATTTATAAACCATGCGAATTATTTCGTTCATTTGAACGTTTAGAACTTCAGGTACATAAGAATTTTGATTAAAAATTTGTTAAATAATTGAAATAATGAAAATCTGAAGAAAAACTGCCGAGGCCTGACTTTAAATTATGAATTTATTTTTGATACAAAAATAAACATTTTTAAAAATTTAAATTGAAAGCAGTTAAAAAAAAATAATTTTCGTTCATTTGAACGTTAAGAACTTGTAGAGCCTAAATTTATCTTTGAAAAATTTTTTCTTGTTTAATATTAATCTTTATTTTTAAATTAAATTTCTTTTTTAAATTCTTTTTAAAAATTTTCCTGCATAGGAAGAAATTATTAAAATATGTAATATAAAATTTTTTTTCAGAATCAATAGGAACAAAATTGATGCAACGAATGGGATGGAAGGGTGGTCAAGGTTTAGGTAAAGATGGCAAGGGTATAATTGAACCAGTACAAGCGGCAAAACAACGTGGTTTTCGTGGTCTTGGCTTTCGTATTGAAGAATTGGAAGCGGCACATGAAAAATTTAATCCCGACGATGAAATTGTCAAAGTTGAAGAGGACATTGATTGGTTAATAAATGATTTATATGAAGAGCCATATATCAATGACAATTGGATGACATTGGGTCCTAAAAAATTGACAATTAGCGATGAAATTGAATTTTGTGATCCGTTAACTGTGAGTAATGTTATTAATTCAAAAAGTGTTTTTGATAGGCTCGATAAAATTGAAATGCGCGATGCGCGTACACGTTCAAATCCCTATGAAACAATACGCAGTGCATTTTTCATTAATCGAGCGGCTATAAAAATGGCAAATATTGATAAAGCATGTAATTTCATGTTCACAAAACCGGAGAATTTAAAGAATGATGAATTACTTTATTTTGCTGATGTTTGCGCTGGACCAGGTGGTTTTAGTGAATATGTTTTATTTCGCAAACAATGGAAGGCAAAAGGATTTGGTTTCACATTAAGAAAGGAGAATGATTTTAAAATTGATGATTTCTCAGCTGGTCCTTGTGAAACATTTCATCCTTATTATGGACCACGTGAGGATGGCGATGTATTTTGGCCGGAGAATCAAATTGCATTGAAAAAATTAATAATGAAACAAACAAAAGGTAAGGGTGTACATTTTATGATGTCGGACGGTGGTTTTTCAGTTGAGGGACAAGAGAATATACAGGAAATTTTATCGAAACAATTATATCTTTGTCAATGTTTAATAGCATTGATGATTGTTCGTGTTGGTGGGCATTTTGTAACGAAACTATTTGATATTTTCACTCCATTTAGCGCTGGATTGGTTTTTTTAATATATCGTTGTTTTGATGAGGTGTCAATATTTAAGCCAAATACATCAAGACCGGCAAATTCGGAACGTTATTTAATTTGTAAAGGAAAACGGCCAAATACACAAAAAGTATTGGATTATCTATTCAATGTAAATAAAATTCTTCAGAAACGTGATGAATCAAAAATTGATGTATTACATTTAGTGCCAATGGAAATATTAAAGGGGGATAATAAATTTTTTGACTATTTAAAAATGTCAAACGATGAAATTGGCCGCCGACAAATAGTGGGACTATTGAAAATAGCGCATTATGCACAAGAAAAGGGATTAATTGAAAAAAGACAGGCCGATATGCGTAAACTTTGTCTTGTTCATTGGGATTTACCTGATAAAATTCGTAGTGTACCGAGAAAATCGAAACCACAGGATAAAATTAAAAAATTATTGGATGGACCATTGGATATATTGAAGAAAAATTTTAATTCATCGAAAAAATTTATTCAAGAAAATATTCAAAATACAGTTTTAAATTCGCCACTCGATTGGTATTGTATGCCATGTGCATCGACAATTAATGTAAATGATGAGAAAATGGCAACATTTTATTTGGGCTTGGGTCGAGCGCAAGTGTTTCGTTATGTTCGAAATATGTGGGAACGCGTTGATAATGTTTATTTACCAGCTGATACTCTTGTTTATGCCGAGGCTGTTATGGAATATCGAAAAACTGGTAGACATCAACGTAAAGCTGAACGAATTCATATTATCGATGGATTTATGTTAGGTGGAGAAAACATTAGTCAAGAATATTTACTCGACAGGTAAATTTCAATATTTTCTTTTCTATTCATAAATTATTCAAATTAATTTTAATTTCATTAATTCTTTAAATGAAAAAAAAAAAAAAATTATTTTAAATAGAGAAATATTTTTCTTTCATATTTTTATAGACACAAAATGTTGGCAACATTTTGCGAGGCACTGTGGAAACCAAACGGTCAAGAATGTCGAATATTCATGAAAGATTTACATTTGGTCGATGAACATTTAGAGGAAAAATTGAAATTAATTACATGCCAAATGAAAACTGGACCACAAGCTGAAGTTTATTATCCATTGAGAAATTCAATGGATTACAATAATGAAGAAGAGGACAATGAACGTTCATATTTCAAGCCACAAAGTTTGATATTTATGAAAGTTACAGCCGATCATTGGGCACGACATAAAAGTACAAAAAATGATTCTATCTATATTTATGATATTAAAAATAGAAAGTCCTTTTATGAATTTGATCGTCCAGCTAGTGCAAATGCTGATTGTTTAAAAACATTAAGTAGCATGATGGTATGGGATTGGCCTCAATGTAGTACCATCACTATGGATTTCATTATGAAATACATTAGAAAAGCACTTGTTAAAACGAATTTTAGCACTTAGATTTTTTTTTTTTAGTTTACATAATATAAAAAGAAAAATGTAATTTTTTGTTCTTTAAGATGAAAAAAGTTAATCTTGTCAGTTAGATTCTAAAAAAAAAGAGACTTGTTATTTTTGTATATTGTAAATTAAGATAAATTTCACAATTATGATCGTCAAATTATTATTATTAACTCAATGAATTTTGTTTGTTAGAGAGAAAATAACTTCTTTAAAAAAAATTTATTTAATTTGTAATATTTAGAGAATTATATATATATAAATATATATATATATATTTAAATATTATACATAGAAATAATTTTTTTTTCTCTGTACATAGAATGATATATTTGTATGTACTTAAAAATTATTCTTAATAAATTCGAAGACAGTACAACATATCTTTTGTCAATACTATCAAATATTTATTGATCCAAGCAGCGCCAAGAATAGTTTTATTTCCAAAATCAATGATATATTGTTTGCCAACAACAGCATTGTTTTCTGGTTTTTTATAAATAAAAACATGCCTTGTGTGCTCAACAATTGCTATAAAAGAGGCATCTGATATTTCTGAAAAATAGAAGAAAAAAATAAAATTTCCTAAATGTAAAATTTTTTTTTTTTTTTTTGTTGAAATACCTACCAGATGGTGATACACAGAATTTTTTATTTGTTTTACTAGCCTCGACATAGCCAAATGCAGGAAATGTCCAAATATGTTCCAATTCCCAATTTTCATTGTCACTTTGTTTTGTTGTCCATATACAACCGTCATGATCATGTCTGAAACAAAGCATCTGACCGGATTTTATTTTTTGTGTAAAAAGAATACAATTACTGCTTCCAAGCATTGATAAATTACTTGTACTGTGTGTATTCATATTTACTCGTTGAAGAACATTTTCACGTCCTTCTAAATCGCATTCTTCCAATTGTTCTGAATTAAAACCCAATGCGGGCTGTTCCACTCTTTCTGGTTGATCGGAACATAAATGAGCCAATCTAAAAAAAAATATATATAATTTACAATTATTTATTTTATTTAAAAAAATTTATTGCAAGAAATTAAAAATTTATCTAAAATTAAACTTTAATTCAATACAATATTATTAAAAATACAAAAAACAAAATCGATGTTCATCCAATGAGTTTCGTTATTTTTTGTTTGCTTTTTTGTATTTTTAATATAAATTCAAATTTCTTAGAAACTTAATTTTTTTTTTTTTAGACAATTAATTTGTTTGAAAACTTAATTATTTAAAAAGAATTTAATTTAAAAACTTTTAAAATTAAAATAATTTTAAAACATTCAATTTTGCAACTATATTTTGCAAATTTAATTATTTCTATTATATCCTATATAATTGTTATTTTCCAAAAATTTTTAACTAATACTATTCTAAATATCAAATAACTAAAAATCAAATAAAACTTTTTGTAAAATTTATCGTTTTCAGAAATTTTAATCAATTTCTTCAATAATTTATTTAATTTCATTATTTAAACAATTTACAAATTAAAAATATTACTTTCAACACATTAATTTTAATTCCAAGAGAATTTATTTATTATTGTTAATTAAAAAATTGTATTATAAATTATTCAAAATTATTATTATTATCATTATTAAGAATTTTAATTGCAGCTCTTCAAAATATTAAATTATTTTCAAAAATGTTATTTCGATTTTTTCAGAAATTTGTAAAAAAAATTACTCTTAATTATAAATTAAATTAAAATTAAAATTTTTACTTCAGCAAATTAGTAAAAATAAAAAAATTTCCAGTTCCTTTCTTCATAAAATTTTATCAATTCAGATTATAATCGAAATTTTCAAGATGAAATCAATAAAATTTTCAATTTTAAACAGTTTATCAAAAAAAAGGGTTACTGAGGTAAATTATAAGAATATTGTCGAGTAAAATAATTAACAAAAATTTTTGACTTAAAAATTCTCAATTATTAATCATAATAAAAATAATTGAAATAATTTTCAAATTATTTAATCAAAACAACTAAAATTATCTTCAAATTTTTAATCATAATAATTAAAAGTATCTTCAAATATTTAACGAAATAATTAAAAAATTCTTTAATCATTAAATCATATAATTGAAAATTTCTTCAATTTTTAAATTATTTTGAAATATTAAATTAAATTATTGGAATTATGTGCAATATTTTTAATTTTGAACAGATTTACAAACAATTTTCTAATGTAAATTTATGTAATATTATTGCGTCAAATATATAATATAAATATATAATAACTGTAGAAATCTTGGAAAAGTTAGGGGAAATTTTGTAATTAAATAAAATAAAATTTCATACATTCAATTATAATTACAAAATTTTCAATTGAAAATCTTCTAAAATTTAATATTTGACAAAAATATCAATTATTTTTATAAATTTTTCTAAATTTAATTCAATTTAATTTCTAATTTTTTTTTCCTGTCCATTTAATAAATAAAATAAATAAATTTAGTTCCTTAGATTTCAATTTTAATCGTTTTTTGGTGTTAAACTAAGAATTTTTATAATTTTATTATAAACATTTTATTTTCAAATTTAAGGGAAAAAATAAATTCAAAAAAAAAAAAATTCAAAGGTCGCTATATTTATTTTTCTTTTTTTTTTTTTTTTAATTTACCTGGAATGAATTTCCGCTGCTAAACTTTCATTAGGCAAAAATTCACCACCCGTATCACCTTTTAACAATTCACTCCACATTAATCCACTCTCAGATTTTATAAATTCAATTTCTAAAGTGTCATCTTTAATTTTCCACGTTGTCAAATCAGATTCCAATTTATGTTGTGTTTCTCCTTGTATCAAGACAACATCTTTCATTGAAACAGATATTTGTGTTGGTTTAACATCAATTTGAGGTGAAATATTTTTACATTTCTCTACTATTTTCAACCAAACTGTCACCGAATCATCATTTTGTGACCAACAATATTTTGGAATTTTAATACCCATAATACTGGTGTCATTGGAATTTTTTTCAACAATTTTTATTGGATTCAATGAATCATATTCAAATACAATTGGATCTTGACTTGCTGTATGAAAATAATTACCATTATCTTCAATATATAAATAATCAACTGTGCCTTTGACTTTTAAAATTTGTGTTCGATAGAGTGTCAATGATGACGATGATGATTCATTTTTTTCATAGGAATATGTCAATAATGTTAAACGTGAATGTACTTTTCCTTCTATTTCAACAACACTGTAAATACTGATAATCATTAAATTACTATCATTCATTTGTTGACAATCGAGAATAATTCCCGATTCAATATCTTCAAAGTGAAAAAATTCTTTCTCTTCATTTTCATTATTTATTAAAATTTCTAAATTTTTACTTCCATTTGAAATGACAGTGATATTTTTATTTGTAAAACCAATTGAAGGATTATATTTGGTACAAATATGTGATTTATCAACTGTTTTTAATGTATGAATTTTTTTTAAATTTCCATTAATAAATTGCCAAACAATTCCCGTATTGTCGACAAACCAACAAGACGAATCAAATGGATTTACAAAAAGATGATTATGAAGGGCAAATAATCTTGCTTCAAGCCATGATTCTCGTGTTGTGTTTGCTTCTAAATGAAATACCTCTGAAAAAAATTGTTTCCCATCAATATTTTCAATTGATAAAATTTTGAAAATTATTTTCTCGATACATTATAATTAATTAATTTTGTAATTTAATGTTTTTTTCAATTCATTTGTATTTTTAAATTTACTATTTTAAAAATTTAGAAGCTTTTTTTTTAATTGCATTTAAATTTATTAATTTTAAAAATACAATTTTTTTCCCCTATTCATTTAAAAATTAAATCATTGTAAAATTAAACTTCTATAGTAAATTTAATTATTTTTAAATTCCAAAGTTTACGAAGCTGAAGTACGCAACGTTTATTATATACGATTTTTAAAGAAATAATTTTTTATAATGAAAAATTATATAATTTTTCATTTTAAAAAATTATTTTTTTAAAAATCTTTTATCATAAACGTTGCGTACTTCAGCTTCGTCAAAATTTTACTTTTTCAAAATTCCGACTGGAAAATTTGTTTTTATTTAAATAATTTTAGGAATAGTTTAATTTTTAAATAATTGAATTGTTTAATTATTGTAAAATTCAATTGTTCAGTAATTTATTATTAAAAAAAAAAATTTTAACATTCTCTAAGTTAGAAAACTACCGATTTTCTGGTTTTCTAAAATATCAAAATCATGCATTAATCATTTTTTCAAATTGTTTTTGTTCAATAAAAATACAAAAACCCATAAAAATAAATAATAATAATATGAATTACAGTGAAACCTCGATTATCCGAACTCCTGTTATCCGTACCTTCTGTTATCCGAACCGTAAAACATTTTATCCGAACTTCTGTTATCCGAACTTTTTTTTGTCTTTTCATTTTATTAATGTATTTATATCTTAATTATTATTTAAAAAAAAATATATATATATTTAATACAAATATTTATTTGTAACAAATAATTATTATTTGAATCAATTAAATGCGGTATTTGTTTCAAATACAGTAATTATTGGTTTAAAAAGTACAAATTTATTTAATTCAAATAAAAATTATTTAGTTGAAGTAAATCATTATTATTATTATTATTATAGTTTAACTGTGACATTGTTTTACTTTAATTATATATAAAAACATTTGAAATTTCTATTATCCGAATTTTCGTTTATCCGAACCCGGTCCTGTCTAAATTAGTTCGGATAATCGAGGTTGCACTGTAATTTTAAAATTTGTTCCGAACGTTAAAATGAACGAAATAATTTTTTCGGTCTATAAAATTGTTAAAAATTACTTCATGAGTATATTATAATTAATTTTATATTTAAATAAAAAATGTAAATTATAAATATTAATTATTATAATTTTATTATAAGATTCAGAATATATAATAACAAATACAATTTACAATTTCTTTGGAATTTGATAACGATTTGAATAAACAATGGAAAAAATATAAAACGGTGCCAAAAATAAAAAAACTAAGACTAACAAAATTGATAAAAACAAAAGAATCGATAAATAAATATAAATTTATTTGTATCGTAAATAATTACAATAGAATAAAATTATTTTATTGTGAATATATATAGTAATAAAAATGTAAATAGATAAACATAAATTTTGAGGTTAACTTACCGTTAACGAGTTTCTTTTCAATTTCTATAGGAATATTTTCAGTACAAAATTGATATTTCTCAAAATTAGTATTAAGTAGACTTTTATTTGGACGAAGTTCAATAATTTTTGTCATTATTCCAAAAGTAAAACAATTTTATCGAAAGAGGAAAATAATAAAACGAAACAGAGGTTAAAACACACCGCCATATGTCACATGCGCGCGTAATATTTCTTTTTTTTCCTTCTAAAATGTAAATATAAACAAAAATACAATTTAAAATGTCATTAACAGTTATTACTCATAGAAGAAAATGACTTTTATGTTCTTAATTCATAATTCTACTTTCATTGATATAATTAATTAATCAATAAATGTAAACAAAATTGAGAATTTAAAAATCAATTATAAAAATAATTAGAAAATTTATGGGAATAAAAAAATTGTGATTTTAATAAAATTATTGAAATAATTAAATATTAGTTTATCAAATAATAACATATTTAAATAATTAATTTTAATTATTTTTTTTTGTGAATTATTACTATAACAAAAAAAAGAGAAAACGCATTGTTATATTAATAAATTTTAGTTTTATTTGGTATATGTACATAAATAAAATAAAATTAGTTAAGAAAAAGTAAAAAAAGCCATTTTTTTTAAGTTAAAAAACAGAAGTTACATGATGTATATATATAAAGTACTTATAACTTGTCGATAAAGAATATATAAGAATTCAAAGATAAAGTTTGCTATATAATGTATCAACATTTCAATTTATTGTAAACAAATTCAATTACAGGGTGATCTTAAATTTTTTTCTATATTGTCATTAAAATAAAATTAATTAAAAAAATTTTTTTTTTGTAAATTTAATTATTATTTTTTTTTTAACTTTTATAATTTTCCTATCAAAAATCGGATTTCTTTACTAAAATCTATTATTAAATGCTTTCTTATTATTAATTATTAACAATTAATATTTTTTTACTACTTTCAATGCAAAATACACAATGTATTTTTCCGCATAGCCATTTCATAATTAAATCCTAATATAACTGCTTGTTATAATGAAGATGTACTTCATTTTTTTTTTTTTTAAATTTAAATTACATTTTCTTCAATAAATAACTTTTTTAACTAATCGATTAGTAATATATATATATTATATTTTTTATATATTAAATTTTAATACTGTATTTGTACATATTTTTTTTGTATTAGTATCCATGGAAATTATATTAAAAGCCCTATTATTATTTCTATTAATTTACAATCTTAATTATATATTTTTCTCGTATATTTTAAAAATTGTTAAACTCTTAATTTTCTATAACGCATCTATAAGATTCAAAGATAATAATTTAAGATAACCCTGTATGTGCGCGTAAATATATTTATATTTATATATATATATATGACTTTTATCTCTCTTGGTAATTAAAATGGTTATAAGAAAAAAAAAATTGAATCGTGCTTTAGACACATTAAATTTTAGTTTGTGTATCATTTTTTGTTAGAGACGCATTTTTTTTTTTTTTGATATTTATAATATCATTATTCAGATCACGCAAAAAAATTATACAAATAATTTAAATGCAAAAAAGAGTTTTTTTTTTTTTTTTTTTTTTGCTGTCAAGTTCAATAAAGAACAAATACTTTGGTAATTGAACGCGAGGGAAAAAAAAAGAATTCTATTATCGATTATAATAATATTATCTCATCTATGATAGGAAAGAAGCGTTGAAGCCCAAAGAAGACGTTGCCATATCCATCGTGGTACACGACATGCACCTAAACTTGCCATTGTTCCTGCCACATGACACATCCAATCCCATAAACCCCATGGTGCATGTCCACCATTTACGTATAATACATACATAAATCCATCGCGACAAATTCCATGTATTAAATAATAATATGGAAGAAAGCTATGAAGTCGAAAATGACATCGTTGATAAAATTGAATTGCCGGTGAATTACTGGAAAGAACATGAAGAAATACAGCCTTTACTGATGAACGTTCAGGTGCTGTTACATGTGCTAATAATTGTTCTAAAAGAAGGGAAGCAATTCCATTACGTCGATAGGCTCTTCTTACACCTAAACTCAATATATATCCAACTAGAGAATCTTTTCCTAAACTAGAACAAAGTATACCACGATCTTCTTTATTTAGTTTAATATAGGGCTTTATTTCAGCGACTATTAAACCAATTATAACGCCTCTGTAAACAGCAGCGAGTGCATAGAATCTTGATGAGCTCGTTATATCCTTATACCATGTGTACGGATAATCTATAATTTTAAAATTAATTGTTTTATTAATTACAAAAATGAAAATTTATCAATTTTATTAATTATGTCTATTTATAAAATAGAAATGTAATAAGTTAATTATTTTGCCAGGCAAAAAAAAAGTAAATAATAGAAATAAATTATTTCATCAGTAAAGGAAAAAAAAAAAAAAAAAAAAAAAAAACTGTTGAAAGTAAGTAAATAATTGTTATTTGTTAAAAGCGTTTTAAAATAACTAAAATTTTTTAAGAAATTAATTTTTTTAATTGAATTTATTTTTTTAATAAAGTTATTTCATTAAAATTAAACTTTAATGTAATTTTAAAAAAAAGTTACAGAAATAAAACTTACTATTTCTTGTTCAATAAATTTAAAATATTTATTTTAATTATCATTTTCTACATATTTATTCAACATGTAATATGTTCAAAATTTATTTTATAATTTTGAGTTTAATTTTTAGAAAACAATTTTTCTAACTAATTAAAGAGATTTTTCTAATTTAGTTATTTAATTTAATTAAAAATTATTATTCTTTAAAATACATTTGCAGAAATAATTTTTTGAGAATTAAACTTAGAAAAATTATAAATATTTCAATTCACTAAGAATTTGATTTGTAAAAAAAAAATTTAATTCCTCCTATCTTAAAAATATTCAAAAAATTATTTACGTCAGTGAAGTTCACAATGTTTATGATCAACGATTGAAACAAAAAAATATATTTTTTCAGTAAAAATAATAACTATTTTTTTGTTTTTAAATTGTTAATCAAGCAGCATTGCAAAAAATATTTTCAGACAAAAAAATTATAATAATTTGCATAACAATAAAATATTTTTTCTTCTTAATCGTTGATCATAAAAACATTGTGAACTTCACCGACGTAATTTAACATTAATTCATTTTTAAACAGTTTATCAAAAAAAAAAAGGTCAATTATAAAAAATATTGTTAGGTAAAATATTTAAAAGAATTTTTAACTTAAAATAATTCACTAGATTTCAAAAATCTTAATTATTAATCATAATCAAATAAATTGAAATAATTTTCAAATATTTAATCAAAACAACTGAAATTATTTTCAAATATGCAATAAAATAATTAAAATTATCTTGCAATATTTTATTAAATTATTGATATAACTCAAAAATATTTAAGAAAATAATGAAAAATTATTATTATTATTATCTTCAAAATTTTTAATCAAAATAATTTAAAAGTATATCTTCAAATATTGAATCAAATGTAAAATTCTTTAATTATTAAATCATATAATTAAAAGGTTTTTTCTTTTATTTAATGAAATAATTTTTCTTAAATTACATTAAAAAAAATTTTTTTAAAAATTTTTTTTTTTTTTTTTTTTTAAAAAATGTAATTATTAAATAGAATAATTCAAATTATTTTCAAATATTAAATTTAATTATTGAAATATTTTTAATTGTGAATAAAATTTAATTTTTAAACAATAATTTTTTTAACTAATTTATTTAAAACTAATTCTTTCATTTCATTTTTTAAAAAACATTTACAAAAACAATATTGTTCAGACTTAAATTTAGAAAAATTATGATTGTTCTAATTTAGTAAGAGTTTTGTTTTATTTATTTAATTACAATGTTTTGTAAAAAAAAAAATTTAATTCTTCCAGCCATAAAAATGTTTAATGAATTATTTATAGAAATTAATCTAATTTAGATATTAACCTAAATAACCAATTTAGAAAATTTCGATTATCTGATAAAATAAAACCGACAAAGTTGTCCTTTTTATTAATAAAAAAAAAAAAAAAAAAAAAAAATGTTCTTTATAATTTGTTGATCAAATAAAAATTGCAAAAAATAACGTTGAGTTAAAAATTCATAGAATTTTTTATTCAAAGAAATATTTTTATATATTACAATATTATAATATGAAAGAAAAAAATTTATATTCTACTTTAAATTTTGAACATCTGGAAAAAATTTCTAAAAAGGGAGATAATTAAAATAAATATTTAAATTTCCCATTGAACAAGAAATAGTAAATTCGGTTACTGACAATTTTTTTTTTTTTAAGAATTAATTTAAAGTTTACAATACACAAGAATTATTTTTATTATTAAACAAATTTATAGTACATGCAAAGTAAATTTACTTTACAATTATTCCAAATATTTTTCTCCTTTTTATTTAAAAAAAAAGACATATGCAAAAAATAAGGCATTATAACTGCTGATTCATAAATTAATTTTAGATGTTGTAATCAAGGTCAAGTAGTGATGACTTCATTTAAGCAATTCATCAATTATATTTAATATCCTCTGATATAATTCTGCTCAAATATGGTATTTTCGTTTAAAAAAAATAATTCACGTATTTTTCATATATTAATTTACCATAATTAATATTGTTTTAAAAATTAGTTTAAATAAATATTTAACTGAATAATTCAATTTTATATCTAATAATTTCAATGTAAAACTTAAAAAATTTCTATAGGGTTATTTTTATTTTTGTTATTCTTTAAAGTGACCTATTTATTTTTTCTAAAAAAAAAAAAAAAAAAAAAAATACACTCACCTATTGGAAACCATTCCTGACAAAGTGTGCGTACTTCCTCGAGATCATCTGGACAGAGAAAACGTAATTGTACATCTCCAAGGACACAGAGAGGAACTGTGACTGGTGGTAATGGTGTTGTTGTTGTTGTTGTTGAAGGAATTTCGGAAGCACTGTGTTCATTATTTTTTAAAAAAATCTCATCATCTGTACAAACATGCTCGGGTTCACAAATACAATCGTATGGATATTTTTTACCCGGTAAACTGGGAATATATTTATTAAAAGAGAGGACCATTCCGCCAAAACTCTTTTTGCATGTTAATCGTTATTTTCATAATTGTTGTTGAATATAATTATTTATATATACAATTAATTATTATTTGTCACTTATCTGAAATTTCTTTCATTTTCTTTTTTTTTTTTATATGTTTTTCAAATTTTCACACAATTTCCAATTTTCCACTGACTATCAGTTTCAGACATCTTGTTTTCATTCTTTTTTTGTTCTCTTTTTTTTTAGTGAAACAGGGTTGAAAACAACGTTTTTTTAAATTTTTTCCCGTAAAAGAGTTATGTTCTTTTAACGTAGTTTGCGTATATTTATGAAACGGGTGCATTAGACAAGGACGGTAGGAGGATTTTCTGAAAATTCGATCGTTACGCTACAAGTGGTCAATTTTGGAAATAGTGTATTACGCAAAATTCGTGTTTATAAATAAGAAAAAGCCGGCATTGTTGTGATAAATTAGTGTATATAAGAGAGAGTTTTTTTTTTTTATCAAAAATGTTGGAAGAATTTTTTGAAAAATTTCATTTCGATGATCTACAGAGAATATTGAATGATCCTGGGAATGATATTCATCATTCTATACATGTAAAGTAAGTATTTATATTAAATATTAGATTTCCTAACCTCTCTCGAATTTTTTGTGTTTTTATTTATATGTTTATATTTATTTAAAATTCGTTTAGTTTTATTGATCTAATAAAAGAGAATCCTGATGTCGGAAGAAAAGTATTACATTTTCCTAGACGTTATTTACCAAAGTGTAATACTTCTATTATATCAGCGCAAAAAAAATTAGCTACCGACAAACAAACAGTAAAATTAAGAGTTCATATGAGGCTTATTGGTATTCCGGTAAAAGAACATTTAGGAGAAATTGGCGAATTAGTGTCTATAGTTGGAATAGTTGTTAGAATGTCTCAACCATTAGTTATGAAATTATCAAAGCAGTATTATTGTCGAAAATGCAAACACACGAGTATAGTAAATGTAAGTAGAAATTTTAAAATTTTATTATTTTTTCATTTTGTTACAACCATTTTTTAATAATAATTATAAAATGAAAAGGTTTCGTTTTTTTTTTTTTTTTTTGCTAAAAGTTTCAGGTTCGTATTGAAAGAGATAAAAATTGTTATTTATGTATTCAGAAAATTTAAACGGAGTAATTTAATATTTGTTTATAGTGAAAACATTTTCTTTTCTTTTATAATTATATTATATTTCTTAAATAATAAAAATTATTTTCAATTTATAAAGTATTAAAATTAAATTAAGTATTAAATTAATTTTTAAACTGTTAAATTAGATGGCATGGGAGAGAAATAAAATTCCAATAATAAAAGAATGTGAAGCTTGTAAATCAATGAATATTGAGCGAATTACTAATGTACGACCAGAAGATTGTACAGATCATCAGGAAGTTAAAGTGCAGGTGAATTTTTAAATTTAATTTAAATAGATTTAAAGAAAAAAAAAAAAAAAATTCATCACGTCGGTGAAGTTCACAACGTTTATGATCAACGATTGAAAAAAATATATTTTTCATTCTAAAAATAATAGCTAATTTTTTGCCTATAAATTTTATTTCAAAAAATTTATTGATCAAGAAACGTTGCAAAAGATTTTGTAGATCAAAAATAATAATAATTTGCATAGAAAAATATTTTTTCTTCTCAATCGTTGATTATAAACGTTGTGAACTTCATGACTTCTAAAATGAAAAAAAAAAAACAATTTCAGGCTTCGAAGTGACAGTTTTTGTTAATTTTTTGATACTTTTTTTACTATTTATTTTGACCAAAAGCCACTGAATGCTACTTTTTTTAAAAAATAATTTTAAAAATAACAGAATTCAAGAATTTTAAATTTTAGCGAATTTTTTGATTTCTAAAAACTCGCCAAGTTGATGATTTATTATTGGCCGCGTGAACTACTGCTTTATATAATTATTTTACACGAATTTTCATTTTTTAAAATAACATTTAACGTAAATTTCTTTTTAAGCCATCTTTTTCTCAATAGAATTTTTAATTTGACAGAATTTTTTATTTAAAAAATTTTTCTTTACCGAACTGCATTTTTTTTAAATAATTCAAATTTAACTGAAATTCAGACAATAATTGAATTTTAGAGTATTTTGAATTGAAAAATGTTTTAAATAATTGAAATGCCAAGATCTTGATTAAAGTTATTAGAAATAATTATTTCATCAAAAAAATTTGAATCAAAATTTTGAATAATAATTGAATTTGTATTAAAATTTTTTGTAAATTAGAAACGAAGCTGAAGTACGCAACGTTTATGATAAACGATTTTTAAAGAAATAATTTTTTAAAATGAATAATTCTATAATTTTTTTTTGCCTAAAAAATATTTCTTGTAGTTTTCATTAATCAAAAAATAATAAAAAAATATTTTTTTGGCAAAAAATTATAGAATTTTTCATTTTAAAAAATTATTTCTTTAAAAATCGTTTATCATAAACGTTAAGTACTTCAGTTTCATAATTAGAATAATTGCTGAAAATTATTAACAAAGTTTCAAACAGTAATTAAATTTCAGAGAATTTTTAATTAAAAATTTTTTTTTTTTTTATTGAATTTTTCGAATAATTGGATTGAAATTATTAATTTAGCAAAGAATTTTAGATACAAATTTTAAAACTAATTGAATTTTGGAAGAGTTTGAGTTAAAATTTTTAGAAATAATTGAATTTTTGGAGATTTTTAATTATAATTTTGTTGTTTTAAAATACTAAATATTTTATATAAGCTTCCGATTCCAAGTTCTAGGATTTAAAAATTCGAATTAATTAAAATTCTACTGAATGAGAATTGTAATAAATTAAAAATAAGTTAAATTAGAATTTTTTTCAAGAAGAATTTTTCTTTCAATTTTTTTTAGACAAGAAAATATTTACACTTTAACGTCAAACTTAGAAAACTAATATTTTACTTAATACTTTTTTTTAATTTTGGAAATGCATTTTAAAAAAAAAAATGATACTTTTTCATACTTTTCTTAGTCTCTTACTACGCTTCGAAGTCTGCAATTTTAATAATTTTTTAAAATAAATATGTATAATTAATTTTAAAATTAGGACAAATGTCAAGCAGATTCGAACAGCAGTAGTGTAACCGGTTGGCAGGTTGTTTTACTAGATGATCTAGTCGATAAATGTAAACCTGGCGATCAAGTTGAAATAAAGTAAGTTGAAAGAAAATTTACAATACCAATTAAAATTCAGTAGTCAAATTACTAAAAAGAAATAAAAATTAAATTGACCAGTAAATATACAATCATTGATTAAATTTAAATATTTAATATTATAGTATAGATGTTAATTTATTTTTAAATTTTTACCTCTCTCCCATCAATGCACAGATTTAAATACTGAAAATCAATTAATCTTATTTGGAAAAATAATATATAATTGCAGTTTAAAAAAAATTATTTTAAAATTATTTTATTATTAATTATTTAAAAATAATTTTTATAAATAAATCAATTAAAAGTGGTTCGAAAATATTTTTTTGCATATAAATTCTTTTTAGAATAAAAATTTTAAATCTTATTGAAAGTATTTGAAAAAATTTTCTATAAAATAGCGAATTATTGAAATTTTAAAATAATTAAATTAATATTATAAAATATAATTTAATTTTTCTAATAGTGGTGTTTTTATAAAACGATGGATAACATCAGAAACTGAAAAGGCGATGGCATCAACGTTTATGTTAGCAAATAGTGTTTCTGTTCATCGTAAAATATCTGAATTGACATTTTCCACAAAAGAAATGAAAGAAGTATTTAATAATTATTGGGAATCACATATTAAAAATCCTCTTATTGGAAGGGACAAAATTCTCGCTTCAATTTGTCCACAAGTATATGTTTAGAATTAGCAATAATTAATTTTTTTAATTTAATTTCAAAATAATAACAATGAAAATATTTTTAAAAAAATTAATTTGAAAAAGAAAATTTTTAATTTAAATAACATTTTTTTTTTAGATTTATGGTATGTATATTTTAAAATTGGCATTGGCCGTTGTTCTTGCTGGAGGTGTAACAAAAAGTAATGCTTCAGGTAAAAATAAAAAAAATAATTTTTATGTTAAATAATTCTTTTAAATTAAAGTATCTTCTATTATGTATTAATTTCAAGTTGAGATAATTCATTAAAAAATGTGAAATTTGTGTTTTAAGGGATAAATGTTAGAGGTGAACCACATTTATTAATGGTTGGTGATCCAGGAACTGGAAAGTCACAAATTCTTCGTACAGCTACACGATTGGTTATTCCTTCTATTCGTACAACTGGAATTGGATCAACTTCAGCTGGACTTACAGCAGCAGCTGTTAAAGTTTGATATATTTTTTTTTTAATTATAATATTAAATACACGTGAAAATTTTTAATATTCATTTATAATAAAAATTAAGGACCATGAGTTTTTCATTATTCTAAAAAATGTTAGGTATTATGGTTCCTTATCGATTTTTCTAATTTTAGAATTTTCCAAAATAAATATTTTCGAAAATATACATTCCTAATATATAATTTTCCAAAAAATAAATTCTTAAATCTATTATAATTTTTCATAATTCAAAGCGCAAATGATTTTTTATTTTACAGGAAAAAAAATTAGGAAAAGCGTTGAAGAACGATTATTATTTTCGACTTGAAAATTTGTAAATTTTTCTATTAAAAATATTATATTATTATTTAGGATTCAGATGGTTGGCATTTAGAGGCAGGTGCTTTAGTATTGGCAGACGGTGGAATTTGTTGTATTGATGAATTTGCAACAATGAGTGCACACGATAGAGCATGTGTTCATGAAGCAATGGAACAACAAACAATATCAATTGCAAAAGCTGGAATGGTCAGTACATTAAATTCACGATGCAGTGTAATTGCCGCAATTAATCCAGAAGGTGGTCAATTTTTGAATGATGATGAATATAAAACACGACTTGGAAATCCATTAATTTCTCGTTTTGACATTATACTTCTATTGAGAGATACAAAAAGTTTATCAATGGATAATATGAGTTCAAAACATATTTTAAAAGTTTATAACAATTCAATTGATGATACAGCCAAAAGGTATTATTAAAAATTTTGAAAAGAAACAAATTTTTACCAAATTCAAAAATTATTAGTGCAATGAAATATATTACATTTTTCGAATATTAATAATAATAATAATAATAATTAATGAAATTAAGATTTTTGAGTTGTATTATTGAAGAATCTTCACTTGATAGAAACTCGAGTGAAGGTGTAGAATCGACAAATATGTGGAAGGAAGATGATATTCGAGAATATTTAGCGCATATTCATTCTTTAAATCCAGTGATGACAGAAGAGGCTGAAAAAGTTTTAGAAGCCGTATTTGTACATCATAGACATGATCCAAACAGAGGAAATGAACGAAAAACTGTTCGAATGATGGAAAGTTTAATGAGGTAAAAATTATGCATTTAGAAAAATATAGAACAAAAATAAAAGCCTTAAATTACAAATTCAGGGTGACAAGTCAGGGGAGTGAGGGAAATTGGAAAAATTTACAGAGAAAGTCAATTATATACTTTCTATTTACGTAAAACAATTTAATAATTTAAATAGAATTTTTTTTTTTACCACTTTTTGAGCTTATATTAATTGAGAAAACACAAAATTACAGATTTTTATCTTTTATTCATATAAATGATTCAATTGACCCAAGTTTGAATTTATTAAAATTTTTCAACGATTTAAAAATCGATCTATCTAAAGATTAATTTACATTTAAGTATCCGAATTTTAATTTGTCCAAATTTTAATTGACTTCAGTTTAAAATTATCCAAATTTTTATTGATTTTAATTTTAATCAATTTCAAATTATTTGACTTTTAATTAATTCAAATTTTTATTGATTTAAACTTCAATTTTTTTTATTGAATTTAGTTTAAAATTAGCTAAATTTTTTGTTGATTTAAATTAAAAATTATTCATGTTTGATTGATTTTTAATTTTAAATTATCGGAATTTCAATTTGTACTTTAATTAATTAAAGTTCAAAATTATCAAAATTTTAATTGATTTATGTTTCTATTTATCCAAATTTTAAATGATAAATTATTCAATAATATTGATGAAATATTTCAATTAATCTAAATTTAAATAGATGGAAATTAGTTATTTTACATGTTAATTGGTTTATACCATTAGTTTTTTTTATCACCTTTTTGTCACTTATTTTCGAAAAATAAAATCTCATTTTTCGAAAGAAAAAAAAAATACTGTTGTAGTAAAAAAAGTGAAATATAATAAGAAAACGCGTTTTTCTAACTTCAAATTATTAGATTTCTATTTTAATTCATTAAATTTAAATACATTTTTCTCTAGGGTAACATTTTTTAATATTAGAGAATATTTATTTTTTTTGTCAACGCTTGAACTGGCGAATTTTCTATTTAGCAGAATATGAAAAACTTTCTTATATTTTAATCTGAAGTTCCAGTTGAAACAATTTTTGTTTAACAAAATTACTGCTTTAGCCAAACTCTAGTTAAACGAATTTTCATTTTTAACAAAATTTATTACAATATTAAAAAAAAATTACAGATTAGCAGAAGGACATGCGCGTCTTATGTACAGATCTGAAGTTCTTGTTATGGATGCAGTTATTGCTGCTCAATTAGTTGGTTCAACTTCGGGAATAAGTAAAGAAGTTGGTTCTCCTTTTCCTTTGGATCCAATGGCAAATTATTATGAAGAAGGTAGGTTTCAAAATTAATAAAACATCAATATTTTTTATTATCTTTACATTCTATTTTAGGTCATAAGATATTTTATACACATTAAAAATATAACATACTTTATAATTCTTTTTTCTTTTTTTTTTTTAAAGAAAAAAACTATTTATAATTTACAGGACTGGAACTTCTGAATAATATTGGTTTAAGTGAATTACAATCATTTCTATAATTATTGAATTATTTTTACGATGAAAAGAAGAAGAAAAATTAACAGAGAATCAAAGACTTTTTTTCTAAAATATATATATATATATAAATAGTCGGAGACAATGTATATATATAGAAGGTAACAATATAGGCCTATTAGCATTAATATATATAATATATTCATAAATAAACACACAATCATGTCACACAAATATTAAATAATTTTGATTCACATTCAATGGCTTTTATAACGTCAAAATTATAACATATATTTAGATGTATTTTTTTTATCATTATTATTACAATTTTAAATATATAGTAACATTTTCATTTTATAATAAATATTATATTTTTATATGTGAATTTTTTTTTTTTTTTTTTTTGAATACATTTTTAACATATATATTTTTTCACAATCATTCCAGTTTATATGTAAGGACGGCTGTTATTTATTTTTTTATATTTGCTGGGCAAAAAAATTTTTAGTTTTTCTTTTTATTTTTTAATTGGTGCCTTTCGCTTATCACTAAAAACTGGATGATGATTTTATAAATTCTCTCATTTACAGATTTCAGTAGCAATAGATTTTTTCCAAGAAATTTGAAATTAATTAATATCGCATACGTGTCTAATATATTTATATCCTAAAGAATCTAGTCGCTGCAAGTTATTAAAAACTAGAAAATTCGGAAATTGTTTTTTCTTTTGTTAATAAAAAAGAAAAAAATGTGATAAAATCAAAAATCATATTTATATTCATATGAAAAAAATTATTTTTCAAATTTTAAAAGTTCTAAATAAAGTAAGAGTTTTTTTTTGTTTTAAATATTGACATTAGTACAAGTTCAATGTTTCAGTATTTCTAATTGTAAATTTTTACTTTCAAAAATAATAATAAAATAGACTTCTTAAATAAAAAAAAAAGAAAATAAATAAATAAAACTTATAAATTTACCTGTTTACGTTTATATTAATATTTTATTAAACGAAAATGTAAAACATAAATTTTTATACCTATTCTAAATATATTTAAAAAAAACAATACAACGCGTGTACATTTCTATTCTATAAAAGAATAAACATATAACATTGTCAATGAAATTCATAATACTAAAAATTAAACTGGTTACTTAAAATTTTTTTTTTTTTTAATTTAAAAAATATTGATATCATATATAATTTATAGAAACATAATTATGAGTACAAGATAATGGAATCAATGAGAGAAAGAATTCTCTTTTTTTTTCTTGTATATTTTTTCCATAATAAGTAAATCAGTATCACACTGCATAAATCTATTATTAAGTATATGTTCGATGAATAATAATAATAATAATAATAATAACAAAGCAAATTTATTAATTTGATGTTATTTAGAAATTGAAATTTTGAGATTGAGATGTCTCAGTCAAGTTTAATTGTTTTTTTTTTTTTCTTTAATTTTAGTATCGTGGTTGTTGTTGGGTAATATTATCCATTTGCGATCGAACAACACTCGCGGCAACATTGCTCGCTGCACTTTGTACATGTTCATTTCGCAAAAATGTACTCGTGAATTCTTGTTGTGCTTTTTGCACACTTGCCGACGATGATCGATAAATGCGATGAACCTAAAATTTTTCATTTTTTTTTTTAATTATTTCGTAGTTTCTATCTTAGTTAATTATTAACTGAATGAGATTTAGCTGTAATTTCGTGAATTCATTACTGTAGTGATTATAAATAACTCCAGTAAATATTTTTTTAAAATTTTTCGTCATTTTGATTGGGATGCACTTTTTTTAAAAAATATTTTCTAATTTTTATTTTTCTATACAATTTTTTTTTTCTAACAAAATTTAAATTCTAAATTTTTTTTTCCCAATAAAGTTCAATATTATGTCACGGTGCATAAAAAAAAATATGTTTTTTTTTTTTAAGTACTTACCTTGGATAGCAAAAGACAATCTCCAACCGCTGCCAAAATAAAACCAAGAGTAATTATCAGCAAGAAAATTCCAGTTAAAGTACCCTTTGCTGATGAATTAAAACAACCAATAGCCACGAAAAACCCACTGAAAAAATTTTTAAAAAATTGTTAAAAATAAAATTGAAACGAATAATTTTAAATGAGATGAATTTTATATATTTTTTAAGAGATATTTATGATATTAATTATATTTATACACTATTAGAGAAAATTATCAGTACACTTGTATTTTCATCTTTAAAATATGTAAGTACATTATATTTAAAAAAAAAAAAGAAATACATAATATATATTACCAAGAACCAGTTTCTGGAATGCCAATAGCTTGAATAATCGTGACAACTATTTGAGAGAAGAAAACAAGGAAAAAGACCATAAAATGGATCGAGCTATCAGTTCTGAAAAAAAAGAAAATAAACATTTATATAAAAATTTAATTCAATATTTGAAAAATTTATTGAATTTTTGTTATCAATTTAGACGATTAAAAAAAGAAGTTTTTCGATTTTTTTTTCTTACTTGAAAGCCTTATACGCCGGTCTAAACCAGCAAAGGAATGAAAAGGGAGTAAAGAGTATTAGATACAAAATGCTGAGTCCAAATGTGGAGACTTTGGAAAATGACAGCAACAAAAAGAATCCTCCAAAGACATTTAATACCATTACAAGGCCATGAACTGTAAATATTAAAAAAAAAAGTATTAACTTGTGCAATTAATCAATTTTAAATCAAAGGTTGTTAATTTCTTTTTCCTTTGATTCAAATCGATTGATAAAATACAAAAAGAATTCCTGTTTTAAAACAGGAAACGTTTTTTATTTATTTTTATACTTACACAACCACAAATGATAAAGTTGTCTCACGATTTTTTGAAAATCTGCATCAATTTCAACATCAATATCTTGATAGAAACAGGGTTGAAAACAACATTTTTCTGGCAATGGTGGCCAATTATTCCGCCTCGCTAAAATTACAAAAAAAAAATTTTTTTTTTACAATTATCAAAAAAAAACTTTTTTGAATCTTTTAAAAAAACATCTTTTTTACAAACGAAAAATTTTATTTTAGAACAAGGGCTTAATAAAGGTAAATTCTATTTTTGGGTAAATTGAAATTCGGATAATTTAAAATTTTAATCAATTGGAATTTTGATAATTTTACACAAATTGAAATTTGGATAATTTAAAACTTAAATCAATTAAAATTTGAAACTTAAATCGATTATGTAGTCTTTAGAATGACTAAAATTTCGTTAATTTTAAGTTCCCATCGATTGAATTTGCATTTGATGAAAATTACAATTAATAAATTTAATTTGATAAATAAATATTAAAATTGATTGAAAATTGAATTATGTACTTGAAATTTAAATTAAAAAGAGTGAATTGAAATTTGGATCTTTTTAAATTTGAATCGAATAAAATTTAATTAAATTGAAATTTGAAGGAAATTTACATTTGAACAAATTCAAATTTGAATAAATTAAATTTTCAGGTCTAGGATTAAAATTTTTCTTTTAAACAAATAGTTGTATTTTCCAAACGGCTTGCTTGTTTGAAAATCCCCACGGTGAAATTGTAGAGAATCATTTTCTGAAGAAAATAAGCCATATTTCATTGAAATCGAATCATTTTTAAAAAATTCTGTAGAAGCGATATAACAAAAAAATTTTATCCTATGCAAATTGTATAAACAAATAAATTTTGCAGATTTAAAATTTTTTCCTTGAAAATTAATATCTCATCTTTCAGAAAGTACAATTAATAATATTATTTTAATTATATAAATGTTAATTGGTTATTCCATTTTATTTCACCTATAGTTTTACAGTTTTTTTCATTGATATTTGTTAAAAATAGTCTAATTTATCAATGTTAATTAAATAATTGTGTAAAAAAGGCCAAAATACTAGGTGAAAATTAATATTCAAACTTAGCTGTAAAATGTTAAAATTTGTCACATTTTATTTATATTTTCCAAGAAATTTTATAAATATTATAAAATTCATTACTACCTAACAATAAGTACTTTTCAAGTACTTTCACATGATATGTTGGCTTTTTATTTTTATAATATAGAAATATGTCAAATTTTACATTGAGTATTGAACTTTTCAGGATTTTATCAGATTTTGAACACTTATATCTTCGCAGGCGATTAATGAAAAAATCCCATTTTGGTTTTAAAATTTAAGTTAAATCTTCTTTATTCACCTTATCAAAATTTGGTGCTGGAGAGCGAGCTACTTTTTATTATTATTCACTTTAAAAAATTCACCGTAAAATACAAATTTAAAGGTTAAAAAACAAGTATTTTTATAAATAAAATTCATACAAATAATTATCTATATTGAGAAAACCAACTTTAGTTTTATAAAATTACTTGTTTTTTAACCTTTAAATTTGTATTTTAAGGTGGATTTTTTAAAGTGAATAAAAATAAAAAGTAGCTCGTTCTCCATCACCAAATTTTGATAAGATGAATAAAGAAGATTTAACTTAAATTTTAAAACCAAAATGGGATTTTTTCATTAATCGCCTGCGAAGATATAAGTGTTCAAAATCAGATAAAATCCTGAAAATTTCAACATTCAAGGTAAAATTTCTCATATTTCTATATTATAAAAATAAAAAGCCAATATATCATGTGAAAGTACATGAAAAGTACTTATTGTTAGGTAGTAATAAATTTTATAAAATTTATAAATTTTCTTGGAAAATATAAATAAAATGTGACAAATTTTGACATTTTACAGCTAAGTTTGAATATTAATTTTCACCTAGTATTTTGGCCTTTTTTACACAATTATTTAATTAACATTGGTAAATTAGACTATTTTTAACAAATATCAGTGAAAAAAAATTTACTAACTAAATTATTTCTGTTTTTTTTTATAAAATTTCCAAAGCTGTCAAACTAACCTATTTTCCGTTCAACTCAACTTAAAAACTAAATTTTAACTTAAATTAAAAAAAAAATTGCATCAAATAATTGTTAAAAATGAATTGTACGGATATTCAAAGTCATTAATACGAAATATCAAATTTTTCTAAAAATAGACTGCAACGACTATAGGTGAAATAAAATGGAATTACCCTAATTAATTAATTTTTTTCAAAAGGTCTGCATTTCCGTGGATAAATGTCCTTAATTCTGTAATGAGAATAATTCAATAATGAATATTATCAAGAAAATTTATTTCGAAAATATTTCAGAATCGAACTAATTGTAAGACAAATTTTCAAAATTTTATTCAAGTAGGACAAATTTCTAAAAAAAATTCTTGAAATTCCATTTTAAAAATATTTTTAGTTTTGATTTATGCAATTTAGTCGGATTTACAATTTTGTCATAGTTTTTAGTTTTGATGGTCAAAAAATTTTCAGGCAATAAGTACTTAATCAAGTTTTACAGATTTTTAAATAAAATTTTTTTTTTTTTTTTTAAAATTTTTGGAAGAATTAAAGTTGAAATTTTTAAAAATAATTGAATTTCAAAAAATTTTGTTAATTTTCAGACAATAATTAAATTTCACAGAACTAAAAATAATTTGTCAAATAATAATTTTAGATAATATTTTTTAAAAGTAATTGAATTTTCAGAAATTTACAATTTTGATTATTGAAATTAATAAATGATTTCAGACAGTTGAATTTTCGAAGAATATTATATTATTTAGTATTTTTTCTAGGACCTTAATTTTATCAAATACTATTTTACTTGTAGAAGAATATTATAAAAATCATTAAAAATAATTAAATTTCAGGAGAGTTATAATTGAAATTATTAAATTTAAAAAAAAATTTTAATGGAAATTTTGGAAATAATTAAATTTTAGTGGTTTTTAAATTGAAAATTTTAAAAATAATTTAATTTCGAAAGATTGTGTTAAAACAATAATTATAATAATTGAGAAATTTCTAGTGATTTCTGTTGATGAAGAATTTATTAAAAATCACATAAAAAAAAATTGAATTCCAAAAGTTTTTTAAATTGAAAAATACTTTCAGATAATTGAATTTTTGAAGAATATTATAAAAAATCATTGAAAATATTTGAAATTTTTGTAAATAATTAAATTTCAAGTGATTTTAAATTAAAAATTGTTGGTAATTTTATTTGCTAATTTTTTTTTTTTAAATTATTAACAATTATTAAATTTCATAAAAATTTTAATTGAAAAATAGTTTAAGATAATTGAATTTGTGATGAATTTCATTAAAATTATTAAAAATAATTAATTTAGTGAAGAATTTTAGTTAAAAATTTGTTAAATAATTGAAATAAAGAAGATCTGAAGAAGATTTGCATTGTATATTTAAAAAAAACGTATTTTGTTTAAATCTTTTTTTAAAAAAAAAATGTAAAAAAAAGTCGAAAAAGTCGCATTTTATTAAAATAAGTCGAAAAAAGTCGTATTTTTGAAAAACAAGTCGGAAAAAGTCGAAAAAGTTTTATAATTCGAGGCCTGACTGTATTAAAAAAAGTACGAAAATATACTTACAGTAATAAGGAGAATTTTGCATATCCTGTGATCTTCTAGCTTTTAATTCCTCCTCAGTTTGCATCTAAAAAAAAAAAACAAGAAAATTAAAAAAAAATTTATTTTCAAAATTTCAATTTGAATATTAAATTGTAATAAATGATATAACATTGAAATGTTCGATGAATTTAAATAATGAACAGACACGTACATCTCCAGTTGGTGAAAACGTGTTTCTAAATGTTTGAGGTGCAGTTTGTTGTGCACTACGAGAATAATTTGGCGGTGGTACTTCTTGATTTGATGGTTGAAGTGTTGCTGGTTGTGGTGTTGTTCCAGCACCACCATATATTGGTGGATTTGAAGCTCCTCGAACTTGTGTTGTTGGAGTATCTGGACTAGCAAAAGGATTAAAATCTTCCATTCCTCGATTAGGATTTGACATTGTTGTTGTAGTTGGTTGCCGAGCAGGTGGCTACAATGTTATATTATATTTTTAATTCACCGTTTTTTTTTTCATTTATATTTATACAAAGAGAAAATTATAATGTCCATAGTAATTAATATGGAAATCAGAAAATCAAAAAAAAAAAAAAAAAAAAAAAATGACATTTTCTATTAAAGAAAACATCTGGTATTTAAATGCAAAAGTTAAATTGCTATATTTATCAAATACAAAAGATAACCTTTTATCTTTTGAAGTCGATATGTATTAACTTTAAAAAGAACCTGATGTACGTAATTTATCTTCGCAAATATCATATAATTTTAGATTACTCTAAAAATATTACATTTCAAATATCAACTAAAATCTCCAGACAGATTAATAATAAAAAAGGTAGGTATTTATTTTATAAAAAAATAAAACAAATAAATTTTGCAAACAATTAAATAAAAATAAAAAAAAATCTTACAATAGATATTTATCTTAGTTAGACTCATGATAAAAAAATTATATGTACTATTCTGATTGATTTTCTAATACAATTTCAATGAAATTAAGAAAAGACGTAAATAATATAATTGAAAAAAATAGTATAAAAGAAAATAATTTATAAAATAATAAAAGTATTTCTTCATATTCTGATGTAAATTTATTAGTATAAATTGACGTTTAAAGAACATTTAGACGTATGCATGGTATGTCATATTGTTATAGCAATAATTGTTGAAGTTTGTGACTGTCATTCATTAGACACGATAAGAGACATATATATGTAAACCACTTACCGAAAAGGGATCACCTAAATTAGGTTCCCCAAAGGGATTATCGTCATCAAATCCAGACATTTTGTGCTGATACGTAAATTATTAGCCAAATAGAGTCGTGTATGTACAAATTAAGTAAAATAGAATAAATATAACGTTTTTTTAAAGCCGACCATTCATTGCATTCATTTTTTCGGAATGTTCTTCCTTGTAAATTCACGTAGTACACTTTTATAATTGATTTCTAAAAATATGTGTCGAGGGCGCCACATTAGAAGCGGGAGATTTGAAATTATTCTCTTTTAAATAATCACACACGTAAAATACAAATATAGGAAATTTGATTTTCTAATGATATAAAAACAAATAAAATTGTAATTTTTCCCAAAAAGTATGAAAATTAAAAGTAAAACTTTTTATTTTGTTGTTCATTTAAATTTTAGCGCCCTCTTTGAAAAGAAAACTTTTGCGCACGCGTAGAATATTTAAAAATGGAGTCGAAAATTTGTTGACATTTAAAAACGTGAACCGGTTGATTGTATTCTATTGTGGTTTGAGTTTTGTTAGTTAATATTGTGAGAAATAGTTTTTTTTTTTTTTTGAAAAATTACATATAACCTATATAACATTCGAAATTATCGTTCATTAAATTAATAATAGATCGAATATTACAATAATGGATGTGATTGTACTAAGTGATTCTGAAGAATCGGTTGTTGATACCATTGAAGTCAAAGAGGATTTAATCATCAAAGAAGATTTAATCATCAATAATGATGATGATAGTTTTGAATTTCCTGAGGTGAATTTTCATTATAAAAAAAATTCAGTATTAACCTCTGAAAGTTCGCAAGACTCACTTGGAAGTTTAAAATCAAAACAATCAAAGAAGACAAATGATAAAATATCCGAAAAAGAGAAAAAGAAGGAAGAAAGAGAAAAAAAGAGAGAAGAAAGAGAGAGAAAAAAGGAGGAATTATCACTAGCAAAAGCTCAAAAGGCAGTGGTTAATAAAAATTTACAAAATTTAAAACCCGAAGAATCAATGAAATCAATGAGAATTATTATTGATGGAAATTTACAAAGTCAAACATATTTTAATCAATTAATTGCCTCTTTACAAAAATTTGAACTCACTTTTAATATTGATACTGAATTAATTCCATTTAGTATTTCTTGGAAAAGAGAAATAGAAGAACATTATGTTAATTCAAAGAATGAAGTTTCTTCACAAAAAAATTTACAAGATGAAATACATTTACTTTTAATTTGGAATTGTCAAGATGTTATAACAAAAATATCAAATGGAACATTTATTGAATCAATTCGTGAAATTGTTGAATTAGTTCCAGAAAAACGAATTACACTTTTTATTTATGGAATGAAAAATTATTATTCCTATCATAAAAATGTTAAAAATACGAATAATCGAGCTAAAGTTATTTCAGAATTGGGAGAAGAAGAAGAAATGATGAGACGTAAAAATAAAAATGATAGAATTTATGGATCATTGGCAAAAATTTCAAAAAATGATCTTGAAGTTAATCTTTGTGAAATACAATTGTTATACAATTGTTCGAGTCGACTTATTCAAACACAGGAAGAATTAAATTTAGCTCTATTTCAATTTACAAAAGCAATTGCCGAAACGCCATTTAAATTGGAACAAACAAAGAATTCAGATTTTGTTGGTGGCGATACACGTGGTGCAGTAACAGTTGATAAAAATGGAATTGGATTAAAAAGACTTTGGAAACAACAATTGTGCCAATTTGAATTATGTAATTTGGAAACTGCTGAGGCGATTTGTCAAATTTATGGAAGTCCTCTTCAATTGATGGATGTAAATTATATTTTAATTGTCATATTTAAAATAATTATTTCAACTATAATTCAGGCCTCGGATTATACGACTTTTTCGACTTTTTTTTTACATTTTTTTAAAAGAATTTTAAACAAAATTCATTTTTTTTTAATTTACAATGGAGATATTCTTTATTTCAATTATTTAACAAATTTTTAACTAAAATTCTTCACTAAATTAATTATTTTTAATAATTTTAATGAAATTCTTCACAAATTCAATTATCTTAAACTATTTTTCAATTAAAATTTTTATGAAATTTAATAATTGTTAAAAATTTTTAAAAAAATTAGCAAATAAAATTACCAACAATTTTTAATTCAAAATCACTTGAAATTTAATTATTTACAAAAATTTCAAATATTTTCAATGATTTTTTATAATATTCTTCAAAAATTTAATTATCTGAAAGAGCATTTTTCAGTTTAAAAAACTTTTGAAATTCAATTTTTTTTTATGTGATTTTTAATAAATTCTTCATCAACAGAAATCACTAGAAATTTCTCAATTATTATAATTATTGTTTTAACACAATCTTTCGAAATTTAATTATTTTTAAAATTTTCAATTTAAAAACTTCTAAATTTAATTATTTCAAAAATTTCCCTTTAAAATTTTTTTTTAAATTTAATAATTTCAATTATAACTCTCCTGAAATTAAATTATTTTTAATGATTTTTATAATATTCTTCGAAAATTTAACTATCTGAAACCAGTTTTCGCTTAAAAAGTTTTCAAATTATTATATTTTTCGTCTGCAATTTCTAATAAATTTTTTAGTAAAATCATCAAAAATTAAAAATTTTTAAATCACTTGAAGTTGATTTAATTTCAAAAATCAAAATTGTAAATCTTTAAAAATTCATTTAATTTTGAAAAATGTCATCTACAATTATTTGATAAATCATTTTTAGTTCTGTAAAATTTAATTATTGTCTGAAAATTAACAAAATTTCAATTTTAACTCTTCCAATATTATTTTTTAAAAAAAAATTTTTTTTTAAATCTGTAAAACTTGGTTATGTATTGCCTGAAATTTTTTTGACCATAAAAACTAAAAACTATGACAAAATTTTTAATTCGAATAAATTGCTTAAATCAGACATGCAAAAATTATAAAAATTGAACTTTAAGAATTTTTTTTAGAAATTTGTCTTGCTTAAATAAAATTTTGAAAATTTGTCTTAATTCTGAAATATTTGAAATAAATTTTCTTCATAATATTCTTATAGAATTATTCTCATTACAGAATTAATAAAATGAATTTAATATATCTAATAAAATTAGTTATTTAAAGTAAAATATTTATTAATCAATTAAATTTTGTTAAAATAAAAAAATCGACTTTTTTTGGAATATAAATCGACTAAAACGACTTTTTTTGTGCCTTAAAGTTGATCTAAGGTCTGTTATTTAAAAAAATTATATTTAAAATTAATTTATTTATTAAATTAAAAACAAAATACCTATGACATGATTTTTATTTTTAATGATTTTTATAATATTCTTCGACAATTCTATTCGAAAATTTTCTTCGAAAATCATTTTTCAATTAAAAACTTTTGGAATTCAATTTTTTTCATTTGATTTATAATAAATTCTTCATTAACAGAAATCACTAAAAAAATTTCTCTTGAAATTGTAGTTCAATTAATTTCAAAAATAAAAATAAATCTTTGAAAATTAAATTATTTTTAAAAAATGTTATCTAAAATTATTTGACAAATTATTTTTATAATTATACAAATTTTTTCTTACCAAATTCTATGAGTTTTCTATTGTTTATTTTTTCTAAATAATACATAATTTCTATAATATAGAAAAATCATTTATCTAAACTATTATTGTTATAAATATCAAACAATTCTTAATTTAATTCTTTCAAATTTCAATGAATTATTATTTTGAATATCAACTTTAAAATTTAATTAAATTTTATTCGATTTAAATTTTAATCCATCAAATTTCAAAATTTTTATTTAAATTTCAATTGCTTCTACTTTCAATGAATTCTAATTTTTATTTGTTAAAACAAATTTATTAATATTAAACTTTTAATTAAATGCAAATTCAATTTATTGAAAAATTAATCGATTTAGGTTTCAAATTATCAAAATTTTAATTCGTATAATTTTTAATATATTTCAATTTATTTATTTAAAATTATTCAAATTTTAATTGATTTAGATAATTTTCAAATTACCCGAATTTCAATTTATCTAAATTTTAATTAAATTTAGTTTCAAATTATTTCGAATTATAATATTCTAAATTTTATTTAATTGATTTAAATGTTAATTTATCAAAATTTCTAATGAAACTGAAACTAAAAATTGAAAATATTAAAAATTTGAATACATACAAATTAGTTGTTTTGCACGTCAATTTTTATTTTCTTTTATCTTAATGAACGGTAATTTCACATTTTTTAGAATAAAAGCATGTTTTATGATTTTTAAAAAAAACTAAGATTCTTTATGGAAAATGGTTTTAAAAAATTTAATTTTTTAATAGAAATTTACTACTATTAAAAAAAAGTCGTATTTTTATTTAAATCAGTCTAAAAAAGTAAAAAAAAAAAAAAAAAAAGTTATACAATCCGAAGCCTGTAATTTTATTTATAATAAATATCATCTCTTGTATTATATTTACCAAATAAAAAAAAAATTTAATTATATTTTAGGCTTATTCAAAATGTACACCGATGGAAGGAGAAATGCTCCTAAAAGACGTTCCGGTAATTATAAAAAGAAAAATTATATTCAATCTATATAAATGAAAATGTAGTAATATAAATTTATTAATTACAATTTTTCATCAAAACAGATAAGAAGGGCAGCTGGACCTGTCACTACATCTCGTAAAATTGGACCAAAAATAAGTAAAAGAATTTTTACGATGTTCACAACTGAGGATGGTAATCTTTTACTTGACATGGGAGTGGAAAATAAAAAGTAAATACTTTAATTTTTATAATATAATTTATTTTTTTATTATTATCATTATTATTGGTAAATTATTAAAGTTGTGCAATTACATATATGATCTGCCTGTTTGTCTATAACTTATGATTTTATATAATTACACACTATGAATGGTTCACAAATTTTCAACTATTATTATAACGATGCGATTAACAAGTTTATTATTTTTTAAAATGAAAAAAAAAATGTACACAAAGTTTTCTTTTGAGCTTGAAAGGAATTACAATATATTATGATTGAAAATATACATAGTCTTTTGTTCATAATTTTACAAAAATTATTTTAACATTAAAAATTAAATTTCTAGTTTAGGGAATAATTTTATTAAAAAAAAAAAAAAAAACAAAAAAAAAAGTTATAAACAGTGATAACTTAAATGTAAATATGTACATTAATAACTTATACATGTTCAATATCATATTTACGAATAATTAATAACTTAGTTTTCTCTTATTAATATCTTATTATCACTTTTTTTTTCTTCATTTAACTGCATTTCTAAAATATATAAATTCAGTCTCTATAAGAATTTCGCTTCATATTTATATGCAGTATATTGATTACAAAGAAATTGTAATCTACATTTTTTTCTTTTACAAAAGCTAATATGTAAATCTCGGAAGTATATGCAAATTGTATTTTATCATTACTTTCTATATGAAGACTATATAGTTAAAAAAAAAAACTGCGTCTTTTACAAAATAAGAGACACGTTTTCGAAACGAAGAATTATTTCAAATTACAAAAATATCGTTTTAGAGTATTAACTTTTTTGTTTCCTATAATTAAAGGACAATTCATTATATTTCCTCTAGAGTCGTTGTTGCTTTTATTTTCGAAAAATGTTAAAATTCGTAATAATCATTTTTTATATCCGTACAATTATTTAATAAAATTTTATATATATTATTTTATTTTTGAATTTGAATTTTAAAGATCAGTTGCATGGTAAAAAAAATTAATTTGACAGCTGTAAAAATTAATTAAAACTGTTTTTTCTTTACAAAGAGCTAAGGCCACAATATTTCAATACACAAAATTTTATACATATAAAGATCTACACGATAATTAAACAGAATTTAAAAATAAAAATTAATTTTTAATTAATAATTAATTATTTTTCAAAATAGTATAATTTATGTTTTAGGTGAAAATTAATTTTTAAACTTACCTGAGAAATAGAGAAAATTTAATACATTTCACGAAGCTGAAGTATGCAATGTTTATGATAAACGATTTTGAAAAAAAAAAATTTTTTTTTTAAAATGAAGAATTCTATAATTTTTTGCCTAAAAATTATTTCTTGTAGTTTTTATTAATCAACAAATTATAAAAAAAAGTATTTTTTTAGATAAATAATTTTATAATTTTCCGTATTAAATAAAAATTGATTTCTAATTGTCGACCATAAATATTGCGTACTTTAGCATCGTTACATTTTAATGAAATTTTTCTAGAAAATTTATAAAGAGATTTTTATTAAATACAGCTTTTCTAGAAAAATTTAATTGAAATATGTTAAATTTTCACATTTCACAGGTGTAAATTTAAAAATTAATTTTCAACTAATATTTTTTTTTTTATAGAATAATCAATTAATATAATTATTCGATTTTAAAAAATTATTAATTAATTTATTAATAATTAATTAAAAATGAACATAATCAATTAATATAAATTATATTATTTTGAAAAATAATTAATTTATTTATTAATAATTAATTAAAAATTAACATTATCTAATATTATTTATGTTTTTTTAATTAATTTTTACATCTGCCAAATTAACCTTCTTTCCATGCAATTAATTTTTAAAATTCAAATTTCAAGGTAAATTTATTAAATAATTTTCAAAAATGAATAATATGGATATAAAAAATGATTATTACGAATTTTAGGAAGAATTGTGATTATAATTATAATATTATAATTATATTTTCCTAAAAATAGGACGCTACGACTTTAGGTGAAATATAATGAACCCTTAAATTTCATTTGTTTATAATTCTCGTCGCTTATAAATGAAATGCAAATAAAAGCATCATTTTTTTTTCACGCATTTTAAAATGAACACAGTGGAATATTATATTTATACAAACGCTTATTATCTACAATATATATATATATATATATAGAAGAAAAATAAATACATTTCAGGAGCTGAAAATTTAAGTTTAAAATTTTTTTCAAATAAAACTGATATAACAATTCTCAATTAATAATCGTTCGTGACTACTATAACTTAATATTAATTTTTAAATAAAGAAAAAAAAACAAAATTTTCTAATTTTTCAGTCTTTAAAATGTAGAGCTTAATTTTTTTTTTCTACAGTAGACCTGCTACATTTTTATGAAAAATAGATAAATTAGTGTAACTAACATTTTTATTTTTCAAAGAAACTTTAAATAAAATGAAACTAAAAATATTTTTTCAAAATTATACATTATCGTATCATTCAGAATTATTAATATTGATCTCTTCTTTTATTATTGAATCATCATGAAATAATAAATCATTTTCTGTTGAATTAATGATTTTTCGTTCGATAATATTTGTTTTAATTGCTTCTTCAATTTCAAAAAATTCATCATCAAAATTATTTATAATTTTTGACGTTGACATTTGATTAACAAATTGTTGTTGTTCATTTTTATCAGTGTTAAATAATTTGGCAATTTTTTGATTTGTTTTTGTTAAAATTACCGGTTCACTTTTATCTTTATTGTGAATAATATTCGGTAGAGAATTTCTTTTGGCGAGAATAATTTTTGTATATTTCATTGTTGATTCATTAGAACGACTAGAATTTTGTACAATTGGACTAGAATGATTTTGATTATTATTATTATTATTATTTTTAGATTGAATGAGAAGATTATTTAAATTTTGATTGGGAAGACTTTGACGTAAAAATGATTGTTTTTGTGTTGTTAATAATTTTCCAGGTTGCGATTTATCTTGTTTATTGCTAATTAAAACAACTTTTGTTGGACCTATTTTTGAATTTTTTAAAGGATGATGAATTTCTTTTGAATTTTCTTTTATTGTATTGACAATTGGAATTTGTGGTAGAATTGGTGATTTTTCAATTGAATTTATTGTTTCGCCATCTTTGGCAAATATTATTGGAATATCTAAAATATTTCCTAAATCATCGTTTAGAAAATTTGTCGATGTTGTTGTTGTTTCTGATTTTGATTTTGAATTTCGTGTAAAATTATTAGCAGTTATCTTTGGAATTATTTTCATTGATTTCTCAGAATTTTTTATTTTTGATGTAAATGGTAAAATTGTCACTGAATTTTGACCAGAATTTGATATTTTTGTCTTGCATGTATTTTCCAATAATACTAGATTATTTGTGTTTGGCGAATAAATTTTGTTACCTTGATTCATTTGTCGAGAAGAAGAAGAAGAAGAAGAAGAAGAAGTAGAAGTAATTTCTTTCGAAGACTTTGGATTCTTTTGTAGATATTCGTTCGCATTTACTGGTCCAGAGGTGTCCATCACTATAAATAAATTAGATATCCGTCTGAAAAACTTGTCAGCAATTAAAAAAAAAAAAAACATTTTTCGAGCTTTCGATTTCAAAGCCACAGTGGCTTTGATTTTTGCCCTAAAAAATTTTTATTTTCTTCTTGTGTAAATAAAAAGATAAATTTAAAAAAAAAAATTTTTCTTTTCTTTTTATTAATAAAACCACTGTAACTTTAAATACAAAATATCGAATTGATGTTTCATAGAACAAGAAAAAAAAAGTGAAAAAAGTGAGTGGAGAAAGAGAGAAAAAATCCACAGAAATTCCTGAGATTAATAAATATTGACTTTTTTTCCTAGATAGGATAAAGGACAGGAATTGAAAAAAATTTGAAGTATAAGAAAAAGTTTTATTTAACATAAAATATAAGTTTAGGATATTATATTTACAGATTTAATTTAAAGCCAAAAGACACAATTTCTTTTTTTATTTTCTTTTGTTTTTTTTAATCACAATAAGTGATTGTCGTCAAAAAATATTTACAAACGCTATTTTTTTATTTTTTTTTTTTAAATATAATTCACTAATACTGTATGTACATAAAATACGATATTTTAAAAACGTAGTAAATACTCAAAAAAAAAAAAAATAAATAATTATCAAATGAATAACAAATTGTGTAGTGGTTGTACAATTTAAATTCTTACATTTATTTTTGTTTTTACTGGCAAAATTAATAATTGAATGAGTGTAAAACATTATTTTTCCTTTTCTTCAAATATGGATTTAAAAAATAATAAATTTCTCAAGTTTATTATTTAATTATTAAATAATAAACTTTAATTTCTATAAAATTAAATTTTACTTTTATTAATACTCTTATTAATTTTTTTTTAAGAGAATAGAAATATTGAATTTACTAAATAAGTGTTTTATCAATCAAATCAATTTATAGACATTAAAAGCTTTTGCTATAATTACACGCATTTTTTTTTTTTTTTTTTTTGTATATAAGCATTTGATATTTACAATTTTTGTACTTTCCCAGAAAGCAAGAATGACGCCAACAAAAAAAGAAATTTAATAACAATTCAAGCTACTTCAATTCTTAAAAATGATATTTCAAAAAATATTCGTTTAAAATAATTTTTTTACGTTTTGTCAAGACGTGCAATAAAATTGCCAAAGAAGCGTTTTTTGATATATATAAAAAAAAGAATTGATATATAAATAAAAATTCTACTATCAAAAATCTAGCACAGCTTTCGTTCAATTATTTTTTTGTTAAAGGATTAGATATAAATATTCTACCTTTTGAAGGTGCGACTGGTGATGATGTTGGTGTTACCGTAACACTAGGAGTTAATAGGACACTAGATGTAATTGGTCTTCCACCGATGCTAATTGGACTTTTACCACTTTGTAAAAGTGCTGTTAAAGCTCCACTTGTGCCGGATGTTTTTATTTGAGATGCTGCAAAAAAACAAAGCAAAAAAAAATTTTCATTGTTTGAAAAAAAAGAATTTCTTTGAAAATGGGTCGGTCAATTCTTTATTTTTCACAAAGTGAATTTTTTTTTTATCTATTTTTCAAAAATATAATAATTTAGTAGAATAATTTTACGTTTTTAGATAATAATAATATTATTTCTCAAAACAAAACATAAACTGGAATTCTACAAATTTCCACGAGGTTTTCTTTTTTTATGATTTTCAGGGATCTAAGTCCTAATTTAATGATTTTAAAGAATCACTGATTAAAAAAACAAAATGACAATTCGATTAAATGAAAAGTCAATCAAAATCCGGTTAAATGAAAATTTTTTCAAATTAAAATTATGTGGAAATAAAAAATTGTTCCAAAGGAAATTTTTGTTAAATAATAATTTGGTTACATGGAAATTGGAACCATTAACTTTAATTAAAATAATTTTGTGAAATAATTAATTGAAAATGACAAATTTTTTTCATTTCGTATATAAACTTCAAATGAAATATTTTACATATTTTATATTAATAAATATTTAGAAAACGCAACATTCTTTTAAAGTTTAAAAAAGTTTTAAAAATAGACCATTATATTTCGACTGAAATTGTTGTGGCCTAATTTACTTTTTTAGCAATTAGAAAATATATTTAAAAAAAAAAACATATAAAATAATTTTTAAAAGTGTAAAAAGAATTATTGATTCTTGTTTAGAATTAATTTATTATTGTTTAATGATTATAGTAAAAAAAATTAAAAAATAATTAATAAAATAGAATTTCTTTGTCTAATTCTTTTTTTCACTAAATTAATTATTTAAATTTAAAGTTAGTGAATTATAATTTGTCATTAATAAAAATTCTAATTACCTGAAATTGAAGACGGGTTAGATTTTATTTGACTTCCTCCTGTAATATAAAGAAACGTAACATAAATAATTATTTATTAAATTTTTGAAATAATATTTATATTTTCTCGTAATAGAAAACAAAAAAATCAATTTAAAATAGTTTAAAAAAAAAAAATTCTAACCAGCAACTGAAACAGTTTTCATTTTTCCAATATTTTGAGTTCCAGTTTGTATCATTTTTGGACTTTTTTGAAGAGCAGAAGCAGGAGGTTTTGTCAAAGCTCCAGCTTTTGTTATACCCGGTGAACTTTGTCCAATATTACCAGACGCAAATTTCATTGGTCCTGCTGGTGATAAACTTGCCAATGATCCAATGTTTAACGTTATTCCACCATTTCCACTATTTAAATTTTGCTGTAAAATATTTAAATCGTTGTGAAAATTTTTCAAATACTCTAATCATTAAATATATAAATTCCAGGTTAAAAGTAATTTTCTTCAATTAAATAGAAGAAATAATTATTTAAAAATTGTCATATTGTCAATTGTTTACTAGAGGTATAATTTTAAAATATATAAATCCATATATAAAATTAAAATATAAAGAAAAAATTTTTTTTTCTCACCTGAGCCATGAGCCTTGATGAAATAACATTTTCCGGGAAATTTGCCTTCTGATTAGAAACAACACGTGGTTTTCGTTTTAAAGTTGTTGGCGTGAAATTTGTATTTGTTCCAATGACAGATAAATTTGTTGGCAAATTAATTGCACGCGATACTGAACTAGCGGTTATAATTTGTCCACTTGAAATGGTACTTAAAACTGGTGTAACTGGTCTTGATTTTTTGATATTTGGCGAATTTGGTTCACTTTCCACTGAGCTGCTTGTTGAATTTCTTCTCTTTCGACAATCCTTTTTATTTCGAGCGTCTAAATTTGCCAATGTAATAGGTCTCAATGGTAGTGGATGTGGTTGCAAAAGAATACTACCAACAAAATCGCCAATCTCATCGAGAATACAACGATCAACCATACTTTGTGTTATGCCTTCAGATATTTTTTTAGCTGTTGAAATTCGTAAATGATCATCAGCTGTACCAACAACAACAAGACTTGTTTCGACTAACATTTTTTCACGTAAATCTTCCAAATCATCGGGACGTACAAGAGTTGAATTTTGACCAATTACAAACATAACCGGACATCGAATATCCATTAGAGTATCGTCCGGCGATCCTCTTTTGCCTTCAACAGTATTAAATGGAAAGCCGAGACATATTACAGCTGTCACATGCTCCATTTGTGATATCTGTTGAGAGAAATTTTTTAAATTATTTAAAAATATTTATTAAAAAATATTAATTAGCAAAGATATTTGAAATTTTTGTTATTAAAGTTTAGTTTACCTGACAAGCCAAAGCAGCTCCTGTATTGAAACCCAAAAGAATTATCGGCCTACCGGGACAATCGGATCTTACTTCTTGCAATTTTGTTCGTGTGGCTTGTACAAGTTGATCAATGCAAGTCATCATTGTCATTTTTGTTGCTGATAATCCTGAAGGCACGAAAACACTCACAACCATTCCCAATGCACTTAATTGCGAAACCCATTTAAGTTGCCTTGGAGATGAACTATTTCCCATTGTAGAAGGAGCAATCACCAAAATTGGATTGCCTGGTAATTTTTTCTAATATTGAAAAACGTTTGAAAATTACAAAACAAAATACACAAGATAATGAGACAAAAATTTGTGAACTGTGCCAATATTTTTTTTTTTTTGAAAACTGGAAATTTTTTCATGAAAAATTTTCCTATTTAAAACAGTAATTAAAAAATATAAGTTGGACAGTTTTGTCAAATTTGAAGATTTATACAATTTATTGTTATAAATATTTTTGAGTTTGATTTTACAAAATTTTTCTTTTTATTAATATCCTTTTCTTCAGTGCGCGTGATAAATTATTTTCATATTCAATTTAATCCAATAATTGACATTATGTTTTATTATTTAATAAAATAATTGAAATTTTTCTCCAAATAAATCAAATAATTGAAATTCTCCTCAATTATTCAAAATATTTTCAATTATTATTCAATCAAATAATTTAAAAAACTTTAAATCAATAAAATTTAATTTATTATAAATATATTTTTCAATATATAATTTAAATTATTTCCAAATAAGTAATAAAATAATTGAAAATATCCTAAAATATTTAATTAAAAAAAAAAGAAAAGAAAATTATTTTGAAATAATCAATATATAAAATAATTGAAACGATCTTCAAAAATTGATAATTTTAAACAAATTAACATAAAGTATCAATTTGTAAAATTCGTTGAATATTTTCGAGTTAAATATTATATAAAAAAATTTTTGAGTCAAAATAATTCTCAAGATTTTAAGTAATAAATTTTTTTCTTTGAAAAAGTTTAACTAAAATATTAATTTTGAAAAATTATTCAAAAGTAATTTTTTTTTGTTATTACTTTTTGTGATTTTCACTTTTGAAGAACAAAAGTTTTCTTTATCATATAAAATAACTATAATATACACATGAAATAAATAAATTAGTATAAAAAATATATTTAAAATTAATAAATTTAAAAAAAAAAAAATTGATCTTTTAAAATTTGAATAAATTAAAATTCGACAAATTTGAAACTTAAATAAATTACTATTTAGACAGATTTAAATTTCGTTAATTTTAAATTTCAATTCAATAGAATGTACCTACTTGTATTTAATGAAAATTTTAATTATTAATTTCGACAAATAAAAATAAAAATTGATTGAAAATTGGATCACTAGAAAATATGTAAATTAAAATTTAGAGATTCGGAACGTTTAAAATTTGAATCGAATATAATTTAATTACATTGAAATTTTTATACCTAAATTAAAATTTTTAAATATTCGAATTTGTAAAAATTGATTTTTTTGATTTATTGAACTGGTAGTTGATTAGAATTAAATTAAATTTAAATTGATTACAATTTTAATCAATAAATACAGCAACTAATTTAAATTTTTTTTGAAATTTGTCTCAAATAATTTTTAAATTAATGAAAATATGTTTTCTCTAAATTAATATGAGCTCAAGGAATGTTAAAAAAATTCTTTATGAACTAATAAATTATAATTATTCTATACTTTATGGAAAATTATTTTTCCCTAATCAATTTCAATTTTAAATTGATAAATACGAAGCGAATTTAAAAAAAAAGAGTCAACTAATTGCTTTTTATTCCACTATAAGTCAAAATAAATTGCATAAAAAAAAAAAAAAATTGTACACTCCGAGTCCTGTAAAAATTTGAAAATAAAATTTATAATATTACCCACCGGTTTATTAGAATTTAATGTCGATGTCACTGGATCCCATGATCTTTTCAATAATGATCCCAATGTCTCCCATGTAACTGGACCACCTTTTCCATTAATATTTGTCTGTACAGCAATCATTTTATCAATAAGCTGTGGAATAATCAGTCTTAATGTTTGAAGGATATCTAAATAAATAACCAAATACTCTTGCGGAAGATAATCAAATAATAAACAATGAATCCATTGTGAAATTCTAATATCCCATCCAATTGATGCCATTATTTCACGAAATCGTTTTGCAGCAGTGTCAACTGATGTTCTTCGAAATACAGGTTCCATTGTATTACCAGTTTTTGCAAGTCTCGCCAATCTTTCGGCCGTCAATACTCTCACTACTTTTGCAAATACACGAATTTGAATTTGACTCCAAAATGTTTTATCAATTTTCTCCTCCCATTCAGTGTCATCATCGGGTCTAACAAAATTTGCCAATCTTTGCAATTCATCCATTAAATGTCGTGTTCGTCCCAAATCAAATGGCGGTGATGATTGATTGTCGTTATAATATTCCACGTCAATATTCTCCTCAGATTTTTGTTTATCGCTAATTGGCAAAATAATTATTATTATTAAATTATTTAATAATAAAAATACAAACAAAAAAATGAAATTTAATGTACAAAAATTAAAATATATTAAAAAATAGAATTCTAAAAATTAAAATTTATTTCTACAAACCAGATTAGAAAATTTAATTTTTGTTATTGTTTTATTTCCAAAACTCGTAACTATGGTTTTTTTTTTTTTTAATTTCTACCTTCACAGTGTAAGTGTTTTTTGTTTTACTTACGTCATTGTTTCAGTATTATTAATCAAATATTAAAATTTTAATTTTTATAAAAATTTAATTTTTTTGTTACCGATTTATTAATAAATAGTGAATTTTTTTATTTTAGCGTGAAGTAATAATTTTTCTCAACTTACGATAAAATATTATTTTTTGTGAAGAAAATCTTTTTTATTGGTTTAACGTAGACATTTTCTGGTTTCCAATTCCAGGGACGAGCATAACAATGATCTCGAACAATGACATCGACTTCGAGTTCATAACAACCGGCAAGTTGATGTAAATATGTTGTAAATCGATTTGGATTATCGTCAATTATATCTCCCGTAGGACTAGGTAGTCCTGGACTTCCTTGTGGAGTAACAGTAGCTCCCGATGTTAATAACATTTTCATAAAATTATCCCTTCCAGAATTTGCCTTAACAACCTCTGCCATTTGTTAGCTTTTTTTTCACTAAAAGTAATTTTTCTTAATTTATTACTATTTATTTAGATTTATCAAAAAAAAAAACTATTCATGAATTTTCGAAAATAAAATTTTTTATTGAAAAAGAAAATTAACTAGAAATATTAATTCCATGATCATTAATTATAATTTAATACTGATTTTCGCCGATTATTTACCTTTTAGTAATTATAATAAAAGCAGTAATATAAAAATTTTTTATAAGTATTAATACTAAAAATACTAAAAATAAATGTAAATAAAATTGTTTATCTCTGATAAAAATATATTTTCGATTTCATTAAAAAATGATTGTTATAAAAAATTAAATATAAAGAAAAATATTTTTTTAATATTTAATAAAATTATATATTACTATATAAAATATTAATAATTGTTAGAATAAATTGTAATATCAAAATTAACACAATTTATAACAAACAAATGAATATTTAATCAGAAAAATTTCTTGTGATTGTAATTTGTTACTTGTATAAACACGAATTAATTTATATAATTCAATATAAGAATTACATCACTTTAAAGAAAAAAAAATTTGACGAAATCAACATACATAACCTCAAAATTAAGAGTGTTATTATATATTTTAACAATTAAAAATGTTCGATATTCAAATATTTAATTGGAAATATAGTAAAAAAAAAGGTAATAGCTTTTTATTATAGATTCGTTTTTAGTATAAAATACCTTATAAAATTGTTTAACAGGGTGTTTTGAGCTTCATTTTGGATAAAGACGCACTAGAAACACTTTCCCATGGTGAAATTATTTTTACACTCACTTATATGCACACATGTACATAATTATTGAAAATTTAATTTTTATATCTCTTATATAATTCGAATATTTTTTTCTAAATAAAATTTAGACACACACACAAAAAAACGTGGCTGCACACAAACAATGAGATCAATGAAAATGAAACCCTATAGAATCACGTAGAATATTGTTCGTAGAACTAACCTATATATTCTTTATCATATACGTTGTTTTGAACACTTAAATAGAGAAAATTATCATCATAACATTTTTATCTTTATAAAGATTATAATTTTATTTTATTTATTTATATACAAAATTAGGGTATTAACAATTTAGATGAAAATCAAGAAAGTACAAATGCAGACGATGCAGACGCTTAATGATTACTAAATTTTCTCCAATCATATACGTTCATTTCTTCTGGACAGCCAATTAAAAAACAGGTTGCTTTTCAAGGAAATTGTTTTAGCCGTGACAATCCCTGAGTTTTATGTTGAATTTTAATAAAGAAAAGAATAGTAAAAATTAATTTTTTTCACACAGTTTATTATAATTTTTTTTACTATATATAAACGAAACGAATATTTGAATTTGTTGTTAATTTGATAAAATTAAGATTACTATTTGACGTTTATTTGCGCCATTTAAAAAGGTAAATGAATTGCTCAATAATTGTTTATTATCTTTATTGCTATTTTGCCGGGAAATTTTATATATACGACACTGTCAACAATTTTATGAAAAGTCTATTTACTAAATAAATGTTCTGGTATTTTTTACGATTTCTTTTTTTTTTCAAGAAATGATAAACAAATTACACAAGAGAAATGATTGTTGCCAAAGAAGCTGATTTTTCAAAAGGTTTTTGGTTGGAAATATTATTTCGTGCATTCCTGGCTGTAATATTTTTGTAAGTAAACACTTTTTTGCTTTAGATAAAAAATTCTTCTTAAAAATGTAGGTATTTTTATTATAAAAATATTTTTATTAGAATTTTTCAATATTTTAATATAAAAATTCGTATATATTTGTGAAAAAAATATAATGCAATTTTTTTTCATAATTGTGAAATAATAATAATGAAACATACGTTTTCATTAAATTATATTGCTGACGTTTGCAAAATTGACGATTTTCGTACATGTTAATTATTTCCTCTACATAGTTAAGAATATTTTTTTAATTTAGAAAGTTGGAATATGCAGAACCTTTTGAAAGAAAAATTCATCCCGAAGAACTTTGGTTATATAAAAATCCACAAAAAGAAGATTATGTACCAACAAATGTTTTATGGGTCTGTTTTTTTAATTCTTATTGATTTTTAATTTTAGGTAATTTATTTTTTTGGTGAATATTAATTTATTAATTCTTTTTTTTTTAGCCTCTCGTCTTCTTTCCACCAATTGCCATAATTGTTATTACATTTCAAATTACAAAGGACAAATTTGATCTTCGACAAGGAATACTTTGTTCAACACTTGCTTTAGCTTTAAGCGGAATATTAGTAGATATTTTAAAATTAATTGTCGGTAAGAAAATATATATATTTCATTATTGGGAGTACAATTTTTTAAAAGGATCAATCCATTCAGCTCTTGGATTATACTTTATCGTCTTTTTTAGTAGACAATGCAAATTTTCCTCAGATTTTCATTTTTTTTTTTTTTAATTATTTAACAAATTTTCAACTAAAATTCTTCTCTAAATTAAATTAATCAAAAATTTCAATTTAACATCACTTGAAATTAAATTATTTTCAAAAATTTTTAATTTAAAACCAAACATTATTTATAAAATTTTCCATCTAAAACTTTTGGAAATTTAATAATTTGAACTATAACTTCTCTGAAATTTAATTAGTTTTAATAATTTTTAAAAAATATTCTTAGAAAATTCAATTATCTGAAAATATTTTTTAAATTAAAAACTTTTGAAGTTCAATTTTTTCCGGTAATTTCTAAACAATTCTTCAGCAACAGAAATTATCGAAAATTAAATATTAAAATATGAATATTATTATGAATATTAAAATTAATCAATTAATATATATATGTATATTATAATAGAAATAATTTTTTTTCCAGGTAGACCGAGGCCAGATTTTTTCTGGCGTTGTTTTCCAAATGGAGACACAAATTTAGAATTAAATTGTAATGGTGATCATCGTGTTATAATGGAAGGCAGAAAATCATTTCCAAGTGGACATTGCTCGTGTAAGATTTTGATAAACAATTTTGATTTTATTTGTGACAGTATTTTGTAATATTTACTTTATTTTATAACTTTTTCAATTTTTACAATTTATGCGACTTTTTCTCGGATTATACGAATTTTTCCGACTTTTTTTTTTTTTTTTTTTGAAAATACGACATTTTTCGACTTATTTTGATATGATGCGAATTTTTCGACTTTTTTTTACATTTTTAAACAAAGTACTTTTTTTAGTAAACAATACAGGTCTTTTTCAGATATATTTTTTTTCAATTATTTAACAAATTTTTAACTAAAATTCTTCTCTAAATTAATTATTTTCAATAATTTTAACGAAATTCCTCACAAATTGAATTATTTTAAACTATTTTTCAATTAAAAATTTTATGAAATTCAACAATTGTTTACAATTAAAAAAAAAAATCAAATAATTATAATTACCAAAAATTTCAATTTAAAATCTTTTAAAAATTTCCATCTAAAACTTTTTGAAATTTAATAATTTCAATTATTTGATTATAATTATAATTGGTCACAAACTTAAAAAAAAAAAAAAAAAAAATTCAATGAAAATCTGGCAAAAATTTGAATATTTTCCAAATTTTCAATAAAAACACCAATTCAATAATTGTTTAAATTAAAAAAAAATAATAATAATTAAAATTACAAAAAATTTTAATTCAAAATCACTTGAAATTGAATTATTTTCAAAAATTTTCAATTTAAAATCTTTTTAAATTTAATTTGTAGTTCTAAAAAATTTCCATCTAATTTAATCTAAATTCAATCCTGTAAAATTTAATTATTGACCTGAAATTTAACAAAATATTTTGAATTTCAATTGCTTAAATACGACTTAAAAAAAATTAAAAAAATTGAATTTTAAGAATATTTTTTAGAAATTTATTCTATTTAATTAAAATTTTGAAAATTTATCTTAGTTCGATTTTGAAATATTCGAAATAAATTTTCTTGATAATATTTTTATAGAATTATTCTCATTACAGAATTAATAAAATAAATTTAATATCTAACAAGATTAGTTATTTAAAGTAAAATATTTATTTAAAACTAATTAAATTTAATTAAAATAAAATAATTGACTTTTTCGACTTTTTTTGGTAATGTAAATCGACTAAAATGACTTTTTTTTTGCTTCTTAAAGTCAATCCGAGGTCTGTTATTATTATTATTATTATTATTTTATTTTTTATTTTATTATTCACTTATTTTTGGGTATATATTTCAGTTGCGTTCGCTAGTTGTGGATTTATTGCCTTCTATTTAGCTGGGAAATTGCGCACATTTACATTAAGTGGAAAAGGATATTCTTGGAATTTGTGTGCATTTTTAATTCCATTAGTAATTGCACTTATTGTGGCCTTGAGTCGAACTTGTGATTATCATCATCATTGGCAAGGTAATTAATTATTTTTATTATAAAATGTTTGGTTGATCCATAAAACAAAAAAACAAAAAATGTATAACAGAATAAAAGAAATTAATTTCTTTTTACAGATGTCTTAATTGGATCCCTCATTGGATTTGGTATTTCTTATTTATGTTATAGACATTATTATCCATCTTTGGATTCTCAATTTTGTCATCGACCTTATTTAATAAGCGTTAATTGAATTTATATATATATATATACATTTTATTATTAATTTATTATTTATTTATTTGCTGCTTTGTGATAATTTTCTATATATATAGGTCCAATGTTTCAGTATTTTTCATCCAAAAATGTATAACAATATAGTTAAATATTTTTAATGAAAATTATAAATATTTATCTATTTTTTAAATAAATAAATAATTTAATATATTAAATAAATTGATTAAATTTGTTTTAATATAAGGAAAATAATTTCAATTATTCAATTGGATACTTTTTTTTAAATTTATTTTATATTTTTTTTAAGATAATAATTTTATGTATTTGATTTAATAATACATTTGAAATAGAAGAAATTTAAAAAGACTTGAAATTTTTTTTTTTTAAATAACTGTTTTACTTGAAATTTTGTGTATAAAAATTATTCTTATTAAAGAATTAATTTAATTAAAAATAGTAATGTTATTTAATAATAATAATAATAATAATAATTAAATATTTGTTAACTTGTTAAATTTTGCAATTTTTTTTTGTCTTAAAATCGATCCAAGTACGAAAAATAATCCCATTTACCTTTTTTTAATACTTTATTATCAAAAATTTTTTCAAATTTTCCATTTGAATAAAAAGAATTTAAAAAACTTTATGTATATATTTTTTAAAGTGTGAAAAATAAAATTTCCCACACTGTCCCTGAATACTTATATTATTCATTTCTTTTCTTTTTTTTATATTTAATTTTAATAAAAAGAAAAAAATATTAAATTTAAATTTGCCTCGTTTTTTTTTTTTTAACGAATGAAAACAGCTCGATCTGACGACTATCTTGAAAACTAGACTTGACTTTTTTATCGTCTTTCTTCGATTTACATCGGTTGTGTTCGGTTCTCCTGCTAACTGCTTGGATACTCCTAGTTGACTCTGATGTACTTGGGTGTACTGGTTGAGAAGGCGAGTTGGAAGTCGAATTTTTCTCCTAGACTTCTAACATAATAATCACTTCTCAACTGAAAAGAAAAAAAAAAGAACCCCTCCCTACTAAATCTAGATATATTTATTTTTAAAGATAAAAGAAGTGTTCAATTTTCATAAAAAAAGTTAACCAGTACATCCATCTCCAACGCCTAAATGACAATTGTTTTCAATTTTGTTGTGTGCTTGTGAAATGGTGCATCGACTTCCTGTGCATGGCGAAGAGCCGTAAGCGTCATTCTTCGTGTTAGGCAGTCCTTCTATATATCAGTGTGTGTCCGGTTTTGTGTTTTTTTCCCCCTTTTATATATATCTATATATTTATTATTTGATCTCATTTCCCGCTAAATAACGACCAACGAGTGTACCGTCCAAAAAATCAGCTATAATAGACATTGTGCAATTCACGCCCTTTAAAAAGAAGAAAAGGAAAAAAAAATGATGAAAATGGAAACAGATAATAAACACGAGGACTCGAGCAATTTGCAGGTGCGCAAACCAAACTTTATAATATTTTTCCTTCTCAATTCTCATTCTACCCGCCATCTTATGTTTCATTTATAATAGAGAAAAATTGTGTTTTAAATTATTATATGGAAAAAATATTTTCAAGATTTTCTTTTATGTGTTGTAAAATTTTTATAGCATGTGGGACATGGAAAAATTTCGGAGTACTATTTTTTTGGGTTTTTTTTTTCTTTTTTTTTTTTTTTTTTTTTTTTTTGCAATTTTGGGAGGTTATGACTGTGGTGTTTTGAACATACATGATGACGATATATCTATATAGTGTGAAGAGAAAATCAGAACATTTATTTCAGTTGAAATTTTGCAATAAATAAGACTGATAGATCGTACAATGACTAAACGTCAACGTTCATTCTGATATGCTCTTGGGTGTTATATTTAGCGGTACATGCGCCACAAACATTGGTCGCAACGATTAAGAACAGTGTTAAGATAACACTTATGTGTTTATTTATTTATTTATTTTATATAATTTTTTTTTAATTAAAAAGAATTTAATTAAAAGTGAAAATTTAACTAAATTTTTTAGTTTAATATTGATTTATTTAGATTTTTTATTTCTGAAGTATATTACTTTCCTTTTCAATGCGTATTATCGATTATTCATTTTTTTCTTGATTCCTCATTTAAAGTTTCGAAATGTATATAAGAAATTGACATAAGAAAAATTATTTTATTTTACCAGAAATTTCAAATTTACGTGCTATATTTTAAATGTCCTCAATTAGAGATAAGAAATCTTTGATAAGTGATATTATTAAAAGTTTCCTCAAAATTATAAATGTGGAAAAAAATTAAATGAATTTTAAAATGATTGAATTTTGTTTACTTTTATATAATTCTCTCGTTTTTTTTTTTTTTTTGTTTTTTTTAAGAAATTAATTATAATTAGCAATTTTATTATAATTAGATTAAAGATTCTATTTTACAGAATAAATTTTATTTATTATTATTTTACAAAAATGATAATTAATTTACATAAATAAATAATTTAGTAATTTAAAAAAGTGGAAATTTTTTATTTGAGAGAATTTTTTTATTTTTATGTAAACAGTGTAAATTTTTGTGTTAATAATTTAAAATTTTGTAATATACACTGACCTCCTTGTAGTGTAATATAATTATCAGCTGTACCGTTAACATTTTTTTTTTTTTTTTGAAATTAGAGTATCATTTCTTTTTTGGTCAATTTTTCTCAATAAAATATTTTTATGGTTTTTCAAACATTTTCTATATATAAAATGACACATAAGCAAATATATAATTATGTATGTCATTATCATTCACAACTTTAGTTACCTACCTACTTTTTTTTCATATTTCACTATTGTTTTTCTCTTGATTTCGCATTTTTTTTTTTTTTTTTTTTTTTTCATTGTTGACGTTTTGTTTTTTTTCTTCTTCAATTTTCCCACCCCATGGTGAAATGTCTGTTTAAAAGTAGGTCAAATATCGGATTCTGTAGAGACGTATATCAGTTTATTAAATTTACCTCGTGCTTTTTTTTTTTTTTTATATTAAAACATAGTTTTCCAATTGGTTGAAATTTTAATTTACTCAAACGAGTTCAAAGCTCCGTTTGTTTGTTGATATGCATTTTACTGAGAAAAATATATAATATCTGAGCCATTGAGCAAACTAATGACTCAAGCATTGACTATATAGTTACCATAAGAGATTTTAAGTGTTATGGGAGTTTTAAAACTTGAAAACACTGTGGGAATCCTCGAAAGAAAACAGTAAATAATTTTCTTTATCGCATAATACAAAAATTAAAGTTCTTAAAAAAGGTGCAATTTCAACTATGTAATGTTTTTTTTTTTTTCATGAAAAAATTTAAACAATGTTTATATAGAATTAGAAACTATTTTTACGATTTTCCCACTATTTTAGTTTTAAGTATTTTTTATTCTTTTTTTTTTTTATTTTAATTTTCCTTTTTTTTATTATTTAACTCTTTATGTAATAATTGTCACAATTTCAGTAGAAATTTTTTTTTTTTAAATTCATATGATTTTATTTGATGAATTTAAATTTTATAGAATGTTTAAAAATAAATTTAATTTCTATTATAATATCGAAATTGAATCCGCAAGAGAGCTTGTGTAAAATGAAACGAGAAACAAAGATGCTTAACCGTATTTCTTGGCAATGAATAAGGTGCGATCTAGACAAAGCTGCTTAACATTCCGTTAGAGCTTTGTCGTGTGTCTTATTTACGACAAAGCATGGCCTTTCATTTGTAATTAGAAATGTACTTTTCCAGCCAATGACCTAACAATCATAAAACTTGAAATAAAAAAAATAAATAATACAAAAAAAAAAATTACACTATATGTGACATTTGCGCATTTAAAATATTATACAAATCAACATTTTCTATAGAGTTTGTTATTACTTTATAGAATGAATATTTTACAATATAATTGAATATAATTAAAAATATAATTTGTTTATTTAAAAAAAAAAAATTTCTGAACATTTTTTATAATATTTTTATATTTTATATATTTGCAGAGTTTTAAATATTTTTTTTTGTGATGATTTTATATCAAATGTGTCGATATACTATATAAGCGGGGAAAACCGTGAAATAATATTGGGAATTTAATTAAACAGGAAAAAACCGATAATCAGACAGAAATTTTTCATCAAATTGGGAATTTTATAGATTTTAACTATACAATTTCGTTTTTTCATAATTTTATTTTTACCCTCAAATTCTCTCTATTTATTTATTTTTTTTTTTAATTTCTAAAATTACGCGAAAAACAATTTTCGATTTTTCCCTCATATTTTCGTTTTTTTTTGGGGGGGGGGAGGGGGAACTTTTAATTATTAACGATTTTTTCTTTTATTTTATCATTTTTTACGACTTTTGAATTTTCTTACTCTCTAAATTTGAATTAGTGAGAATTCGTTCAGTAATTTAAATTAATGAAAATTCCATTTAATATATGACATAAAAAATTCTTTATAGCTCTGTCGACAGAGAAAAAAATATGAGCCAAAAGTTCTAAACGTTCAAATGAAAGAAATATTTTTTTCAATCTATAAATTATTAAAAATTATGATGGAAATGTAAAATAAAACGGTAAATTAAACAATTATTAAATTAATAACTTGTTTTTAGATATTTAAAACAATATTTTGTAATAAAATTTGTACTTAAAGAAGTGACAAAAAATATTTCGTTCATTTGAACGTTCAAAACTTTTGGCGTTGAAAAAAATACCGTCAGAAACGAAATGCACAAATTTGATTGGTTGTCCACAATCGAGCAGATTCTGAACAACCAATCAAATTTGTGCATTTCGTTATCAGACAGTAATAATTTTTTTTCTTTCGACAGACATGAAAATGCTCCTTTACATTTTACTAAAAAGAATAATCCATTTAACTGCCGATTTAGTCAGTCCAAAATTAACCACTCTATTTAGTAGATTCTTCTCACAGAAAAAATCTGAACTCAAAGTGAGTATGAATTTCATACTCAAATTGATACACATGAAAAACGAAACTGGTTGTCTCATTTCGAGTTCTAAGGTAAAAGTATCAAAATGAAACAGGCAAGTTTCATTTTGAGAATAAGAAAAAGGCTAAAATATTGTGAAATAACGAATAATTTTGCACAAATACATGAAATATAATAATTACCAAACGTAAATAACATGCTAGACTTTATATATTATTTGATTGAAAATTGCTCGTAATCGGGTGATAAAATAATAAAGGAAATATGTTTTTAGGTTATAAAAATGAAAACATGTGTTTTGACAACAGGAACGGTACTGCCAACTTAAATAATAGCGGTAAATTTCAAAACTTATAAAATTAATTATTATATATCTAAATAAATAATAATTAATACTTTTTACTTAAGGGGAGGCACCACCCCCAATTTTGACCCACTTAAATTATTAAATGAGGTTATATTTTTTTTCTTGCATCATTTGGGTCCTAAAAACATATAAGGTGGTCAAAAAAAGAAAATTTTAATTTTTGACCATTTTAGAATTTTTATTTTTTGAAAAAATTAATATTTTTGAAAATCCATGCGAGAGATTCTGACAAATCATTAAGGGGGTAGTCTGGTGTTTAGGCCTTTTTTTTAGGAGCTTATTTCAGAATTTATTTTTATTAAAAAATAAAATGTAATCACACCAAATTTTTTTACAACGTTTTATTCTCCTTTTGAAGTGTTGAAAAAAATTATAATCGATTATTTTTTACTAGACATTGTTATTTATATTTAATATTAATGTTTATATGAAAAAAATGCTGGCGCAGGTGACTTACAAAAATCTGTTCGACCGATTGCTCCAATTTTTTTTTAGCTTATTTTACAGAAGTATGGCTGTAGCGCGTACTAGAATTACGCAATTTTAATGATAACTTTTTTTTATTTTTAACTTTTTGTCAATAAAAAAGAGACAATTTTTGAATCTTTTTGCTTATATAGTCCGCTATTTTGTTATTTATTAACAAAAATGTTTTATTCTAGTACGGGCCAAAGCCATGCTTGTGTAGAATAAGCTGTAAAAAAATTGGAGCAATCGGTCGGATAGATTTTTGTAAATCATCTGCGCCAGCATTTTTTTGTTATAAACATTAATATTAAATATAAATAACAAAATCTAATAAAAAAAAATCGATTATAATTTTTTTCAACACTTCATGATTAGAATAAAACGAAGTAAAAAGATTTGGAGTGATTATATTTTATTTTATAATAAAAAAAAATCCTGAAATAAGCTCCCAAAAAGGCATCGTAACACCAGACTACCCCCTTAAAAAAGTGTGGAAAAAATTTGACGATGAAAAATACTTAAAATTGTGAACGAAGATACATATTTAATAGAAGAGTGCAATGATGTTTTAACTTATATTTTTCGCTCTTTTTTTGAAAAAATTAAAATTTTTGAAAATCCATGCGAGAGATTCTTATAAGAATCATTAAAAAA